CTAGACCTAATGGTCAGGGGTCCCTTTGACTTTTGATGGGGTGTTAGGGGAAGGATGGTACTTCTGGTGGGGGACATGTCCTGCTCCTTCTGGAATAGTTTGTGCACCTGTGGTCCCTGCTCTGCACTGTTATAAGAATTCTAAGGTCTCGGATATAGAATAAATGTTCATAAATGTACAGGGCAAACACATACGTTAAGTATATAAACCACGTGTCTGAAATAGTACTGTTGCTCATGCAGCGTTTTGCCCCAGAGGCACGCTCCGTTTTCTCTCGAGACAGACAGATGCCGGCAGATCCCTTTTCCTCCGAGGAGCTCAAGGCGGCGTACATGGCTCCCCCATTCCTCATTTAACGTTTACAACAACCCTGCAAGGTAGATTAGGCTGCGGGGCAGTGAGTGGCCCAGGGGCAAGGGTTTAAACCTCAGTTTCCCAGGGATTAATCAGATACTCACCACTATGCCACACTGGGTCTCACTGACCCATCTAGCATAGTATTGCCTGCACTGACTGCCAGAAGCTCTCCAGGGTTTCAGGGAGGAGAAAGCTCTTTCCCGGTCCTGCCTGGTGATGCGGAGGCCTACTGCATGCAGATGCTCTGTCTCAGAACTACGGCCCAGCAAACCCTCAAGCAGCGGACATGAGCCCAAGTTCCTTCCCTTGGGTAAGCCGTTTTTTCAAGTAAAGGTCCTACCCTTCATTTCAAGATGAAGTGATTGATTGGCGTTCCATCTGGCTCCTGCTTCAGCAACCTACGACCACTTGACCTCTTTGATCTGCAGAATTAGTGCCCCATAAGACCCATTTGACATTTCATAGAACTGGAAGGGATCCTGAGGGTCATCTAGTCCAACCCCCTGCAATGCAGGAATCTCAGCTCAAGAAATCTCCAGCCTCTGCTTCAAAACCTCCAAGGAAGGAGAGTCCACCACCTTCCATCCCACTGTTGAACAGCTCTTACTGTCAGAAAGTTTTTCCTGATGTTTCCTCCTTTCTTGTAACTTGAAGCCATGAGTTCGAGTCCTGCCCTCCAGAGCAGGAGTAAACAAACACGCTCCATCTTCAGCATGACAGCCCTTGAGATATTTGAAGGTGGCTCTTGTATCGCCTCTCAGTCTCCTAACTCAATCTTCTAGTGTGGCAGCATCTGCACTTTGGAACTCCCTGCCTATTGACATCAGGCAGAGGTGCCTTCGCTGTACTCTTTTTGGCACCTGCTAAAAATATTTTTGTTCAGACAGGCCCAGCCAGATGTTTAGAAAACTGCTGCAGATTTGAATCTGTTTCTAAACGATTGTTGGCTTCACTTTTCCAAAGTCTTAAATTATTGTGGTTAATTTTTCTTGTGGATAATTTTCTTGTTCCACCTTTTTGGTAAACCGCTTTGAGGTTGGTTGGTTTTTGCAATCAAGAAGTGCATATGTTTAATGAAAATAAATGAAAGGGCCTGGAAGGCGGCCTTCCCCAACCCAACTTGGACCACCTGCAGATCTTTTCGCCTACATCTCCAAGAACCCCCAGCCTGCGCAGCCAGCTGTGCAAAGAGCTGCTGTCAGGCTTCAGGATGAGGCCAGCGTGGAGCTGAGTCTGCTGCTGCTGCTCCTCTCCAGCCTTCCTGATCCCAGCCGTAAACCTCGAGGAAGCAGATCCGCCTCGACGTCCGTGACATTGCAATTGCCAAACGTCTCTAATTACGTGCATTTTATGTCCTTTACCTTTTCTAAATGACTTTTCCTGGCTTGTGCCTCCAATATTCTCCGGCTCTTCTTTCCCAAAGGGGAAATGCTGCGATTGTCGCAGGTCGGAGCAGGGAGGGAAGGAGAAGGAACGCCTGCCTCCCAGCTTCTCACCCAGAGCCTCCGTGACATTTAAGGGGCTCTGATCCGATGCAGAAGGTCATCTCCTGGGCTCCCATGTCTGCTGGAGACCCAGAAAGGAGCTGATTGGGGTGATGGCTTGGGGCTGGACCAAGAAGTACACTAAGAATCAGCCGTTCCACATGCCAGGCATCTGGAGAGGGGCACCCCAAGCTGCTTCCTGGGTTCAGCTGAAAATATCACTGGGCTTTATCCTGCTGAGGGTCAAAAATATGGAGGGGACTGGTAGGCCCAAAGACCCTCTGGGTGTTCTTACATTTCCCTACCCATGATACAAATGGAGGGCCACAAAAAGGACAGAGATGCCTGCGGTGTTCAAGTGTTCAATCCGTGGCAGCTTTTTCACACATGCAGGTCATCACTTGAGCTTGCTTTTCTGGGCCGGTCAACGAGGACTTGGAAAAAGCCCCGGGACTTTCTCCACTCCTCCTTTTAAACGCCAGCTGAAGATTCTTCTGTGGCTTTTCAGACAATATTGCAACTAATTTTGCTCCAATTTAGTAATTGCAATACAGGGGTACCTTGGTTCTCGAACGTATCAGAAGTCGAACGTTTCAGTTTTCAAACGCTGAAAACCCGGAAGTAACTGCTTTGGTTTTCGAACCAAAAATGTACAGTGGTGCCCCGCAAGACGAATGCCTCGCAAGACGGAAAACCCGCTAGACGAAAGGGTTTTCCGTTTTTGAGTTGCTTCGCAGGACGAATTTCCCTATGGGCTTGCTTCGCAAGACGAAAATGTCTTGCGAGTCTAGAGATTTTTTTTTCGCTTTTCCCCCCCTTTATTTAATCTGCTAAGCCTTTAATAGCCTTTAATAGCCTTTTAGCAGCTAATCCCCTAAGCCTTTAAACCTTTAATAGCCGCTAAACCGCTAATAGCGCTAATCCGTTAAGCCGCTAATAGGGTTGCTTCGCAAGACGAAAAAACCGCTAGACGAAGACTCTCGCGGAACGGATTAATTTCGTCTTGCGAGGCACCACTGTAGTATAAACACTGGCATCTGGGAAACACTGGCCTGCGAGCGCTCCTGTTGGAGAAAAGTCTTGACCAAAAGTGTCATGGGCTTTGAAGACGCTCGAACTCAGGACACAAGGGAGAAATGTGCCAAGAGGAAGGCACGCTTGGCAAATCCACTCCGTGATCAACTCCCACCCAGAAACCAATGTCCCCACTGTGGAAGGACGTGTGGATCCAGAATTGGCCTCCACAGTCACTTACGGACTCATTGTTAAAACCATGTTTGTGGAAGACAATCTTACTCGGTTACGAGGTATCGCCAAAGAAGAAGAAGTGGTATTGTTTTTGTTTGTTACCTTGGCATGTATTTTTGTGTTTTTATATTGTAAACCGTCCTGTGATTCTGGGATGAAGAGTGGTATAGAAATGTAATTAACAACAACAACAATTACAGTGGTACCTTGGGTTAAGTACTTAATTTGTTCCGGAGGTCCGTTCTTAACCTGAAGCACCACTTTAGCTAATGGGGCCTCCTTCTGTTCCCATCCTGAAGCAAAGTTCTTAACCCGAGGTATTATTTATGGGTTAGCAGAGTCTGTAACCTGAAGCGTATGTAACCCGAGGTACCACTGTCATTCATTGTTAGCAACACAAAGTCAACATTATTGGTGAGCCTGGTGGTTGCTACAATTGCAGAAGAATCGCGGAAGTGCAGTTGGGAAGGGGCCTCCAGGGGTCATCAAGTCCAACCCCCTTCAAGGAGCCTTCAAGATTTGAAAGAGAATTACTGAATAGTAAAACTAAAATAATTGCAAAAATGTATAGACTTCTTTTAGACTACGAAGTAATGGATGAGGAGGTTAAGGCTTCAATGATAAAATGGGCCCAAGATGTGGGCCGTCCAATTATGCTAAAAGATTGGGAAAACTTATGGAAGGTAAATTTGAAATTTACAGCCAGCTACAATATAAGAGAGAACATGATGAAAATGGTTCACAGGTGGTACCTCACTCTTTCCAGATTATCAAGAATGTATAATAATTTGGCGAATGCTTGTTGGAGATGTGGAGGAAATGATGGTGACATGATCCACATGTGGTGGACGTGTGGAAAGATTAAGATTTTTTTTGGGGGGGGGAAAATATATGATGAATTAAAAAAGATGATGGGGATAACTTTTACCAAAAAAACGGAGGCATTTCTATTAAGTATTTTAGATAAAGAGATCCCCAAAAATCTAAGAGTGGTATTTTTGTATGCAACCGCAGCGGCTCATATACTTGTGGCCAAGGGATGGAAAGATCACGAGGCTCCAAAAATAACAGATTGGCAAATCAAATTACAGGAATTGGTGGAGACTGCTCAACTGATTAGTAAACTCAGAGGAAACTCAAAGCAAAAATTAGCGGAAAAATGGGATGTTTATAAAAAATATGTTCAAAAATACAGTAATAGTTTTGACTCCGTGCTAGCATTTGAGTGATAAAGGAAATAAAAGGAAGTGGACTACAATTAAGGATTTATTATGTTTTCAGAATGTATTAGAAAAATTATATAGAAAGGCTTATTGTTTTGTGTACATTCAATTGTAAGATAAAACATATGCAAAGGGACTTGACAGGAAGTCAAAGTTGAAGAAAATATTTTGGAAGATAAAAGGGGTGGAAATATTTACTTTCATTATTATCATTTTCTGCGCGGGTGTATGTGTGTGGGCATATATGTGTTGTTGTATGCAATGTAAGGGAGGAAATAAGACTGTAAATAACAAATAAACTAAATATTGATGTATGTAATTTTTATTTCTTAATTATATTTTGTGGTAGTATGGCTGTATTGTTTTTTTGAAACATAAAATCATTCAATAAAAATTATTAATTTATTTTTTTTAAAGTCCAACCGCAGCCGAGTCACTGCCCCGCCCCCGATATCTATCTATCTATCTAGGCAGGCATCCCTCGCTTTTGCTTCGCTGGCTGTGGGGAATGGGGGAGCTCCCCCTGCAGTGCGTCCTCCGAGCCGCCAGAGGCCCCCGCGGCGCTCTCTCTCTCTCGGCCGCCTCCCTCCGTGACGCGCCGCCTCCCCCCCTTCCTCCTCGGCCGGAAGTGGCGGGGCGGAGCCTCGGCTGCCGATCCGCCGGGTGAGGCGAGGCGACGACGGCGACGATGTGGTTCATGTACGCGCTGAGCTGGCTCGCGCTGCTCATCCAGGCCGCCTTCGTCACGCTCGGCATCGGTGAGGAGGCCCCTCGGGACCAGGCGGAGGGGGAGGCCGCCACCCCTCCCGGCCACTCCCCCCCCGCACCCCCACAAGTGGTCTCTCCCTCCTCCGCGCCCGGCCGACCTCTCTCCTCCTCCCCCCCTTCGAGTCCGGCAGTGGTACGGCCCGGCTCCGGCCGGCCAATAGGCGATCGCGGCCTCCCTTCCCTCGCGCCCGAGGAAGAGGGGAGGGGGCGTGGCCGAGGAGCTGCGCCTGCGTGGAGCCTCTCCGTGCAGGCGCAGTCTACCTCTGAGAAGCAGCTGAGCGGGGGGGGGGGCGAATGGGGCCCGGCCGGCTCTCAGGCCAGTGGCCCATCCGGTTCAGCCTCCTGCGCTCACTGCCAAGTGCCTGTTGTGGGAAACCCGCAAGAGCCCCGTCTTTCCTCCTTCGGTCTCCAACAGCCGCTGTGCAGAAGCATTTCTGCCCCGTGTGGGAGAAACCCAGCCAGATGGGCAGGGTGTTAATAAATTATTATTATTATTATTATTACAGTGGTACCTCAGGTTACAGATGCTTCAGGTTACAGACTCCGCTAACCCAGAAATAGTACCTCGGGTTAAGAACTTAGCTTCAGGATGAGAACAGAAATCGTGCTCCGGCGGTGCGGTGGCAGTGGGAGGCCCCATTAGCTAAAGTGGTGCTTCAGGTTAAGAACAGTTTCAGGTTAAGAATGGACCTCCAGAACGAATGCAGTACGTAACCAGAGGTACCACTGTATTATTATTATTATTAGATAGCCCTACCTTCCCTCCATAAGGGACGCGGGTGGCGCTGTGGGTTAAACCACAGAGCCTAGGACTTGCCGATCAGAAGGTCGGCGGTTCGAATCCCCGTGACAGGGTGAGCTCCCGTTGCTCGGTCCCTGCTCCTGCCAACCTAGCAGTTCAAAAGCACGTCAAAGCGCAAGTAGATAAATAGGTACCGCTCTGGCGGGAAGGTAAACGCCGTTTCTGTGCGCTGCTCTGGTTTGCCAGAAGCGGCTTAGTCCTGCTGGCCACATGACCCGGAAGCTGTACGCCGGCTCCCTCGGCCAGTAAAGCGAGATGAGCGCTGCAACCCCAGAGTCGGTTACGACTGGACCTAATGGTCAGGGGTCCCTTTACCTTTTACTTTACCTTCCCTCCACTAGTTGGCCTAATCCTCTTCGTTTCATTTCTTTCCACTAAGGCCCATCCCTCCCTCCCTCCCAGATTAATTCCTCTTTGAATGTGGCTCGGTCTGTTGCTGCAAATAGGCAGCCTACTAGGGACTGGCCTACTGGTTTAGATGCCTTTGAAAGGAGATTAGAGCAATTAATAGAGGATCAATCCCTGGCTCTTAGGCAAGGGAGAAGCTGGTCTCTCTCTGATTATTGGTTGCTGGGGGTAAGGCGGGGCAAGGCCTTCATTCCTTGCTTGCCGGATTTTGGGAAGAAGCCTCTTAGTTTGCACCTCTGCAGGAGGGGCATGAATTTAGGATGAAGTGAGGATCTCACTTTCGCTCAGTGGCCGCAGTTGCTCCACCTTGGTAATTTCACTCATTCTGTCCTGTTGTCTCCAAAGACTTTGTCCAAAGTTGACACTGAACAACCCCTCTGGTGGGATGCTACATTGACTGAGGATGGAAGGAGCATGGCAAAGGAAATTTAAGCACCATAAGGAAAACTTGCAGAATAAAGCATTGTTTTGCTTGCTGTGTAACTGTTGGAAGTGATGGAATCCTTGAGTGCTAAGACGAGGGATCTTGTGGGAAGACATGGACTTCTTTTTAAAAAGAGTAACAATCGCATATTTATTGTGCTGCAAGCTGGTTTTCCGGAAAAGCTCAGAGATTTGAAATCTGAGGTGACAATGATTGCAAACCGAGTATTTGGCCTCAGCGCTTGATGTGAGCTGGGCATGTGAAACCCCAAGCTTCAGTTCCCATGGACCCACCAAAGCCACAAGACCTGGAATTTCTTACTCTTTTTGTAGTTCATAAATCAGAAGCTATGTGGCCAGAAGTTGTGGGAATTGTTGGTCTCAAGCTCCTTTTCTTCTCTCTTCCAGCGGCTGGCTTGTACTACTTGGCCGAGTTGATAGAAGAGTACACAGTGGCAACCAGCAGGATCATTAAGTACATGATCTGGGTAAGTCTCTGGCTGCCTTTGGAACAAGTTCCCTCCCTTATCTTATCAATGCCATCCAGTGGTGCAAGCCTCGCTGGCACAGTGTGAGACTAGGAAGGCCAAAATAAGTTCCAGGGGGAGGAGTTCCTCAGGCGGCTTATTGGGGACAGAGAGAGAGAGTTGCTTGGCAAGAAGCTTGTTCCAAACAAAAGCTGAACTTGAAAAGTAGTTCTTGCGAGAAGCCTAACAGCTTCTATGATCTTGCTGTCTTGCCTGCTGGCTGCTCACAGCTGCTTTGTTCCTTTCACATTATTACTGTTTATATTTATTCAATGCATTCAGCTGCAATCCTAACCCCACTTATCTGAGAGCAAGCCCCACTGAATTCAGTGGACTTTTGCGTAGGTGTGGTTCAGATAGCACTCATGGTCACTTTCCCCAAGAAGTCTCAAAGCAGCTTACAAAAATAAATGGCTGGTTCACTTTTGCCTGGGAGAAATGTCTTAGCCTGCTGCTGAAAAGAAGTCTGTGTCTGTGCCAGGCAAGCCTCCTTGGGGAGAGCATTCCATAAGCCACTACTGAAAAGGCCCTTCCTCTTTTTGGTACCCTCTTACGCCAGTGGTTCTCAAAGTGGGATTACCTTGGGGCTAAGAGGCAAGGGCAGGCAGAGGGCGATGGAGGAGTAAATGATTCTCAGGCTTTGAAAAACTGGTATCACTCGATCAAATTTATCCATTCTCTTGAATTAATGAAACTAAATTGTTTTGATTGGATTTTGAAGGAATGTGCAATTAATTGGTGCTATTTTGAATTTTATTGCGTTGTCACATTCCTTCATGGGTTGTGCAAACCGCTATTGTGAATACAGTAATGCTTTTTATAGGGTGGGGTGGGTTGCACTGGGGGTGAGTTTATGGAAGCAAGGGGTGGTGGCCCAATAAAGTTTGGGAATGCCTGCTCTGAACTAAGATTGTATATATTTGTGTAAGTCCCCCAGAGGGGATTAGTTTTCCATGTGCATCTAAATGGATATAGAGCGAGCAGGATGGCACAGACCACAGAGAAACCAGACAGGCTGTTGGGTGAGATGGGAATCTTCCTTTTGTCTGCGGCCTGTTGGCATTTTCCCCTGCAGCAACAGCTTTCACTGACAATGGGGTCTCTTAGTTCTCCACAGCTGTGCTGGTTGGGCTGTACCTCTTTGAGCACTTCCCGGGCCTCATGGTGGGAGTCGGCCTCTTCACCAACCTGGTCTATTTTGGATTGCTGCAGACCTTCCCTTTCATCATGCTCACCTCTCCAAACTTCATCCTGTCCTGCGGTGAGTGCCTTTCAGATGCTGGGCACCAGATACCACAACCTCTAGTGTCAAAACAGCCTGTGCTGAATCTCCTCTGAGTCTGGAGGGTCTCAGCTCTTGCTTGAATTGATCTTGTGGCCAAGGAGCAAATTGCTCTGCCTTTGTCACTGTGTTCTTGCTCTCCCAGGTGGAAGATAGTCACTGTTTTTCCCCAGTGGATGAAGTGGGAGTCTTTGAGAAGGAGGCTTGTACCTTCAGGGGGGATCCCGATTTGGAAGTTGGTACAATGGATTGACCTGGAAAATTGTGCTGGCGTGTTACGCCTGTAGACAGGCAAGGCTCCATAGGCTGAGACCGGCTGCTTGAATGCTGCCTGGAAGGCTGGACAGCCCAAATAGGTGCCAGGGTATAGTGCAGCAACTGGCCACTTCCTTGGCGTTGGATCTGTTCTGGAGGTTTAGGCAGCTGCAGGAGGAGACCGGAGGAGGCTGTTGGCCTCATATAATGAGTGAATGAAGCTGGGGTTGCTTCATTTATCTTATCTGGACTGCTCTTCTGTGCTAAGGACAATGTTCGGTCCTTTTGGTCTGAGCTCCACCCTTCACTGAAGCAAAGGTTAAATGTGCATATTCTTCCTGTTACCATCCCCACCCATTCAGAATGCAAACTTGCCTTCTTGCTTTTTTTACTCTGTAAAACACCTCGAACTCTGAAGGTGCCATAGAAGTAATAACACTCATTCAGCTGCATCAACAAAACCAGGGTGTTTTCCTCCCCTCCTTTTTGCATAGTTACTCAATTCAGTTGCTTCTGTTTGAACCCAGGATTCAGAGGTTTTACATATTTCTGGGGTTGGAGTTTTGATCACAGGAACTAGCAATGGATTAGTGGTGATGGGCAGGAGGGAGGCACGGCTGCTGGAGGCGCTGCTTCTCATTGTGTAATTTGCTTTTTTCCCCAATTGGCAGTGTTGGTTGTGCTGAACCACTACTTAGCGTTCCAGTATTTTGCGGAAGAGTATTACCCATTCTCAGAGGTAAGAGATGCCACTGGCTGTCCCATGGAGCTTGGGCATTGGGGAGAAGGGCAGAGGTGAGCTGCCATGGTAAATAATAATTTTAATAATAATTATTATATTAGTTATACGCCGCTGGGTTTTCCCTGTTGGGTCTGCAGCACTTTTTCTAGTTTCTCTAGACCTAGCCAAAATTCAGCTGAAAGGTTTGCGAGTCTCATGGCAAAGCGTTTTTATGCTGGCTCTGGGTTGTTGCTGGTTTTGATGTTAATCTTAAAGGACCCTTACTGCAATCTAAAGGGTGCCACCGTCTCAGCAGGCAGAGGCAGCTCTGTTCTATCACTGTCGGTCCAGTATACCTGAAGGAGCGTCTCCACCCTCATCGTTCTGCCCGAACACTGAGGTCCACCTCCGAGGGCCTTCTGGCGGTTCCCTTGCTGCGAGAAGTCAAGTTACAGAGAACCAGGCAGAGGGTCTTCTCGGTGGTGGCACCCGCCCTGTGGAATGCCCTCCCACCAGATGTCAAAGAGAAAACCAGATTTTTAGAAGACATCTGAAGGCAGCCCTCTTTAGGGAAGCTTTTAATGTTTAATAGGTTATTGTATTTTAGTGTTCTGTTGGAAGCCGCCCAGAGTGGCTGGGGAAACCCAGCCAGATGGGCGGGGTATATATTATTATTATTATTATTACCAAAATGCTCCCATTTCATGTTGCATGTGTAGCACCTCTGCTAAAAAGAGAAATGGATTAGTCTCCCATCTGATCTCACACTTGCACTGCTAGCTCTTGAACCTGCCTCTGATTCATGGAGGAGAGGGCTTTTGATGGCTGCTATGCAGGACGGCTCTGCTCTGCCTCGCAGGCAGCAGTGCATCTGGATACAAGGTGCTGGAAACCAAAGGAGGGGAGAGGAGAGAATCCTGCTTGCTGCTTTCCCATGGGCATCTGGCTGGCCACTGTGAGGACAGGGCCAGGCGCAGGGTACTCTTGTTCCTGGGGACTAAGACTCTATCTCTCATGTGGCTTTCTGGGACCCTGTGGGTTTTATTTTATTTGCAGAGCAGGGTTGGTTGCGGCTCTTCTTGATGCTCTCTCCATGTTTCGCCCCCAGGTGCTTGCCTACTTCACCTTCTGCCTGTGGCTAATCCCCTTTGCCTTCTTTGTTTCCTTGTCAGCTGGGGAGAATGTGCTGCCTTCCACAGTGCAACCAGGAGGTGAGTTCCGCAGGCCTGGCCTTTACAGCCCCTGCCTTCCCCGGCCTGGTGGCCTACAGGTGTTTAGGAATTTCTGGGGAGGGGACGTCTTCAGCTCAGCGGCAGAAGCACAGGCTTTCTGTGCTCAAGGTCCCAGGTTCAGCTGCTGGTGCCTCCAAGTGAGGCTGTGGATGCCCCCTGCCTGAAATCCCAAGCCAGTGTTTCTGGACCAAATGGTATGCCTTGGTGGACGGCAGCCGCTGGGATGATGGGAGTTGTGGTCCAAAACATATTTCAGACACCAGGTTGAGAGGCCTGCTAACCAGAATGGTGGGAAGTCTGTAGCAGATTCTGCGGCTGAAATAAATGACTTGTATTATTATTTTACATTCCCTAGATGTATAGCAGAATTTGCTGGAAAGAACGGGGGATGGAGGAGGCGGCAGCTGTGCAAGTCAGGGCTGGTGATGACTGAAGTGGTTGGGGTTGGACTGGTGGCTTTAGATTTTAGGAAATTTTAAGCTTACCAATGCCACCTTAAGGACAAGAAAGTTGACTTTCTGGATATGTGGATGCACAGAATGCCAAGAGAATGCCCTGTCTTACCTTCAGCCCAGCCAACTGATCAAATCTCCTAGGCAAAGGGGCACACTCCTAATCTGAGCTATTGAGCAATGCCTCCTAGGAACTACAAGTCTCATAGTGCAGTGCTTAAAGGCAACGGCTACAGCAGGACTCCCTCCCTCCCTCTCTGATGTGATGACTCCCTGGGTTTTTCTTTCTCTCCTCAGACGATGTGGTATCGAACTACTTCACGAAAGGGAAGAGAGGGAAGCGGTCTGGCATCCTGGTCATCTTCTCGTTCATTAAGGAAGCCATCTTGCCCAGCCGCCAGAAGATGTATTGAGCCCTCCTCCCAGCCGCCCCTCAGCGTCTTCTGCTCACGAGGAAACACACTCACCCCAAGTGAAACGAGAGGTCCCTGGGCCTTGGCCTTCCCCTCACCCTTTCGCCTGTCCAAGGGACGCGTTTGGGATGAACAGACTGCAGATTGCTGGGCAAGCAGCTGCAGACCTGGGCGGCCCACTCTCTGGGGTGGTTGTGCTTTCTTGACAGCCTGCTTGTGAGGTGTGTGTGGCCAAGGAAGGCAGCAGCCCTGTCCAAATCTGGATCCTGCGTCTCTTAAACTGGTTGGAGCCCCGTAATGAGCTGTTGCTGTCTTCTTCACATTTAAAAGCCAAAAACATTTCGCAAAAGGTGCTTTTGTCCATGGACTCACCTCTTCCCTGGTGTGAAGGTGTTCCAAGGTTTGACCGGGGTTCGAATGGACTTAATGATCGACACACCCAAGCCCTTCCCACTGCCAAGATTCTTCCAAAGAGTTTTATTTGTCGAAATCCATGGAGAAGCAATGGAGAGACTGGCTTTTCATAGACACTACTTGTTCAGAACATATCGTGACTTTGTAGGGGAGAGGTGGGCAGGAGCCCAGAATCCTACATGTCTCTTTCTCGTTTTTTGGAGGCAAATCTGTGATCAGCATTTGTGCAAATGGATCTTGCCTCAGTGACTAGGAAGTGGGAACCCCCTCTTGCCCCATTTTGACTGGGCAGTCCTTTCAAGGATGCTTCGGGGGGGCAGTATGTGTGGAGGCTGTAGACATAACTTCATTTGGCAATCTAGGGATGATCATTTGCACAGATTTCCTACAGCTGCACTATTCTTGCAGCACTCGAGGTAATAAATTGAAAGCCCCGTTTTAAAAAAAAAGATTGCTGGCATATCTCTCCCCCCCCCAATTCAACAGTTTTAATAACCTGGAAGAACGCTGCCTTGAGTGAAAATCAAGCTTCACAAATACCTGAAAACATTGGGAGAAGAGGACAATGAAAGTGCAAATAAGAAACCTGGAGTGCAAAGGGCTTTTTGTTTTCATCCAGGTTTGGAATCCGGTTCCTCCGGTTCCCATTTGGTTTCTTAAGGCGTGGGCAGGCACCTCCTCAAGTATTCTAGGATGGTTTCTGAAGAAAGAGGGCTCTGCTGCTGCTGCCGCCCGCTGCGTTGCGGATGTTGACGACAACACCACATTGTTCTCTCTTAAATTAATGGACGTTTTGGTTTCTGTCTGAGCACACCGTCTGTGTTAATAAAGGTGTTAGGTGAAATTTGCCTTAAAAGCGAAGAAGGGCGAGCCGCTCTCTCCTCTCACGGGTGCCTGGCGGAAGCTGGAGTGGACAGTCCTCTGGAATGGCGGGGTGTTCCTCTCTGGGCTGTTGCTTCGGCCCAAGGACTTGGAGGCAAGGCAAGCATTTGCCTGACCTCTTGGGAGGGGCTACCTGGGGTCTGGGCAGGAGCCAAAGCTTCTGGTGTGGGCTGAAGCATCTCCAGAGTGGACCCAACGCTTGCCGCTTTCAGGTGTGATGTGGGCCAACCCAGAGGTGGTGTTTTTGCTTTCCACCTCCTTGCCAAGGAACCCTGTGAGCTGGTTTGTTTTTTTTAAAAAGAAAATACTTTTCCTTTATCAGGCGCTTCCTTCTGCATTGACAGCAGAGGAGGGGAAGTTAAAGCCTTTGCCACCATGTCAGCCTCTTGGCTATAGGGGGAGGACAAGTCTAGCCTATCCGGAGTCCCCTGTCTGGCAGTTTGACGTACAGTGGTACCTCGGGTTACATATGCTTCAGGTTACATATGCTTCAGGTTACAGACTCCGCTAACCCAGAAATAGTACCTCGGGTTAAGAACTTAGCTTCAGGATGAGAACAGAAATTGTGCTCCGGCGGTGCGGTGGCAGCGGGAGGCCCCATTAGCTAAAGTGGTGCTTTAGGTTAAGAACAGTTTCAGGTTAAGAACGGACTTCTGGAACGAATTAAGTACGTAACCAGAGGTACCACTGTACGGGGGTTTCATTCATTCCTGGAGCTGGTTTTGTGCCGATGTAAAGGTTGGATGGTGTTCTTGAAGCTACCAGCATGAGTTTGGCCAAACTGAGGGAGGCAGTGGAGGACAGAAGTGCCTGGCGTGCTCTGGTCCATGGGGTCACGAAGAGTTGGACACGACTAAACGACTAAACAACAAAGTCCCAGGTGAGGTCCCCAGTGTGTCCACCTAAAGAGCCTGCAATAACCAGCTTAGGAACGCGCTTGGGAGCCCCTTTCAGCCAGAGCAGTGCTTTCTGGGGGGAGGTGGACCCTTTGGCCTGACTTGGCAGAGAGCGTGGGCAGGGACACCCACACAGAGGCACCTGTGCCCGCCTGCATGCACATATATGACCCCCCAGCCGTGCTTTCTGTCGCACACAATCCAGCACTCTTAACCTTAATCAGGCGGTGGGGGAGAACTTCCTGCAGTATTACTGCGCCGCCCCCTCAAAGCCTATTTGCAATGCAGGGATGCCGCAGCACAGAAGTTGGGGATGTTGACCTTCCCTTGTGTTGCAAGTAAGGTCCTGTGCCAAAAACAGCCACCCGTGCCCCATTTAGGCTTGACAAACAGCACTGCTGGAGCTGAGGCTGTTTTCTAATTAGGGCAAGGGAGTGGCGGTTCTGGCACGGCATGCGGAGTTACTTAACGGCACGTTTGGGCTTGGCAAAATTGCTGTTGCAGCGCTAGGAGGGAGTACAGGTGGCTGGCTGAAGAGATCCCTCAGCCCCAGGGGCAGCCTGCCCCGTTTCACCCAGAGGCAAACCTGGAATACGCTGCCGTACCCCTCACCCCGACCCGTACCCCTCACCCCAACCCGTCCTCCTCACCCCAACCCGTCCTCACCACCCCAGCCCTTCTGCTGCCACTGGAACGCCCCTCTGGCCAAGAGTCAGCAAGAGCGGAGCGTTCTGGCAGTGGCAGAAGCAGTGAGGCAGGGATGCCATCTCCGGTTCCTGCTTCACCCTGCCTCATGAGTGGGCCGGCACTGTTCAGTCTCCATCACTTCTGTTGGTGCTGAGATGGGCCCAGCTGCCTGACTTAATACAAGACACATTCTTAGGGTGAGACTTTGCAGACATTTGCGTGCAGCTGCTGAATGCCTGGCAAGCCTAGACGTTTGTGTCTGCGTGCCTGCACCCAAATCCTTCGCAGGCTCTGGTCTTGCTGAGTGGCTGAGAGTTATGAGATCCCTCCGTGATCATTCATCTATTGCCAGAACCTCCCAAGCCTTATGTGGGAGTTTCCATTTGCTGATGGGTGGACTCTTGGGCGATTCAAGCTAGATCAGGGGTCAGCAGACTTTTTGGGGAGGGGGCCAGTTCGCCGTCCCCCAGACCTTGTGGCGGGTCGGACCACACGTGTGGCGGAGGGGGCTTCTTTCTCTCTTCCCAGCCCCTCCCCTCCCCTCCCCCTGCCTACGTATGCTGCTGCTGGCGGCGCTGTGCTCTCCCAACTGTGGCTCCCGCGCCTGCCCTTGCGAGAGCTGCTTTTGGGCTGCTCGTCCCGCCGCCACCTACAACAGCCTCTGCCGCTCGCCAGTGCAGGCACCAGAGACGCGGTTGCGAGAGTGCAGCTGTTGGCGGCGGCAGAGGGACGAGCGGCCCGAAAGGGCTGGCTGGCTCGGGAGAGCCACAGGTCAGCCCAGCCCCCTTCCTCCACCATTGGCAGGGCAGGGAGAAGCCAGGAGGGGGGGAGGGAGGGAGGAGGCACTGGTGTGTGTGTGGGGGGGGAATGGCGCCGAAAAAAATGGTAGCACCGAAAAAAAATAAACGGGGGAAAAAAAGCAGAATCGCCAATCCACGGAACGTCCGTCTGCAGGCCAGATCCTGAGGGCAATTGGGCCGGATCTGGCCTGCGGCCCATAGTTTGCTGACCCCCGAGCTAGACTGTGCTATGCCCCATGTGGACAGCCCACTCCCAGCCTTAGTGTTGGCTGTTGTGCTTAAGAGGCGGTGATGCCATGCAAGAGGGATGGGCGGACTTTGTCCAGGCTGCGGACTCTGCTGTGGCAGTGGCTCTCCCCCCTTGGCTGCGGGGGCTTTCACAGGCATGGGGCAAGGGCACGCTTTGCTTGTACGTTCCTCCAAAGACAGATCTGAGGTAGGTGGTGGAAGCAACTGTGGAACTCCCTTCTGCAGGAGGCAATGATTGTCCCCAACCTAGGTGGCTTTGAAAGGACTAGACCAATCCATGGGGGAGAGGGCTATTGAAGGCTGCTAGCCATGACAGCTATATGCTCTTGCCTCCACAATTGGAGGCAGCCGTGCTGCTGAATCCCAGCTGCTGGAAACCACAGGAGGGGAGAGTGGCTCTTGTGCTCAAATCCTGCTTGCAGGTTTCCCATAATGGGCATCTGTCTGGCCATTGTGAGAACTGGGCTGGATGGGCCACTGGCCTGATCCAGCAGGCTCTTCTCGTGTCCTTAAGAATCCTTACAGTTTTCCCAAAGGTGGGGCAGCTGTACACTAGACTGTGCCCCATAAGAGGCAAGTTCTCTGAGCGGACCACGCTCTGTCGGCTTTAATCCCTATGCTATACAACCCTGAATGTCTTAGAACTGAAAAGAACCAGCCCCACAACTCTTCCCTAGTGGAGTTTGATGCTGCGTATTTAGTTCATCGTGCCTTGCAGTACTGAATAATTCGCTTTACAGCTGCAAAACGTTTTGAAAGCCAGCTTCCTTGAGGCTTTTGTGTTCTGCACACTCCTGGCCTCTAGAGGGTGCAAGCAACACACAGTACAAACTGGAAGTGCTAGGTTGGCAGGAGCAGGGACCAAGCAACAGAAGTTCACCCGTTGCGGGGATTCAAACCGCCAACCTTCTGATCGGCAAGCCCAAGAGGCTCGGTGGTTCAACCCACAGCGCCACAAAAATGAGCATTAAATAAGCTGGTTTAATTCCCACTCACCCACCCACCTCCCCTGGTGCAAATGTTCTCATAGCAAACTGTTTCAATCCAGACTCAAATGATTATTTCCAGCCCTGCTGGGCTCTGCTACAGAACTGGGGCAGGCACATATTTTTGTGCTGGGTGAGCGAACTACCCCACAGGTGAATCTTGGTGGCTGCTGCCTTTGCTCTGGGTAGAGGAGGAAGAGGAGATGTCTTTGCTGCTGGTGCTGGCCGACTCCAGCCTTGGAAAGAGCACTTGGGGGTCGCTGTAGGTGGCAAGGTGGGCCTTCAGCGTGCCCAGAAGGGCCGGGTCCACCGTCTGCCTCAAGCTCAGCGCCATCTGATCGGTCCAGCGATGCTCAGGGCCGGGGCGGCGCCTGTGCTGCAATCCGAAGATGTGCTGGGGCCTGAGATCCCCCGGGACATCCAAACGGGTCGCCCGGGTGTCGGGATAGAGGCTTTTCTTGAGGACTTCGAAGGGCAGGTCGGGCATGTCCAGGATCTTGCCGATGCCGTCGACCTGGATCTCAGGGTCGCCATAGCCGTTCTTGTAGAGGAAGAGGTAGGAGGTGAAGTCGTGCTCCGCGGGCGGGTCAGGATGGATGCCCAGCCGCACAGTCTCCGGCCGGCTGATGCAGGTGGCCGGCAGGGAGGCTAAGTTGGTGCTGACGTTCCACGGCCGGCACCGCCGGTCCTTGCGCACCTGGTAAGTGTCGTCCACTCTCAGCGGGACTATTTCTTCGAAGGAGAGGATTGGGCTGGTCTTCTTCCGGGTTCCTCTGAGAGGGAGCACAGACTTCCGCTTCGTGTCCAGGCAGCGCACGATTCTGGCCGGAGGCGGAGGCAAATGCTTTTTGGCCAGCCACTCATCAAAGGCCAGTTTGTTGCTGAGATTTATCTCCATCTGTAATGAAAGGACAAACAAGGCAGTGGGCGAAGGGCCACAGTCTGTCCTCTTCAGGGGGGTTGGCCAATCAAATCTGCTAAGCCCTGGTTTTGACTCAAATTAGCCGAGACTGGGCCCATCACCTCCTGGCAAATAGAAGGGGAAGAAATGGAGGCAGTGAGAGATTTTCCTTTCTTGGGCTCCACAATCACTGCAGATGGTGACAGCAGCCACGAAATTGAAAGACGCCTGCTTCTTGGGAGAAAAGCAATGACAAACCTAGACAGCATCTTAAAAAGCAGAGACACCACGTTGCCAACAAAGGCCCGTATAGTTAAAGCTATAGTTTTCCCAGTAGTGATATATGGAAGTGAGAGCTGGACCATAAAGAAGGCTGATCGCCAAAGAATGGATGCTTTTGAATGATGGTGCTGGAGGAGACTCTTAAGAGTCCCATGGACTGCAAGAAGATCCAACCTCTCCATTCTGAGGGAAATCAGCCCTGAGTGCTCACTGGAAGGACAGATCCTGAAGCTGAGGCTCTAATACTTTGGCCACCTCATGAGAAGAGAAGACTCCCTGCACAAGACCCTGATGTTTGGAAAGATGGAGGGCGCAAGGAGAAGGAGACGACAGAGGACAAGATGGTGGGACAGTGTTCTCAAAGCTACCAGCATGAGTTTGACCAAACTGCGGGAGGCAGTGGAAGACAGGAGTGCCTGGCGTGCTCTGGTCCAGGGGGTCACGAAGAGTCGGACACGACTAAACGACTAAACAACAACAACAAGCCGAGACCTTGGTTTACAATCATTGCCTGCATTGTGGCTACTAATGTTCATGATAAAATGTATTTCGTTAACACAATTTGCATATTATTATTGATATCGGTGGAGAGGAGAAACGCCATGGTGCATCTGCAGCAGCAAAACCTTCATTTGCCCCAGCTGCAACAAAACATGTCTCTCCCCTATTGGTCTCTACAGCCAGAGACAGCGCTGTAACTCCCTAATGGTTTGCCCTCTCTTAAACAGCCCAGCCATGTGGCGTAAGGAGCACCGGTAACCGAAACGACCCTGAAGGCGGCTTTGCCTGTGCACATCCGTGCTGCTGCTTACCTGCTCTCTTTTAAGGAATTCGATTTTCTGCACCTCGCACGCCTCCTTGATCTTGTTCAGTTTGGTGACCTGCTGGACAAAGTGCGCTTTGTCTGCTTTCCACATGGCGCTGGCGAGACACCTGCGGAGGCAGAGCACCACCCTGGATGTGTGCAGGAGGATCTGCCTCAGGTGACTGGCAGAGAAAGACCTGCATGATCGTCCCATATTGCAAAGCTCCCCTGCTGGTATCCGTACCATTTCCTGCACAGGTGTTTCTAGAGCAGGGGTCCCCAAACTAAGCTCTGCGGGCTAGATAAGGCCCGAGGGACTCATTTATCCGGCCCGCGGCAACCCCCGCTGCCGCCGCCTGCTTGTACCAGCGCTGTGCTGTGCGGCTGCCCACTTCTGGGTCGGAGGAGCACCGGAAAGAGTTTGTGCACATGCGCGAGCGTTATTTCCGATGCACATCCGGGTCAGAGGAGGCCTGTGCACATACGCACAAGCTATTTCTGGTGCTCCTCCAAGCCGGAAGTGTGCCATAAATAGCGTGTTCGCACGTGTATGGACACGCACTCTCCAGCCCGCCGCGCGATTGGCGCGGCAGAACTGGTCCGAGGAGCGGTAAGTTTGCTAACCGCTGTTCTAGAGGCACTGAGAGCCTGTAGAAAGACTTGGGATGCATAAGGTCATTTGGAGGGACCCCAGTTGCTGGAAAGCACAGGAAGGGAGAGCGAGCGTCTGTTGGCCTCAGGCCCTGCTTCTGGGCTTCCCCTTGAACAGGAGCCTGGACCAGATGGACCACTGGCCTGATCCTGCACTCAGACTCTTATTCTCCTATGATGCTCTGAGGATCATATGTAGGAGCTCCAGCTCCCCAGGGGCTTCTTGCTTGTGCCAAGAATCTCATGTACACTGAAGTGGAAAATATAGACGCAGGGATGTAGCAGATGCTTTATTCTGAATCGGATCATTGACCAATCTAATTCAGCATTTCATTGACTGGCAGCAGTGGCCCTCCAGGATTCCAGGCAGGGAGTTTTCCCAGCCCTACCTGCAGGTGCTGGGGATGGAATCTGGGGGCTCCCTGGCCAAGGAATGCACAAGGCAGAGGGTCAAACCTTTATTGTCCAAGGTAACAGTCACTTCTACAGCTCTGGAGAAGTATGCACACCAACGTTGCGTCTAGGCAGCTGTTCCCGAGTCTGCGCTCTGTAGAGCAGTTGCGGCATCTCGGTACCACTTCCCCTCCACCAGTTTATATACCTCCCCCTGACGGGCTGCATGCATGTAGCCGGAGACTGAGCCTGGGTGGAAACTGCCCCTGCTCTTCTCCCTTCAGTCCCCTCCTGGTTCTGGGAAACATGATGCAGGAGAAGGTGAGGAAGCACTCGGCCCTTCACTTGCCTGGTCTGCCTTTTCCTCCTCCTTTTCCTCCATCTCTGAAGCTTCCTCTGCCTGGGTGCACACTCGTCAGCAGGTGCTCTGCTGAGCTATGCTCCTTCCCCAAAGCAGAACTGGGATTCCTTCTCGCAACTCACAAGCAACATTTTGAAAAGAAAAAAAAACACATATCTATCCACCCAAGGCAATATAGCTTTTTGCAGCCTAGGACCCACGTACCTATGGGACTGCCTCTCCTGGTATGCCCCACGGAGGACCTTAAGGCCCACAAATAACAACACTTTGGAGGTCCCGAGCCTCAAGGAGGTTAGATTGCTCTCAACTAGGGCCAGGGCCTTTTCAGCGCTGGCCCTGACGTGGTGGAACAGTGTCACAAGAGACTAGGGCCCTGCGGGACTTCACATCTTTCTGCAGGGCCTGCAATACAGAGCTGTTCCGCCTGGCCTTTGGTTTGGACTCAGTCTGACCCTTCTGTTTCCCTCCCCTTATGGTCTTGATTTATTAGCTACTTTAAAATGAGGCTGCATTTTAAATTGCATTTTAACCTGTATTTTAAATTGGTTTCCCCCCTCCTTCTCTTTCCCCCCTGTTATGTTTTTACTGTGATTTTATTGGTGTTAGCCGCCCTGAGCCCGGCTCTGGCCGGGGAGGGCGGGGTATAAATAAAAATTATTATTATTATTATTATTATTAATAATAATAATAATAATTAAGGGCAGGACTGAGTGCACTTGACTTGCAGCACACAGGTGGGTACCTGGCATATGCCCACAATGGCCCCTCCCATCGCCGCCTCTGGCCCATCCTGTCTTGATGCAAAATACTCACTTGGCACAGGACCTGTGGCCCCACATCCTGCACAGGTCAATGGGCTTCTGGCCCTCATAGTCCCGGATATGGACATCGGCCCCGGCCTTGATCAGTTCCCAGATGCAGTTCTCACGCCCCTCGCTGGCCGCCTTGTGAAGCGGAGACACCCCGCTTTGGTTCTGCCTGGAAAACAAGAACCCCCCGGGGTTTCATTGCTCTTTGCGGAGTCAGCTGCAGAATGTTTTCAGAAATCCGAATCAATTTGCCCAAGATGAATAATAATAATAACAATAATAATTTCTTATTTATACCCCATCCGTCTGGCTGGGTTTCCCCAGCCACTCTGGGCGGCTTCCAAAAGAATGTTAAAATACTGTGATACATCAAACATTAAAAGCTTCCCTAAACAGGGCTGCCTTCAGATGTCTTCTAAAAGTCTGGTAGTTGTTCTCTTTGACATCTGTTGGCAGGATGTTCCACAGGGCGGGTGCCACTACTGAGAAGGCCCTCTGCCTGGTTCCCAGTAACTTGGCTTCTTGCAGTGAGGGAACCGCCAGAAGGCCCTCCGTGCTGGACCTTAGTGTCTGGGTAGAACTATGGGGGTGGAGACGCTCCTTCAGGTCTACTGGACAGATGCTGTTTAGGGCTTTAAAGGTCAGCACCAACACTTTGAATTGTGCTCTGAAATGTCCTGGGAGCCAATGTAGGTCTTTCAGGACTGGTGTTATATGGTCTCGGCGGCTGCTCCCAGTCACCAGTCTAGCTGCCGCATTCTGGATTAGTTGTAGTTTCCGGGTCACCTTCAAAGGTAGCCCCACGTAGAGTGCATTGCAGTAGTCGCAAAACGGTGATGGAGGGCACACACTCCGGAGCAAAAAGGCCATTGTCCCAGAGAACCAAGGGCTCTCTGCTCTTCCAGTTTTAAATGCCTTAAACCTGTGAGTGCTCATCGTTATATGAAGCGAATGAAACGAAATCAAAACTTTAGACAAGTTCATGGAGGAGGAGAGGGCAAGGTTGACTGCTCTGCTTCCACAGTTGAAGGGCAGCAATGCTTCTGTGGTCCCAGTTGCTGGACACCACAAAAGGGGATATTTGCTCTTGTGCTCAGATCCTGCTCTCAGGTTTCCCAGAGGCAACTGTTATCATTATTATTTATTAAATTTGTATACTAACCTATGCCTGTAGATCTCAAGGCTATTCATGGCATAAATGAGTGGCAACCCAATCAGATGGGTGGAGTACAAATGAATTATTATTATTATTATTATTATTATTATTAAACTACAATATATAAAAATAAGAACAAAATCAAACCAATAATCCCCCTCCCGCAATACATTTAAAAGGGCATGGGATGTCAACCAGCCAAAGGCCTGGTTGAAGAAGCATGGTTTCACCCGGCACCTAAGGTGTACAGTGAAGGTGCCAGGCAAGCCTCCCTGGGAAGAGCATCCCACAAATGGGGAGCCACCACGGAAAAGGCCCTGTTCTCGCCTGTTCTCGTGTTGCCACCCTCTGGACCTCTCAAGGAGGAGGCACACAAAGAAGGGCCTCAGAGGATGATCTCAGGGTCTGGGTAGGTTCCTACGGCGAGAGGCAGTCCTTGAGGTATTGCCGTCCTGAATCATTTAAGGATTTATAGGTCAAAACCAGCACTTTGACTTGGGCACAGAAACTAATTGGCAGGCAATGCAGCCACTTTCAAGCCCCTGTGAGAACAGGATGCTGGACTGGATGGGCCACTGGCCTGATCCTGTTCTAAGCATAGACTGAAATGCTCCCCATCCTCAGTAGGGCTGGCTGTGGACGACGGAGATCGGGGCTTGTCCATCACTTAGCCCAGGCTTCCTCAGCCTCGCCGCTCCAGATGTTTTGAGGCTACAATTCCCATCATCCCTGACCACTGGTCCTGCTAGCGAGGGATCATGGGAGTTGTAGGCCAAAAACATCTGGAAGGCTGAGGTTGAGAAAGCCGGACTTGGCCCTTTTTTCGCTGTGCCTGCCCCGGGACCGAATGACTGCCGCTCCCCCTCCAGGGAAATCCCACTAAGCGAAGGAAGGAGGCTCTGCTTTGCCTCTACTTGCCCCTCCTGCGCATAGCTGGGTGTGCACAGGGGAACGATGGGAAGAGGAGGGAAGGGCTGCCCAGCTCACACGTTGACGTCTGCCTGTTTCTTGATGAGGTACTGCAGGCACTCCAGCGCCGCATTCCGGCTCTCCTTGCTGAGCACCAAGTGGATGGGCCTCCAGCCCGTCAGGCTGGCCAGGTTCACGTCGACCTTGAATTTCTCCACCAGCATCTGAATGCAGTCCAGGCGCCCGTACAAAGCTGCCGTGTGCAGCGCAGAGAAGCCCTGGCAGGAAGAGAAGACCTTTGAAGGTGACCCGGAAACTACAACTAATCCAGAATGTGGCAGCTGGACTGGTGACTGGGAGCGGCTGCCGAGACCACGTAACACCGGTCTTGAAAGACCTACGTTGGCTCCCAGGACATTTCCGAGCACAATTCAAAGTGCTGACTTTTAAAGCCCTAAATGGCCTTGGTCCAGTATACCTGAAGGACCGTTCTCCACCCCCATCGTTCTGCCCAGACACTGAGGTCCAGCTCCGAGGGCCTTCTGGCAGTTCCCTCGCTGCGAGAAGCCAAGTTACAGGGAACCAGGCAGAGGGCCTTCTCGGTGGTGGCGCCCGCCCTGTGGAACGCCCTCCCATCAGATGTCAAAGAGATAAACAACTACCTGACATTTAGAAGACATCTGAAGGCAGCCCTGTTCAGGGAAGTTTTTAATGTGTGACATTTTAATCTATTTTTAATCTTTGTTGGAAGCCGCCCAGAGTGGCTGGGGAAACCCAGCCAGATGTGTGGGGTACAAATAAATTATTATTATTATTATTAATGGCAGGACAGATTGATCAGCCTCCGTTGACTGATGGGCTTCTCTGAGCCCCCGTGGCATCCCCGGAACCTCTGCGGGGATTTCTGCACAGCATGAAACATCCAGCCTTGTGAATGGAGTTCAAAACCCAATTCAGCCATGAAACACGTGGATAAGGCTAACCACTACCTTATCCTACTTTATCCTTATTTGTTTCATTGCATTTCTATGTCGTTTTCTTTCACCAAGGACGCTCAAGGTGGCATATATGGTTCCTCATATAACGCCCCCCCCAACAACCCAGTGAGGTTGGTGAGGCTGAGAGGCAGCGACTGGTCCTGAAGGTCGCTCTCAGTGAGCATCATGCCCGAGTGGGGATTTGAACCCAAGTCCTAGCTCCACACTCTAACCACGATACCACACTGGCTCTTTATAGGGCTGTCATGAATGTCAGGTCAGAGAGCCCCATCTGTGCTACTCTGAACTACGCATGGAATAATACAAACTCCCTCTATGGAACACAAATGGGAGTCTTGAGCTGAGATGGAAATGGGGAGGCAACTTGCCTTCCCTGGCTGAGCTAAGACTTGAAACAGGCTCTTAGCCATTAAAAATCCCGCCTGTACCTAAGGTGACAGGTGTAGCAAAATACTCTGAGTATAACCCTCAGTTTTCCACTCTGCTTTCCAGAAAGGATTTCTTCTATTCATGGGGGACCCCCTGGGATGGGACAGAGAGCAAGTCCGTACAGTATTCACACGATTGAGCGCAGTGAGGTTTGTAGGGGGGTTTCACAAATCTCCCCCCGCCCAGCTGTTCACAACAGATTAAAACACCAACACTGGAAACACAGTGAGTGTTAACCTAGCCTTACTCTCTGGCAACACCGCCAGAAAAGTCTGGGTTCGGATCTGCCTCTTTATCTATACTTGCCTGGTCCCTATGCCATCCTTTGGCAAGTTGGTGAATGCTGATCCTCCCACTGGAATTGCAACCAGAATGGCTTATAAAGCAACCTCGAATTTGCACACTTGACACCCATATATGTGCTGAGGATCTTGAGGAGGCAATTTATTTATTTTCATAAATTTTATACACTGTTTGATTGGGGTGTGTGTGTGCCAAACCTCAAAGGGGTTTACAAAAGGACATACCAATGAAATCAAGGAAGATTTAGAACAATAGTATAAAACACTTTAAAAAAATTAAAAGGTTAAAAAGCACACCACTTTCTGAGCGTCTGGCTAGCCTTGCCTAAGCAAGAATGTTTTTAGCAGGTGCCGAAAATAATACCGCAAAGGCACCTCCTGCATCTCAACAGACAGGGAGTTCCGAAGTGTGGATCAGACTGCATGTGCCCCCAATCGCACCCCAAATTTGTGCAAACGAGGTGATATTTACATTAATGTCGGCCTGAGTCGGGCTTTCGGCTTTTTGGATACAGATCTTGAGCCAGTGAACTTGTCCGCTGCTGGCAGCGTACTGCGAGTCTTTTGACAGGACCCTTGCTGGAGCCTGCTTAGAGAACTTCCTAGGGAGAAGACTGAAGAAGAAGATAGAAAAGGCATGGCCAAGTCAATCACCCCTTTTGGACACATTTGCACAATCCAAGGACCTGGGAGACAGAGCTCACTCCATCATTGGCTCTGCTGCATCAGGAATCCTCTTCCCTCAGCTGTCCTCTGCAGGAATTGGGCCGATACAGGGGCGTCTGAATACTCCAATTACTTCCCCTTGGTGTAACAGGGCCCATGTTTTGTAGCCTTGTCGTACTTAACCATTATGTCTGTGCCATAAAATTGTTCAAGTTGCTACCTCCCACAAATTCACTTCCTTGTGGTTTATTTTATGTCTGTATATGGACCATCAGATCCTGTCTGATGACACTACATTTTGCAGAATCTCTCGCACAGTGGTACCTTGGTTCTCAAACGGCTTGGGACTTGAACAACTTGGAACCCAAACACTGCAGAACAAGAAGTAAGTGTTCCGGTTTAGGAACTTTTTTCAGAAGCCGAACATGTTCTGTTTTGAGCGCCACACTTCTGTTTTGAGTGTTATGCTGAAGTCTGTCTGTTTCTGCTATTTAATTTGGGTTTTTGTGGCTTTTTTGTTTTGTTTTTGTGGCTGTGTGGAACCCAGTTCAGCTACTGATTGATTGATTGGGTGACTGCAGTACATTGTTTATTGCTTTCATTTTATGGCTCAAGGGTCTCGTTAGATAGTAAAATTCATGTTAAATTGCTGTTTTAGGGGTTGTTTTTAAAAGTCTGGGACGGATGAATCCATTTTGCATTCCTTTCTATGGGAATCCCAAAGGACAGCCTCTGTGGGAGGGAGCTGGGCACCAACTGCTCCTCAAATGGGCCAGTCGGCCAATATAGTTAGAGATTGGTGCTGGAGCTTTGATCTTCCTCTTCCCTCCCTGTCCCTTTGCCCTCTTATGCTGTGTCTTTCCTTGAGGTTAGAATTGCAGAAGTTGACCGTGCGCAAGCCTTTAAGGCTGGAGAGCAGGATGAAACAAAACAAAACAAACGAAACAAACAAACAAAGGCAAGTGTGGCTAAAACGATGATTGGCAGAATTCCCCTCCCTTGATGCAGCCCAAACAGCCCCCTCCATGCAAGAAGGAGGCATTAGGAGGGTGTTTCTTTGTTTACACCTCTACAAAATTGTCAATATGAGAAGAGGTAAAATGTTTTCTAATTTTCTCTTGGTTACATGTATTTTCTTCCTTTTGTATATTTGTACTTTTTTCTTTTTTTCTAATTTGTACTCAATAAATTTTTTTTTTTTTAAAAAGGAGGGTGTTTCTTTGGAGGGGGTGGAGGTCCCCTATGTTTGCCCCAAAGGATCTATTTTGGGGGTGGGAGGGAGATAAAGTAGGGGACCCCCTGCCCAGTTTCCCAGCGAGGACTGAAAATACTCAGTGACAGCCGCCCCCCCTTGCTGCGCGAAATGGTACAGCCCCGCTCCGCCCGCACCCGCTCAGGACCGCACCACCTGCCCTGGCCGAGAGGGGAGGCTGGAGGGAGAGAGAGGGGGAGACGCGTGTCTTGCCACAGCGGCGTCCGCCCCGCCCCGCCCCCTCTCTCCCGGCCACGCCCACACCCTCCTGCCCCGCCCCCCGCCCCCACTGGCCTTGGGGAGGCGCCGAGGCGGCCGTGCGCTTCCGGGCCGCTCTTGGGCCTCGCCATCCCGCCGGCGGCAGCGCCGTTGCCAGGGCAACCCGCGCAGGCCGGAAGAGGCGCGCTGACGTCGGCGGGGAGGGGCGGGGACAGTTCGGAAGCGCCGCCCCCTGGCGCCCCCGGGAGTCGCGGGTTCGAGACCCCGCCGCGGAGGGAGAGATTCTCCCTTAAAAATACCCCCAGACTTATTTCCTTTTCCTTTTGTTTTTTTTTTAACGTTTTGCAAAAAGGTTTGCCCCCACCCCCAAATAATAATTAATTAATTAATTAATTAATTATGGCAACCCAAAATGATAAGAATGGATGTCACCCGTCTCCTGAGAATCATCGTGATGGAAGAATGTAATTTGCTACCCTGGTTTGCTGTTCTTCATTCAGCAACTCTTGCATTTATACAGTACATGTTATTGTATAAATAATTCTATTGTATAAGTGTGCATTATTATTATTATTATTAATATACCACCCTATGCTCTCAGGGTGGTTCACAGGATAAAATGAGAATGTAAAACAACAAAGTACAGAATCAAAATAAAAACCACCGCCACCCAATAACACGCCCCCATTCCCCACATGTAATATATACTCTGTGTGTATATATATATATATACACACACACACACACACACACACACACACAGAGTGGTACCTCGGGTTACAGACACTTCAGGTTACAGACTCCGCTAACCCAGAAATAACACCTCGGGTTAAGAACTTTGCTTCAGGATGAGAACAGAAATCGTGATCCAGCGGTGCGGCGGCAGTGGGAGGCCCCATTAGCTAAAGTGGTGCTTCAGGTTAAGAACAGTTTCAGGTTAAGAACGGACCTCCGGAACAAATTAAGTTATTAACCCAAGATACCACTGTATACACACACACACACAGTGGACGCTCGGGTTGCGAACGTGATCATGCAGGAGGCATGTCCGCAACCCGCAACGTCTGCAACCTGCAGTGCCACGTCTGCGCACGCGCAGGTTGCAATTTGGCGCTTCTGCGCATGCGCAAAGCGCGATTTAGTGTTACTGTGCATGCGTGAGCGCTGAAACCTGGAAGTAACCCGTTCCAGTACTTCCAGGTTTCGGCGCGTCTGTAACCCAAAAACGCTCAACCTGAAGCGTCTGTAACCCAAGGTATGACTGTATATACATGCCCATGCATGAATTTATTTGGTTATTTTGCATGCATGGCCTTAGCACCCGCTTATGGGTCCAGGGGGCACACCTCTTTATCCGCAGGACCGGAGTGTTGTAAGGGAGACTCCTTTGAGTCTCAATGTCTTGGGTTCAAGCCCCACATTGGGCAAAAGATTCCTGCCGTGTAAGAAGATTGGACTAGAAGATACCGTACTTTAAAAAATACTCGATAAAAGAATTGTGCAAATATGATGCACACCCAGAGAAACATAAAAGCATTTAGTGACTGAGACATTTTGCACCACAAACAAGGATAACAAATATCAAAGGTTTTTTTAAATAAAAACCGAATTAGAATGAGCAGACTAACTACATCTACACAATTCATAACTGATATAAACCCTAAAGAAAGGCATTTACAATTGATGAGTAATCTCAGAATATCCTCAGTCCCAGGTTCATTTGTAGTCTGTGCCAACTACCAGACAAAAGAGGGGTTAGAACGACAAGTTATACCAAGAGAAAAGTTAAAAGGCTAGTTTTATAGATTGGTTGTCTTTGACATGAGCATCCTTCCATCCCATTGTGGCCTTTGAAACAATCTATGTACATTTTTCTAAAAAATAATAATCAGGCTTTTAAAAAATTCAAGATTTGCTGATGCTGCAAATACTTTGGAAATAATTTCACCCCTTAGCTACTCGAAAGTCAATCATTACGGAGAGTCAGTCATTAGACGTCAACTGCATGATGCTGTTCAAATACTCTTCCAAATACGCTTTCAGGGATTTAGTGCAGTTAAAAATAACAGCCTACTTACTAGTCCAAAAGGAGATCTAGTATGACGTGTCATTGACATGTTTACTTTAGTGGCACTGACCTAGTGCTTCAATCCCAGGATCATAGTAAGACTTGTACAACAGCCTTTGAGAAAATCTTGTCTCTGAGTGGGTTCCACCCCCCACTTCCTGGCCGGAGGCTCAAATTTGCCCCGGCCTTGCAAACCTGAAGACAAGCAAGGTTGAAATAAATAAAGGTTGAAATAAATAAAAAAATTAAATAATTGTCCAGTAGCACATTAGAGAAGGGACGTGGGTGGCGCTGTGGGTTAAACCACAGAGCCTAGGACTTGCCGATCAGAAGGTCGGCGGTTCAAATCCCCGTGACGGGGTGAGCTCCTGTTGCTCGGTGCCTGCTCCTGCCAACCTAGCAGTTCGAAAGCACGTCAAAGTGCAAGCAGATAAATAGGTACTGCTCCGGCGGGAAGGTAAACGGTGTTTCCGTGCACTGCTCTGGTTCACCAGAAGCGGCTTAGTCATGCTGGCCACATGACGCGGAAGCTGTACGCCGGCTCCCTCGGCCAATAAAGCGAGATGAGCACTGCAACCCCAGAGTCGGCCACGACTGGACCTAATGGTCAGGGGTCCCTTTACCTTTACTAGCGCATTAGAGACCAGCTAAGTTTGTTCTGGGTATAAGCTTTTGTGTGCATGCACACTTCTTCAGATACCAGAGCGACTAAGTATGTTCTGGTATAACCTTAATGCATGCACACAGAAACTTATACCCATAACAAACGTAGTTGGTTTCTAAGGTGCTACAGGATAATTTTTAATTTTTATTTATTTATTTTGACTGCGTCAGACCAACAAGGCTACCTACCTGAATCTACAAGCAAGGTTTTCAGCTCTCTTTCCTGACAAGGACAGACTTTTGCACCATGTGAGGCTCCTATGAGCCGAAAGCTCCACCTGTTGAACTTCTCACAGACCCGTGTCCCAATTCAGAGCAGCTCCACGTGATGCAAAGAGCTGCATCTACCAGGAAAGGGACCTGAGCACCCCAAAATCAGGCGAGGGAGGAAGACTCCTGGGCAAATGAATTCAGGCTCAGCAGCAACGGAACAATTTGCTTTGCGTTTATCTTGTGCTTGTCTTCACCCCTTTGCCATTGCCAAGAGGCTGGGGAAATGGCCCCAGGAGATGGGGCGACTTGCAGGCTGTTTCGGGGGTGGGTGGGGTGGTCCCGACTCCCTGAGGTGAGCGGGATCCTCCTGCTCATCTGAAGGGATGCTACTCTGAGCAACATTTTGTACATCTTCCCCAATATTTTAATATTGTCCTCTATAATTTCTCTTTGAAAACTAGATCGAGTGTAATAAAACCCTTTCTTATTTTCTTCTTTAAATACCTCATTTAATTGAAAGTACAGTGGAACCTCGGGTTGCGAACGTGATCCGTGCGGGAGGTATGTTCGCAACCCGCAGCATTCGCAACCTACAGTGCCACGTCTGCGCACGTGCTGATTGTGCTTTTGTGCTTTTGCGCATGAACAAGCTCCAAAACCCGGAAGTAACCCATTCCGGTACTTCCGGGTTTGGCGTGGTGCGCAACCCGAAAACGTGTAACCTGAAGCGTCTGTAACCCGAGGTACCACTGTACTGCAACCAATCATTAATGTTTTCTCAAATCTCTTCAAAATCTTTCAGTTTTAATGTCCCTTCCTTTTCTGTTGAAATATCTCTATATGTAAACCATTTTCTTTTATTATTATTATTTTTTTATTGATATTGCTTCTATTGGCGACAACCACAACAGAGTTTTCTGTTCTAGTAAATCTTTATATCTTTCCCAGACTGTTAGAAATGATCTCCTAATTATATGGTTACAGAATCCTTTGCACACTTTCTCTTTGTTTTACCACAAGTACGCATGCTATCCAAATCTATTATCATGTCCTTCAAGGTTTAGCAAATCTGTTTTTTCTAATTTAATCCAGTCTCAAATCAAAGCACTACAGGCAGCTTCATAATATAGTTTCAGGCTGCTTCAGGGGGGATCTCGACTCCCTGACGCAAGCGCGATCCTTCTGCTCATCTGAAGGGGCGCTACTCTGAGCTGCGACTGAGCAAGGGCAGACTCTTCCTCTGAACATGGTGGGATCGTAGCTTCCAGGTTGCCAGGGTCACCTTAGAGAACAAAGAGATGTTGGTCATTGTGAGAGATTAAAAAAACAACCAAAAGACTGGTTCCTTAATACTTAAAGTCCCAGGAACTTTTAAATAAAATGATCTGGGCAAAATTGGTGAAATAGGCCGGATCCAGCCCAATCGCCTTCTCAATCCGGCCTGTGGACTGTCCAGGAATCAGCGTGTTTTTACAGGAGTAGAATGTGTCCTTTTATTTAAAACGCATCTCTGGGTTATTTGTGGAGCATAGGAATTTGTTCATCCCCCCCCAAGATATAGTCCGGCCCCCCACAAGGTCTGAGGGACAGCGGACTGGCCCCCTGCTGAAAAAGTTTGCTGACCCCTGGCGTATCGCATCTACCTTAATAACATAATATCATCCCACTTCCTATGTTACTCATTGTGCAAATATGGCCAAAAGCTGCCCCCCATATAAATTTATTGATGTATAAGCACTATATTTTTATTGCAAGATTGTCCCAATTACATACATGTTGACCGCAGGCTGTCTTACTTATCACATGTTAACCATTTGTTTCTAATGTGATGGATTGAACCCTGTGGAGGTCCCTAGGCAGTCAAAATCTCAGGGGCCCCCTTGCAAATTATCTCCTGATACATTTCTGTAATTTTCTTGCAAGATCAAATCAATATCATTTTGATCCATTGCTGCGGTGCCTATAGACTGATACCTATTTGGTAATCTGGCAGTGCTAAGTCCCTCTGGTGACTCACAGCATCTTGATACCTTTCACCAACAACTGGCAAAAGTAAGGAGGAGCCAGGGACGGCTATTTTGCTGGGAACCAGGCTCCTTGTTCCTTCGTGGCTGATGAGGGCAGCCAGGACTCAGCTCTAAAGCTGCAAATAAAACATTTTAAATATGTTGTAAAGTGCATTATACAAATGCAACACTAGATGGCGATGGTGAGCCATGGAAAATTTGATATATTTTTCAAAACGGGTTGTTTTTTTAAAAAAAGTATTTTCACTTTTTTAAATATGTGTCTAGATTCCACCCCGGTTTCAGGAAGAAGCTTGCCCACCTGTTGGAGTTTTGCCAAGATCCCCAGAGCTCTTTGTGGAAGGATGTGGGTCTGTAGCAGAGAGGACACCCGCCCTGGCCTCCCGAACTCCAACGGACGTGATGTATTTTGTGGACACGACAGGTTGCAGTTGTGGGACCTGGCCCTGTGCTGGGCAGTCAACCATCCGGCGACGTCTCTGCAGGATGGACTCCAGCTGGTTGTCTGTGAGCTTCCTCTGGCTGCCTTGACGTCGGCTTGATCTCCGCCCCAGACTCCTGGTGCCGCTCTGGGCCTGAGAAGGTTGGAATTAATTAAAAGAACTGGCGCAGGATCAAGGAACAACATCAACTCCTGATAGCCGGAACATGGGAAGTTATCCAAAAATGTTTAATTTGGAACTGTTTAATTGGCTCTTTTGATTGTATTGTGATTTGGCATTTATTAGTGTGGCCTCCATTGGATTGTTATCAATGAAAAATGAATGAAAAATTAATTTACAAAAAAAGACGAGAAGGTCGGAATTAAATGCACCAGGGTGCTGTTAGAACCATAGAATTGTAGAGTTAACCGCTGCTTAAAAACCTCCAAGGAAGGAGAGGTCACCATGTTCCACTGTCAAATGACCCTTACGAAAAGTTTCCAAAGCGCAGAGCTCAAATGACCACTTCTCTTCACATAGGGCCTGATTTTATTTCTTATACAAATATTGAGGCACATGGTCACTCGCTGCCATTGGTATATGCAAACGTCTGGCTCATTTAAGACTATATATAGCTCTTATTCTCAACAATAATGGAACTCACAGGTAGCAAATACTTCTATTTTTTATATATCCTTATGATTAGGGAATCCTTGTATTAGTAAATACTTGATGAACTGCCTTCTCAGTAGTTCCGCTGGTCCACTATCTGACTTTTTGAAGATATCTGAAGGCAGCCCTGAATGGGGAAGTTTTTAATGTGTGATGTTTTATTGTGGTTTTATAATTTGTTGGAAGCTGCCCAGAGTGACTGGGGCAACCCAGTCAGATGGGTGGGGGTACAATTATTATTATTATTATTATTATTATTATTATTATTATTATTATTTGTCCTTCCAGCCTTTGATGCTTTATGGTTTGGATTTTTGATTCTTTGTCTCTGTCCCCCTCCCTTTTCTATGTTTGCTCTTTGTTGTTGTTAATAAAGAGCAAAGCAACGACCAAATGTATTTGGTTAATTAATAAATGACCCAAGCGCCCCCCCACCAGCATTGCTGCTGTAGTGATGGACCCCATCTACTACTACTACCATTATTATTATTATTATTATTATTATTATCCACACACACAGATGATTCTTACCAGGAGACCCTGCAGCTCCATCGTGGTGCTTCGGCGCTTGCTCACGGCGGCTGCCTGCAGGTGGAGAAGACATGGATGGGGAGCCCATTAGGAAGGAACTTGCTCCCATCTCCTCCTCCAAGGAGAGAGGTAGTGTGGAGTAGCGGTTAGAGTGTCCCTTGAGGACAGGGGCGACCAGGGTTCAGATCCTCACTCAGCAAGGAAGCTGACAGGGTGGACTTGGGCCAGCCGCTGGTCTCCTCCCACACTTAGGTGAGGAATCATACGATTATATGCTTCCTTGGAATCTTTGATTTGATTCAACACATGTAATCATTATTAATATTCATTATTTTCAGTTGTTATCTCTGAGAAAATAACAGGATATATTTGTACGAATTCTTCAAACTTACACGACCCCTTAAAAATTAGGTAAGGAACCAAATGTTGTATAATACTGTTTTATAATTTATGATAATTTAGAATTTTAATGTATTTTCATATAATATTTGATACTTCCAGCTGATGAAGGTGAATACATCAAAACAGGGCCCTGTCCTGGTTTCTGATCCATAATTGACTTCTGACTTCTTCTCAATGATTGAAACTCAGACCTTCACGTCGAATCTGGTCAAAGGCCTGGAAACGATGCCTTATGAGGAACGGCTAAGGGAGCTGGGCATGTTTAGCCTGGAGAAGAGGAGGTTAAGGGGTGATATGATAGCCATGTTCAAATATATAAAAGGATGTCACATAGAGGAGGGAGAAAGGTTGTTTTCTGCTGCTCCAGAGAAGCGGACACGGAGCAATGGATCCAAACTACAAGAAAGAAGATTCCACCTAAACATTAGGAAGAACTTCCTGACAGTAAGAGCTGTTCGACAGTGGAATTTGCTGCCAAGGAGTGTGGTGGAGTCTCCTTCTTTGGAGGTCTTTAAGCAGAGGCTTGACAACCATATGTCAGGAGTGCTCTGATGGTGTTTCCTGCTTGGCAGGGGGTTGGACTCGATGGCCCTTGTGGTCTCTTCCAACTCCATGATTCTATGATTCTATGACTATGGACTATGAATTTATCTCTACTCATAAACTCTTATCTCTAATTCTGTAACAAATTATTGTGTTATACACATCCTTATGAGTTTGAGTTTGTAATCTCTGTTTGAGTTTGTAATCTCTATTTGTGTGTTTAATCCTTGTCAGAATACATACTTTTGAATGGATTAGTTTTTGTTACAATTGACTATTGATTTGCGAGTACTCTGACTACTGAAACTTATATTGGTCTGAGTTCTTGGTGTGCTTTTTTTGGGTATATTTAATAACAAGAACTCCAACTTATTTATCGCTGTCTCCTCTCAGCCTAGCCTACCTGGCAGAGCCGTTGTGAGGAGAAAGAGGAGAAGAACCATGGGCTGTGGGATGTGATCCATGAGAGGCAGTCAAGTACAACATTCCTTGTAATGCTAGAGAAGACATGCGAGGGAATGTTTGGTCCAGCCAGTCAAAACTTCCTGTTCTTCCTGGCTGGAGCATCCTTCCTTTTGCCTGTGATAGAAGGTGGGCGTGGCCTTACCTCTCCAGGTAACAAAAGGACGAGTCACGCAGCACGCCTCTCTCTTTTTGACTTCCTTCTTCGTTTGACCAGCTTCTAGCTAGGACTGCTCTGCTAGCTCTCAACTAGCAGAAGCACTGGGATTATTCTCCCGTATGGGGTAGATCCACATGTACATATTGTAACTAAGTCTGCCTTCAGGGATCCAACTGAACTGATGTGAGTAAACTTCTTTTATTGACTTTGAATAAGATTGTGGCGTCTTTATTCTTTTAAGAGGTATTCAAGGGAATTTACCAGGAACGTACAATTCAGTCTGAGATTGAATTGTATAATAGTGAGAGTAAAGCTGTCAACCTTCCCTTTTTTGCAGAAAATTCCCTTATTCCAGCGCCGTTTCCCGCTGCTATCCCGGATTGTTAGATATCCTGTAGACTGTCCCTGGGACAGGTGAGGCTGCTGATCCCTTATTTTCAAATCTGAAAGTTGACAGCTATGAGTGAGAGGCTCACACGAGCCTGCAGCCAGCTATCTGCTGTGCATATAAAAAGAGGGAATGTAAACTCTGCTAAGTAAAGGAACTTGCTAGTGCAAGTTAGGAAGGATATTAATAAACAATATATCCTCTCCTGCCACCCTGAACATTCCCACACAGGCATCCCCTTGCAGTGAGATTTACAGGAAAGAAGCCAGCGGTTTTGAGGAGGGATGTTGCCACCGCTAGAGAAAGGAGACTTTGCTTTGCTGAGCGCAGGGTTGCAGCTTAGAAGTGGAACACCTGCTCTGAAGGCAGAAAGCACCACCCCTGATTTAAAAAATGCTGTTGTAAATGTGCATTTTAAATGTGACTTCACTTATGAATGTTTTAATGTTTTGTTTTTTGGAAAAACGTTTAATTTTTTGTTAACTTTGTGTTAAATACATATTCGGTTGTTGACCTCCTTTGTCATGTTTTATTTTGAAATCTTTAAGATAATATTTTAGTTTTCTGTTAACTATGTTGCTTTGACTGTAAACTCTATACAGTGGTACCTCTGGTTACATACTTAGTTCATTCCGGAGGTCCGTTCTTAACCTGAAACTGTTCTTAACCTGAAGCACCACTTTAGCTAATGGGACCTCCCGCTGCTGCCACGCCACTGGAGCACGATTTCTGTTCTCATCCTGAAGCAAAGTTCTTAACCCGAGGGGGGCCACTAGGGGGCACATTGGAAGATGGCCGACAATACCATCTCTCCGACCCACACGGGGTAATTAAGAGGCTGTTATGGGAGTAGGCAGCCTCCCTTGTTGCCCCAAGGAAATGGGGAACACTGCCCTTGCCTGCTGTGCCCATAAATCACCCCCTAATTCGAAAGAAGGGGGTGAGGGCCCTAGGCAGAATGCCCCCGTGTGGACCTCGGCTCTCCTGGACTCTGTCTCTGATCGCGCACTAGTTGCAGCAATTTGGAATAATTAATTACAAAAGAAGCAAATGCACATATTTCAAGTGAAGAAGGGGAGTGAAGTCTGCTAACTTAAGTGACCTCTGTGAAAGAAGACGTCGGGCTGGAGAAACAGGAATATTTTATGATGAAGATACACCAAAGGCGGGGTATGTTGACAACGGGGCTGAATGGGGGGGGGAACCTTTTTTACTTTCCTTCTATGTGATTTACAAGAACCCCTCCTCATTAGAACCATCAGTTGAACTGACCCAAGCAGGATGATTAAGGTCTGTGTGGAGATAAACTTTAACCAAAAGTATGCTTTATGGAGGCCAAGAAGCAATAAGAGCTATTGGAATGGCGCAGCAATTAATTCGGAGTCGCCATCTTGCCAAAGGATTTATAGCCGGGAGGAAGAATGGACTTGTTTTTCGACTGCATTCCTAGTGAATCTCCTCAGAAGTTTTGAGAAAGGAGGCAGATTGGTGAAGATTAATGACACTAAGACTGTTTTGATGTATGGAAGTGATGTTATATGGAAAACGTCTGGATATGGCTACTGGATAAAAATAATAATATCCACGCAGGATTACAAACTGTTCTAACCAGCTTGCGGAGACTATCAGAGGTCACAAAGAGAAAGGAAAAATATATGAAAATAACAACAAGAGATGTGGAAAAATAATAAGAAAGGACTGGATAGTACTGTGAACATCATAAGGTTAGATTTGTGGGCATTAAAACAGCAGTAAGAAGCAAGAAGTTGATTGGATCCCTTCGGAACTTGAAATATGGGTACCCCCAACAAAAATTTAAAATTCGGCTGTGTAATTTGGAATTTATGTAATTTGGTTTGATTTGATGTGATTGGTCGGTTAATAAAAAATTATTCTTAAAAAAAAAAAAGTTCTTAACCCGAGGTATTATTTCTGGGTTAGCGGAGTCTGTAACCTGAAGCATATGTAACCCGAGGTACCACTGTATTTGACTTTCTTCAGATTGTTGTATTGATGTTTTATTGATGTTCTGATGTGCTGTGAAGCGCTCTGAGATTTTTCTTGAAAAATATAAAGCAGGAAAGAAATGAAATAAATAAAATCATCATCATCATCATCTCCAGGCAGGGCTACGAGAGGCTGCCAGTCAGAGTGGACAATACCAAGCAAGATGAACCAGTGGGTCTCGTTCCCTATACGGCAGCTTCCCACAATCCTCAGCGGCAGAGCACCTGCCCTGCTTGCAGAAGGACCCAGGCTCCATCCCTGGCGTCTCCAGATGGGGAATGTCCCCTGACCAAAACCTGGGATTGCGGCTGCCAGTCTGGGTAGACAGCATTGAGCTAGATGCGCCAGTGACTCTGGATAAGGCAGGTTTTTATGTTCTGCGCTCCCACTCTGCTTCTTTACCTTGGAGAAGTCCCCAGCGTCCTTTCTGGCTGGCCTCAGGACCACCCCGCTTTTGATCCTGGCCATCATTTCTTCCACCGCTTTCGATTTCACATCGTCCGTGCAGGAGTTTGCTGCTGCCCAGAGGGAAAAGGGATATTTGTAGGGATATTTATTTTTCATGGGGTGAAGGGTAAAACCCCCCCAGCAATATTGGCTTTTCCCCTTCCCAGGGGGCCTGGATGGGTGCAAAAGGGCCTCCTTCAAAGGGCCTCCTTCCCCACCACCAGTATGAGACTTGTACCGCAAGCAGGGGGATGCGGGTGGCGCTGTGGGTTAAACCACAGAGCCTAGGACTTGCCTATCGGCCGTTCGAATCCCAGCGATGGGGTGAGCTCCCGTTGCTCGGTCCCTGCTCCTGCCAACCTAGCAGTTCGAAAGCACGCCAAAGTGCAAGTAGATAAATAGGTACCGCTCGGGTGGGAAGGTAAATGGCGTTTCCGTGCGCTGCTCTGGTTCGCCAGAAGCGGCTTAGGCATGCTGGCCACATGACCCGGAAGCTGTATGCCGGCTCCCTCGGCCAATAAAGTGAGATGAGTGCCGCAACCCCAGAGTCGGCCACGACTGGACCTAAAGGTCAGGGGTCCCTTTACCTTTACCGCAAGCAGGAGGGGTTGGCTTAGAATCTGGGATTGTAGAGTCGGAAGGGACCCAACCCCCTGCAATGGGGGAAACATAGCCCTGACAGTTGGCTGTCCGGTCTCTCTTTAGAATATACATGAAGGAGCGTCTCCACCCCCACGCCCCCCGTTCAGCCCAGACACTGAGGTCTAGCTCTGAGGCCTTCTGGCAGTTCCATCCATCTGGGCAGAACAATGGGGGCTCCTTCAGGTATACAGGACCGAGGCCGTTTAGGGCTTTCAAGGTCAGCAGCAACACTTTGAATTGTGCTCAGAAGCCAATGTAGGTCTTTCAAGACCGGTGTTATGTGGTCTTGGCAGCTGCTCCCAGTCACCAGTCTGGCTGCCGCATTCTGGATTAGTTGCAGTTTCCGTTTCACCTTCAAAGGTAGCCCCACGTAGAGCGCATTGCAGTAGTCCAAGCGGGAGATAACCATAGCACGCACCACTCTGGTGAGACAGTCCGCAGGCAGGGAGGGTCTCATCCTGCGTACCAGATGGAGCTGGGAGACAGCCGCCCTGGATACAGAATTGACCTGTGCCTCCATGGACAGCTGTGAGTCCAAAATGACTCCCAGGCTGCGCACCTGGTCCTTCAGGGGCACAGTTACCCCATTCAGGACCAGAGAGTTCCCCACACCCACCTGCCCCCTGTCCCTCAAAAACAGTACTTCTGTCTTGTCAGGATTCAACCTCAATCCGTTTCCTTGGTCGCATCCAGATGCCTTCTGGCTACGGGGTCACTGCCCTGCAGCTGAGCTCGGTGCAGGTAAATGCTTGAGGGGGACGAACCCTGAAACCTCCCTCCCTCCCTGATCCGCTTACCGCGTTTCGCTTGCTGCTTTCCCTTCCTCTGCCTGAGGGCCATCAGGGGGCTGAAGAGATGGAAGAACGGAAGAAGAAAAGTCAAGACCGGTCCAGGTACATCAGAAGAGCCTTGCAGGATCAGGCCCATAGTCTGTGTCTCCCAGCATCCTGGTCTTACCGTGGCCAATGTGATAGGAATTGTGAGGTCTTAGATATATGTTAAATGTTCATAAGTGTACCAACCAAGCACGTACATAGATCAGCACAGGAAGACCGACCTGAAACCATTTTTGATTCCCAAACTGACCTCAATTAACCTCCCCATTGTCTCTTTCCTCACAAATCCTGTCTTAAGGGCACATTTAAGAGATGAATAAGGTGTGAACCTGACCTGGCTCAGGAACTACCGTAAGTATCTATCATTACAAAAGACTGGCCAGGCTCCCCAGGCAATCCAATCAAGTGACCGTTAAACAGGTGACCTTGCAGACAGAAGGTGAACAAAGCACTCAGATTTCTGCTGTAGACCACCCTTTCTGTGATGTAGGTATGATGTGTTTGGGGGGTGGTCTTGATCTACAGGGTGGCAATTTCAAAAGTCTATATAAGGGCTTTCACGCCTTGGTTCTGGGTTCCTCCTGCGTGTGGTGAGTGAGGACCCTGTTTCAACAAATCAATAAAGATCAGGCTTACTAGCTGCTTTGCTTCTCAATAGTCTCTGGTTGGCCTCTGTTATTTTCTCCTACCAATAGGGAACCCACGTAAGGACTCTATTTGGGCTCGTGGATACCCCATAAGGGGAAAAGGGCAGACTTTGTTTTCAACACCAACCAGGTGCCCACTATGGGAAACCAGAACATGAGCACGAGAGCAGGACTCTCCTGTCCCGTAGTTTCCAGCAACTGAGATTCAGAAGAATCGCTGCTTCCAACTGTGGAATCATAGAATTGCATGATTGGAGAGTTGAAAGGGACACCCAGGGGCCATCTAGTCCAACCCCCGTAATAGAGGTAGAACTATGATGCTGTTGGTCTCCCCACTCCGCCATCTGCTGGCCACCTGGCATGGATAGGGTTGCCATATTCCCCAAAGTGAAAATAATAATAATAATAATAATAATAATAATACAATTTTATTTATATCCTGCGCTCCCCAGCCGAAGCCGGGCTCAGAGCGGCTAACAACAATAAAAGTAACACAGCATTCTAAAATCAATTCATTCAAAAATCAATTCAGAATCAAATTAATGGCAACCATTGGGCTAGAGTTCTATGAGGATTACAGAAGGAGAGAGGGGGTCAGACTGTGCCTTGGCCATAATAATAAAATTTTATAAATAAAATCCGGGCAGAGTTGTCTTTTGGGGAGTTTTATTTTTGGGGAACATCTCCCCCCCCCAAAAAAAATATCATTTGGGGCTTTTCTTTGATTTTTAAAATGATTTTTTAAGACGTCCATGTTTTCCAGGACATTTTGCCAGTTCAGCAAAAATCCTCCCGGATGCCAATTTTCTGAGCGATTCCCAGACATGTCCAGGAAAACCCAGACATATGGCAGCCCTAGTGGTGGGTGCTTAAGCTGAGATTCTCGCCTTGCAGCGGGTTGGACTAGATGACCCTCTAGGTGGCCTCTTTGTTGAAATGAGCCTGTCCAGACATGCAGAATTTCGATCTGTGCTTTAATTGTTTTCAAGTGTTTGCAATTAAAGCACAGCTCAAAATTCTGCATGTCTGGATGGGCTCATCTCATCAGCCTGGACTGGAATGGAGCCAGAGGAAGCTGCGCTGGCAAAAAGACAGTTGAAAAAAGATATATATACAAATAAAGCTGTATTTGATGTCTGAAAGGATATATGATGTCTGACATGATTGAGAATCGCAGAGCCAGAGAAGGAGAACTTTAAAGCGTTAAAACTGAGATGTGGAAAATATGGAAACGACACGGAGAGGTAGGATTGAGATTTGGAGCTATGCTTCAAGGTCCAGACTATGGGAAGCCCCCAAAATTAATAATTATAATTTGGATGATAATTTGGTCTTTTTTTATTTTTATTTTTTATTTTAATTAGATTATGATTTGATATGCTAACTGGATGTTTTTTATTGGAAAATTAATAAAAACGATTTAACAAAAAAAAAGTTTTCAAGTGTTTAGAACAGTTGCTTTTATCTGTGTTTACTGATAAGCTTATGGTTTGACTCTCCATTTCAACCGCTTTGATGGTTTTTATTATATTCAAGCAGCATATAAAGTTTATGAATAATAATAATGATAATGATAATATTTTTTTATTTATATCCCGCCCTCCCCAGCCGAAGCCGGGCTCAGAGCGGCTAACAACAGTAAAATGATACAACATTCTAAAATCATTTCAATAATAATATTAATAATAATATTAATATATAGCAAATGATACTTACTCCACTGGGACATGACATGCTGGAGGGAGAGGAGGAGGAGGGGGAGGAGGAGGAGGAAGGGGAGCCTCAGGGCATGTTTTGGGAGACGGGGTCCCAGTCGCCTTTGCCTCTTCTTCCAGGGATTTCACTGCAATGAGAAAGGCAGGGTTTCAGGCCCCCACAAAGAAGGTGGCCTTCGTTTTGTTTTTCTGCAGGGTGGCAGCCCTTGAAAAGGCTGTGTGTGGCTGTGCATGGCACTGATTGGCCAATCCTTGTGACGTCACCCACCCACCGCAATCCTCGTAACAGTTTTGCACTTTTGCAGCAGTTTGAAGAACTGGAAAGGGAAAATAAGGGGTCATCTCCCTCTGGAAATATACACTGAGAGAGGCTGGCTGCATGCAGAATGACTCAGTACAGCAATACAGGGAAAGTGGCTTTGGAAGTTGTATAAGCAAAATGACGTCTTAATCACTTTATTTTACATTGCATTGGCATTCTTTAGGAGCTGATGCTTTATAAATACTCCTTTTAATAAATGGATGTGACTGTGCCAGTTATTTCCTGATACCGAGGTGAGAGTAATGATTAACGTTATTTTTTCTTTATTATTGGAATGGCTTAAACACTTTCTCTATTTTTTTGTGTGGAAAAAGAGTTTTAAGTAATATGTTGATCTTTTTTGGATCCCGAGGTTCTGAAGTCGTAGAATCACAGAATGACAGAAGAGTAAAGTTGGAGGGCACCTCCAAAGGTCATCCAGTCTGACCCACTGCCATGCCATCATTGCAGCAAAAGAATCTCTGACAGCTTGTATCTATACCATAGCCGATCCTGCGTTTCTAATCCATGCAATCGAAAATGCCGTACCTCTCTCTTCCAGAGCCGCGTTCCTCTCCTCCGCTTGGTGAAGCCTCTCCCCCAGGTGGACCTTCTCTTCCTCCGCTGCCGCCAGGGCAGCCAGGAGCCTGTGGAGTTCTTCCGCCTGCGGCCGCCCCAGCAGCTGAGCCTCCAGGTCCTTCACCTGGAGAGCAAGGAGCAACGTGAGCAGACTGGGAGCCCAAAGCAAAGCCCCTTCCCCCAGGACATCAGAGGGACGTGGGCCAGGAAAGAGGCTTCCCTCCCAGCAGCACTTGAACTCAGGACTCACCCCCCTCCCATTAGGCAAGGTGAGGCAAGCTGAGACGCTGAGAGGGGCAACAGTGACAGAGCTCCCCCTAAGGACGCTGCCCCATCACCATTTCTGTAAAAGCATTCCTTGCCTTGCAGGGGGTTGGACTAGATGACCTTTGGGATTCCCTTCCAACTCTCCAATTCTATGATTGTTGGGTTGGGTTTTGCCCAGGCAGCAAAATGTCCTGGGCCAGCACTGGGTCACCAGATACCTCTGTGGATGGGCAGGAGATTCAGGAAAGACAAGACGCAGTCCTTCCTTCGCATGCTGCAGAATTGACCTCTGGAACTACCTGCCACATTCCAGTCTAAGCCGATAAGGTTGAGGAAGGGAGTCTGCCTCCCTCAATATTCACATTTAGGCGTAATTTTAAAACATTTCCTGTTCAGTCATTTGATGGCTGGAATATTCTGCTCCCGGCAACCTTCATATGATTAGCTGTGAGGCTGTGTGTCTGTTTTTAAACAGTATTAGGCTGTGCCGTTAAGGGGTACTCTCCTTTTGACTCAAGAAAATCACCATTTTGTAGTTCAAATCAGGAAAAATAAATACAATAAATGGACCAAAGTACGAAGATTCACAAAATGTTTAGGGGTATGTGTACCCCTGCATCCCGGCCCCAGAAAAAAGCACTGGTTTTAGGGGTTCTTAAGGGTTTTACACGTTTTAGATTTTCTTAATTGTTTTAAATAATGTTTTAATTATATATATATGTGTGTGTGTGATTTTTTTTTAAAGTGTAATGGTTTTTAATTGTTTTAAAAAGTGCAACTATTTTAATGGTTTTTACATATACAACTGATCTATGCACTTTTAAAGATGCATTATGAGATTGCTTTGAGATGCGTTATAGTCATGTCATTATTATTTATTAAATTTATACACAAAAACACAAAAATATACACCATGGTAACAAACGAAAACATTGCCCGCCCCCCAGTTTAAAATGCCATAGATTACTTAACTAGCCCAAAGCCTGGGAGAAGAGGAATGTTTTTTCCTGGAGCCTAAAGATATATAATGAAGAAGACAGGAGAGCCTTCCTGGGCACTCTTCAAGCGGTTACAGAAAGTGATCCATAAATGAGATAAATTAATTTATTAATATTTTTTAATTGCATTGTTTGTGCAACTCTGGTGTTTGATGTCCTTTGCGAAACAGGCAGGCTGGACAGAAAATGAATGTATGCTGGAAATGTAAGGAAAAAGAAGGCACCTTTTATCATATGTGGTGGAAATGTAAGGCAGTAAAAGGATTTTGGGAAATGATATATAATGAGTTGAAAAAAAATGTTTAAAACAACCTTTGTTAACAAGCTTGAAGCCTTCCTTTTAGGAATTCTAGGTGTTGAAATCCGAAAGGGACAGAAAAGACTATTTATGTATGCGACCACGACTGTGCGGACGTTACTGGCCCAGAGATGGAAAGAAGATCAAGTCCCTATCAGAGAAGAATGGCAGATCAAGTTGATGGACTATGCTGAAATGGCTAAAATGACCGTAAGAATCAGAAATCAGGAAAACCAAAATTTTAACAAGGAATGGGGAAAATTTATAACATATCTTAAAGAGCATTGCAAACAGTTAAAATTGTTAGTAGGATTGGAGTAACACCTGTAGTTTAAGGCTGAATTCTGGACATAATGGAAGAGTGAAGGATTTGGAGTATCATAAAAGATGCGGAAGGAAAGGATTAATTAATTAATTAATTAATTAATAGGACCCACAAAGGGTAGGATGGAAATCCAAGAGATTCCTTGGAATCTTGTTTTTATGATTTATGTTTGTTATATCTCTGTACAAATTTAAGTTGGAAAACCAAATAAATAAATTTGTAAACAAAGAAAGTGGATGGATGGATTGAAAGGGCAGGAACCAGCCTCTGCTGAGGTCCTTGGGCAGGTGGAGCCCCAAACCCACCTTAGCCTGGTGCTCTTGCTGGGCTTCTTCCAGTTCCCGGGTCATCTTGGCCACCTCCTCCATGGCCTGGAGAAGCTGGGTCTCTGGCCCAATATTCTGCATCAGGATCATGCTCTGCCGGTTGGCCTCCTTCTGCTTCACCAACATCTGTGACATGAGAAAAGGGGGTGGGAGTTCAGTGGTTATTAATGTTGCAATGCATATATGAAATCTTTACATAATGACACATATGCATTATATTCGTAACTCCACATTTTCACATTTTCATCCATTTCATATTTCTTGCCCTGTGTTTTCCCTCCACCGGTGCGTGACTTCCTTGTTATTATTTTGTAACTTTATTACTGAGATTGTAATTTTATATCTTAATAATTAAACATTCAATCTTAATATATCTGCTTAGCTTAGCTTAATTTAGTGAAATCAGTCTATACATATCAATAAATTCTTGTTGGAGCATCTTTTGGTCATGTATTCTTCTACACATTTCCACTCCTGTTTGAGATTTTGATTAGATTGCATTCTAATTGTTGCTGTCATTTTTGCTAATTCAATCATTTTAAAAAAAAATCTTTCAATGTTGGGACATCTTGGTTGCCCTCCTCTGCACACCTTCCAGCTTGTCACCATCCTTCTTAAATTGTGGTGTCCAGAACTGGACACAGTATTCCAGGTGTGGTTTGACCAAGGCAGAATAGAGTAGGACTATGACTTCCCTTGATCTGGACACTAGACTTCTGTTGATGCAGCCTGGAATAGCATCAGCTTTTTTTGCTGCTGCATCATCTGGTTGGCTCATGGTTGCCAGAGGAAAACAAAGCATGATATTGTGGAGAAGGGGATGCGGGTGGCGCTGTGGGTTAAACCACAGAGCCTAGGACTTGCCGATCAGAAGGTCGGCGGTTCGAATCCCCACAACGGGGTGAGCTCCCATTGCTCGGTCCCTGCTCCTGCCAACCTAGCAGTTCGAAAGCACATCAAAGTGCAAGTAGATAAATAGGTACCGCTCCGGTGGGAAGGTAAACAGCGTTTCCATGTGCTGCTCTGGTTTGCCAGAAGTGACTTAGTCCTGCTGGCCACATGACCCGGAAGCTGTACGCCGGCTCCCTCGGCCAATAAAGCGAGATGAGCGTTGCGACCCCAGAGTCGGCCACGACTGGACCTTATGGTCAAGGGTCCCTTTACCTTTTATTGTGTAGAAAGGCTTGTCCCTTGAATTCCTACCTGGTGGGCAAAGGTCTCTGCTTGCTGCCTCAGTTCCTCCTCCAGATCCAGCTGTTGGGACACCTTGCCGTACTCCTCAGTGAGTAGCCGGGACACTGGGAGAGAGAGGGCAGAAGAAACATCAATCACCTGTGCATCAAATGAAGGAAGGTTGGGAGGGAAAGGTGTGTGTCCCCCCGAGCGAGCAGAGGCTGAGATGCCCTCTGCGTCGACTCTGCGGCTCCTTCCTAGCTCCCACTTTAATTCGGCTTGAGTGACATTTGCCTGGGTGCAACTTCCTCTATCCTCCCCACAAACAAATGGGAATGAATGCAAGTTCAAAGAGCCAACGTCTAATCTCCCTGCAAAGAGATCAGGATGGAAATGCGTAGCTCATCTGGAAGCTCTGCCTCCACAGTTGGGGGCAGCCATGCTTCTGAATACCAGGAAACCACAGGAGGGGAGAGTGGCTTTCGCACTCGGATCCTGCTCGCGGGTTTCCTGTAATGGGCATCTGGCTGGCCGCTGTGAGAAGAGGGTGCTGGACCAGGTGGGGAAAAGGAAGTAAATGCCAGCTCAGGAAGGGAGGGAGCTCTGGGTGCAAGAATAGGGTCTTTCTGTGACCTTTCCCCACAACTCACCTCGTTTGACCCTCTTCAAAGCCCTCTGACGCTCCGCCACCAGAGCTTGCAAGGATTTCTTCTCAAACTGCTCTTCTTCCACCTTTGCACAAAGGAGATTTTGCTTCTGTTTCATTTCTGTTTCATTTTTATTTATGATTTTCAGTTATATACATTTCAATAGTTTTACAATCATTCTAACATTTGGAAACTCGACTTTGAGTTGACTGGGGTTCAAAAGAAAGCAACTTAAAACAGCTGCTCTTGAGGCATTTCGTTCCGGATCTGCTAGACAGAGCCAGACAGAGGACACTGACAGGTGGCTGTCTTGTCCCTGCGAACATAAATCCTGGCTGTGCCCATGGAGTAACCCAAAATACCTGTTCCTGGAGCTGCTGGACCCGACCCTGGAGCTCCGTCACTTGCACGGCCAGTTCCTTCTTTTCATCCAGCAGCAGGGAAACCTTCGCTTGAAGGTCTGGGTAAAAAAGGAGGAGACATGGAAAGGTGAATTTGAGGGAAGCTGGCTCCTTAGAGGAGAGACTGTTGCCAATGAAATATACTCGGAGCTGAAAGTGGATTTCATGCTCTTTGTCCAGCTCATAGTGGTGAGGAGGAATGGAAGTTCCCCCAGAATGTCTGCTTTATATACATTATTTACACAATGGGCCCCACGTGACTGGCTAATTCCGGGATTCTCCTGTAGGCCAATCAGGTTGCAGATTCACTTCCACCTGGAGTTGGATTGGGTGGCTCCTGTGGACCAATCAGACTGCTGCATTCTGGACCCTATTGTTCTAGGACCAATCAGACTGCTGCATTCTGAATCCTATTTTTCTAGGACCAATCAATCAGACTGCTGCATTCTGAATCCTATTGTTCTAGGACCAATCAGACTGCTGCCTTTTGGATCCTATTCAACTCAGTACCTAACAGCCAACTTAGCAGCTAGACCACAGGACAGACTCTTGGGACTCAGCCATACAGCTGAAAATAAAACATTTTAAGTGCATTATACAAATGTGACACTAGATGGCGATGGTGAGCTTATGGCAAATTCAGTATATTTTTCAAAACGCGTTTTAAAAAAGCATTTTTATATGAGTCCACCTTGACTTCACCTCCTGGCAGCTGAAACTTGGGAAAGTCGGGATAGGTAAAAGAAAGTTCTTCACACATTACGTGGTTAAACAGGGGAACTCCCTGACACAGGATGTGGCGAGGGCCACCAACGTGGATGGCCTTGAAAGTCCAACCCCCTGCAATGCAGGAATAAACACACACACACAGTTGCATGTGCAGAACAGAAGGCAAGAGGTGGGGGCCCCCAAATTTGCTGAAATTTGAAAGACCTGAGTACTGCCCTGTAGGTGTCAGGAGGTCAGCCTACACTTGAGTAGGACCCTGGCAGAGAAACATGCCCGACTGGCATGTTCTCTCCCTCCTGGTCGATCGTTCGGGAGCTTCAAAACTTTCTTCAGCCCAAACATCATAGCGACCGATGCCAACAGACACCGGCACACTTAGGGATCCGCAGAGTCTTCGCAGTTCGTGTGACAGACCTCAGCATTTTGGCTAATCTACTTTATTTACATATAAACACACACGGAGCACTGCAACATGGCTCCCTCTCTCTCTAGCATCAGACAGCAAAGAGAAAAAGAACAAAGGACAATAGTCCCACTTCACAGAACACAGTTAACACAAGCATCCTGTCTCCGTCACTTCCCACTCTGTGGAGTCAAAACATACCATGTCATGTGATAGACAACAATCCTATGACTGCAATCATGGAGCAGGAATTCTAACAGTAGGTCCCCTCCCATCTGGCAATGCTGGGGCAAGTGGGAGGGGAGTGGCAGCAACTATCAGACCCTCAGACAGCACTGCAGGGCTGTTGTGTTGCAGCTGGGCACCGAAGGGGGTGTGAGATCTAATATACCTGAAGGTCCTGTATACCTGAAGGAGCGTCTCCACCCCCAGTGTTCAGCCCAGACACTGAGGTCCAGCTCCGACGGCCTTCTGGCATTCCCTCCCTGCGAGAAGCCAAGTTACAGGGAACCAGGCAGAGGGCCTTCTCGGTAGTGGCACCCGCCCTGTGGAACGCCCTCCCACCAGATGTCAAGGAAAGAAACAACTACCTGACTTTTAGAAGACATCTGAAGGCAGCCCTGTTTAGGGAAGCTTTTAATGTTTCTGAGACTATTGTATTTTAATATTCTGTTTGAAGCCGCCCAGAGTGGCTGGGGAAACCCAGCCAGATGAGCGGGGTATAAATAATAAATTATTATTATAGATTATTATGAGAGGCATCTCTTGAACGCCGCCTCTCCATCCTTAAGGAACCTTCCTCTCTTCCTCCAAGGTTGGTCTTCTCCACTGTTGCAGGATCAGTGCATTTTGCACAGTCCCTGCCCAGACCTCTCCCTTCCATTCTGCAGCAGCAGCAGCTCCTCTTGGTGGTCTTTGAGCCAGAGGGGAAGCGACAACATGGCTCACCTTTGATTTGCTCCAGGTATTGGCCCACTGGATCCAGGACTTGCTCAGCAGGGATCTCCTCCTCGTTGCCCGGGTCGATGAGGTCCCCTGGGAGGTGGGTGAGCATGGGCAGCAAAGCCGCACTGATGCGCTTCAGCTTCTTGTTCTCTCTGCTCACCTGCAGGAGTCGAGATACAATGGCAAAGGTAAGCCCAGGATGATCATGGAAGCCACGGTGGAAGGGTGGCTCAGAGACTGGGCTGCAAATCAAGGTGTCTTGCGGGACAGATAAAAGAAAGTTTAAACTATGGAACTCACTCCTGCAGGAGACACAGGGCCGGATTTAGGTTTGATGAGACCCTCAGCTACTGAAGGTAATGGGGCCCTTTCTATGTCCAGCTGTCCTTTGTCAACAACAAATTGTCTCTGTTTTTTGTGTTGAAAAGATGCTATATGGGCTGGATGAATCCCAAGCCAGAATTAAGATTGCCGGAAGAAATATCAACAACCTCAGATATGCAGATGACACAACCTTGATGGCAGAAAGTGAGGAGGAATTAAAGAACCTTTTAATGAGGGTGAAAGCGCAAAATATGGTCTGAAGCTCAACATCAAAAAAATGAAGATCATGGCCACTGGGCCCATCACCTCCTGGCAAATAGAAGGGGAAGAAATGGAGGCAGTGAGAGATTTTACTTTCTTGGGCTCCATGATCCCTGCAGATGGTGACAGGAGTCATGAAATTAAAAGATGCCTGCTTCTTGGGAGAAAAGCAATGACAAACCTAGACAGCATCTTAAAAGCAGATATCACCTTGCCAACAAAGGTCCGTATAGTTAAAGCTATGGTTTTCCCAGTTGTGATGTATGGAAGTGAGAGCTGGACCATAAAGAAGGCTGATCGCTGAAGAATGGATGCTTTTGAATTCTGGTGCTGGAGGAGACTCTTGAGAGTCCCATGGACTGCAAGAAGATCAAACCTATTCATTCTGAAGGAAATCAGCCCTGAGTGCTCACTGGAAGGACAGATCCTGAAGCTGAGGCTCCAAGACTTTGGCCACCTCATGAGAAGAGAAGACTCCCTGGAAAAGACCCTGATGTTGGGAAAGATGGAGGGCACAAGGAGAAGGGGACGACAGAGGACGAGATGGTGGGACAATGTTCTCGAAGCTACAAACATGAGTTTGACTAAACTGCGGGAGGCAGTGGAAGACAGGAGTGCCTGACGTGCTCTGGTCCATGGGGTCACGAAGAGTCGGACATGACTAAACGACTAAACAACAACAACAAAATAGGTATCTAAAGTCATTTGCTGTATGTGGGATTGGAGCAGGGATTCTCTGCATGCAAAACAAGGGCTAGACTCCTGAGTTACAGCTGTTTCCCAGGTTAGACGCCTTGCCATGTCCACCAGCTCGCCTGGCTCACCTGGGCTGCGTAGGCTTCTGCCTGCTCTCGGCACGACTTCTCGATTTCATACTCTGCTTCCAGGGTGGACAGCTCAGCGAGCAAAGCCTGTGAAGCTGGGAATGAAAGGAGGGGGAAGGCTGAAGATCACCTATAGAGCAGTTTCCCCAGAATTTCCCCACTTGGTGACATAAATTCATCCTCAATGCCCATGACCCTACCCTCCAAAAAGCATCCTTCATAATGGCGGTTTGCACGACCCACTAAGGAAGATAACTGAAGTGTAGGCAAGACACAGCGATAACAGCAAGAAACTTTATTGAGCTACATAACTGGGAAACAGGGGCAAAGCAACCGCTTATATACATTTCTGAAAGCCTGGGCCACTCCCACTCCCACCGTTATTGGCTGTCTAAACTTCCAAGCTGCGAATCACGACTCAGAGTTCAAGGGCCAATGGCGGAGGCCCAAATCTGAAATCTTCTGTGATTGGACATCATGTATTGAATCAGAACACAGGAGCTCAGAATCTTAGTCCAGACTCAAGCTCAGGCCAACACAGGCCACTGAATACATAACAATAATAATACACAATCAAATTCAAAACAGAAACCATGAATTGCATATTTATTTAAACTATTCAGGTGTTGTGAACCACCCTGAGATCTGCGGATGAAAGGTGGTATACAAATTCAATTAACAACAACAACAACCAAGCCAACAAATAAACCATATTAATTTACACATTAAAACTATTCTGTTTAATCCATTGGACAAAACTGGTGAACTTGATCCAATGATACCAGCTTTCCAAAGTCTGATAGTCTTGCCTCTTATTACCCCACTAGGGAATCCCGAAGCCCTTTCAGGGTTCGCTACTGCCCACTGTCTGCTGCCGACAACAGAAGTGTCCTGAGCACACCCACACATCTCATATGCCTGGGACCTGGTTCTGCACCCTGTTCCCAAAACGCCCACATGCCGGACACGGGTGCAATCCCCCCCTCTCATCCTGAGGTTCACCACTGTGAATAGTCGGGATCAGGAAATGCAGGACACAGCTAGGCACCCCCCCCCCAATCTCCGAGCAGCGAGAGGCTTCAGGCCAGGGGTCAGCAAACTTACCGCGCCTCAGGCCAGTGTCTCCAGTGCCGATCGCACGGCGGGCCGGAGGGCCTGGGAGCGCGTGCCCATATGTGTGCGTACACACTATTTTTGGCGCACTTTTGGGTCGGAGGAGACCAGAAATAGCTTGTGTGCATGTGCACGGGCCTCCCCTGACCCGGATGTGCACCGGAATTAACACTTGCGCATGCGCAAATAATGCTTGTGTATGTGCACAAGTTATTTCTGGTGCTCCTCCGACCCGGAAGTGGGAAGCCGCGCAGTGCAGCGCCAGTAAGAGCGGGCGGCAACAGCGGGGGGCGGAAGTCACCATGGGCTGGATAAACGAGTCCCTTGGGCCTTATCCTGCCCACGGGCCTTAGTTTGGGGACCCCTACTCCAGGCATTCAGCAGGTTTGGTTTCCCTGGAATGAGAATCAGCAGAGACTGTGGCGTCTTCGGGATTTAGAGTTGTATTTACACATCTATGCAACCTGAGCATAAGGGGCTCTCAGCATTAACACCCCAACAGATCATGCTTACCATACTCAAATTCGGCTAGCTTTTTCTTGGCTTCATCCCTTTCCTGACAAGCAGCCGCTTCCTGGAAGATGGAAGGGAAGAAATGTTTCTGGGTCTCTGATGTTTCCCATTCCAATCCTGCCAGCAGAGTTGCTTTTGCTAAGCAATCATCCCCACCATCCCCATCCTCAGCACAGCTGCTCATGCAGACTTCAAAATCGTTTCCCCGCCTCAGAATTTAGAATCACAGAATTCTGCAAGGGACCCCTAAAGGTCATCCAGTCCAACCCTGTGCTATGCAGGAATCACAACTAAAGCAACCCTGACAGAGGACCACCCAACCTTGGCTTAAAAGCCTCCAAGGAAGGAGGTGGTCTATTCCATTGTTGGACAACTCTTACTGTCAAAAAGTTCTCCTTTCTAATCATCTGAATGCATGGGTTCGAGTCCTGCCTTCTGAAGCAAAACAGTGGGAGTGATTAGAAAGCCACAGTGAATGGTTGTGAGAACAGGACTTTCTTTGAGTCACGATTTGCTGGGGCTTCACTCCAGAACCTGACCCTGACACCTATTTCCCATTCTTTCCCCATGAAAACTAGAAACTTATTTTGTTGATCATTGATGGGTTGTTGTTTTTTTATTAACTTTATGTGCTTTTTATTGTATGGTTTTACATTTTTATGCTTGAAACTGCATCAAATATACAAATATTTTATAAATGAATTTAAAAAATGAAAGGACCCACATACCTCGGTGTCTTCATCTTTCTCCGAATCGGAGTCACTGTCAGATTCCAAAATGGCTGCAGAAGAACAGAAAGAGAACATCGCCACGAAATGCCCAGGGGCAGCCCTGAGGCTCTGCTAGCCTCTCCCAACCTGGCACCCTCCAGATGTTCTGGACTACAACTCCCATCAGCCCATCAATCCATCTGTCCTTGATGGTCATATCACTAGTTAGAAATCTCCTCTCTCCTGAAACATTCAGTTCTTGCCGCTCTCCCCCTCTCCACGTTGTCTTCACAACAATCCTGTGAGGGAGGTCACTGGCCCAAAGTCATACAGTGGATTTCCTTCAGTTACAAAGTTTAAGACCACATAAACACTTGGGGCCAAGTGGTGTCCGAAGCGGGGACCCTCCAAAGTGGAGTCCGCAGGTCAATAAATTGCACGGGCTCCTACAGAGGAATTCCCCTACCTTAGCTTTGCACATGTGGAAATTAAGTCTTGCAACAAGCAGAATTGCAACCAGGCCTTATTGCACAAAGCAAAAGGCAACATCCCAGACAGGGAGTGAGGAAGAGTAAGGCCACGGGTTCATTTATTGGTGTCTGCAAATTCCTTCACATTTCTTCACGGCCATCTCGACTTTATACCTTTACAACCTCCTTTCGGCAACATTCTTTTCATTCTTTCCTTCACTGCCTTGACATCTTAGGCTATCCATCAAGGCACATATCATAACTTGCCCACTGCAGTTAGGGCTGCCATACACCCGGAATTTCCCGGACACAGACGGGATTCAATCCTTGTAAACATTGCCCAGGCGGAAATGGCTTGGATGTTAACTTCTTCTTTTTTTGAGATTTTGCAGAATAAACTCAGCAACTCTGCCAACAACCTCTGCCCAGTAGATCTGAAGGAGCGTCTTCAACCCCATCGTCCAGCCTGAACACTGAAGTCCAGCTCCAAGGATCTTCTGGTGGTTCCTTCACTGCGAGAAGTGAGGTTACAGGGAACCAGGCAGAGGGCCTTCTCGGTGGTGGCGCCCACCCTGTGGAACCCTCTCCCACCAGATGTCAAGGAAATAGACAACTGTCTAACTAGAAGACATCTGAAGGCAGCCCTGTATAGGGAAGCTTTTAAGGTTTAAGGTTTTACTGTGTTTTTATATATGCTGGAAGCTGCCCAGAGTGGCTGGGGAAACCTAGTCAGATGGGCGGGGTATAACAACAACAACAACAACAACAACAACAACAACAACAACGATGATTTTATTTTATGCGTCTGGATTTTCACTTGAAATATGGCAACCCTAAGAACTTTGGGGCTGTGGGAGGATTTGAATCTGCGTCTGCCAGGACCCAGCCTGACACTCTAACCCAGGGGTCAGCAACCTTTTTCAGCAGGGGGCTGGTCCACCGTCCCTCAGACCATGTGGTGGGCTGGACTATATTTTGAAAAAAAGTAATGAACGAATTCCTATGCCCCACAAATAACCCAGAGATGCTTTTTAAATAAAAGGACACATTCTACTCATGTAAAAACACGCTGATTCCCAGACCGTCCGCGGGCCAGATTGAGAAGGCAATTGGTCCGCATCTGGCCCATAGGCCTTAGGTTGCCTACCCCTGCTCTAACCACTATGCCACACTGTTTACCATGCTTCCCCTCTCAACCTGCTTTTGGGGCAGGCAGATTTCCTTACCTGCCAGCTGGCTGAGATCTTCCACCGAAGGCTCCATTCAGGTCTGGACTGTCTGTGCTCAGGCAAGATCTGCCCAGCCTGCTCTGCCCCTTCTCTCCACAGTTGCATGAAAGGGATTAGGCTTCCCCAGAGAATTGAGAAGTGAAACCTCTCCTCCTCCTCCTCCAGCATGAGAGGAGTCACAAGAAGCCACAGGGCTTTTTTTTAAAAAAGAATCTGTTAGGTTTTTCTTTTTACTGACCTGGTAATTGCATTTGCAACAGCAGCCGGGAGCTATCTTTTGCAGAAGCTAGCAAGAGGCCAACAGATTTCAGCACTCACCGAAACTCTGGCGAGAAGATATACGATTTACCGCCTCATATGCAATCAAATTAAAAGATGCCTGCTTCTTAGGAGAAAAGCAATGACAAACCTAAACAGCATCTTAAAAAGTAGAGACATCACCTTGCCGACAAAGGTCCATATAGTTAAAGCTCTGGTTTTCCCAGTAGCGATGTATGGAAGTGAGAGCTGGACCATCAAGAAGGCTGATCGCCGAAGAATGGATGCTTTTGAATTATGGTGCTGGAGGAGACTCTTGAGAGTCCCATGGACTGCAAGAAGATCAAACCTCTCCATTCTGAAGGAAATCAGCCCTGAGTGCTCACTGGAAGGACAGATCCTGAAGCTGAGGCTCCAAGACTTTGGCCACCTCATGAGAAGAGAAGGCTCCCTGGAAAAGACCCTGATGTTGGGAAAGATGGAGGGCACAAGGAGAAGGGGACGACAGAGGACAAGATGATTGGACAGTGTTCTCGAAGCTACCAGCATGATTTTGACCAAACTGTGGGAGGCAGTGGAAGACAGGAGTGCCGGGTGTGCTCTGGTCCAGGGGGCCATGAATATTAGGAGGATACTGTGGATATTAGGAGTACCTAATATTAGGAGTCTGGCACTGCTATCCAGCAGCATTTGCCAATGGCTTCTGCCTCAGAGTTGCAACTTGGGTCTTTCAGGAAAACCAGGAACTGGGTCCCTTTCTTTATGACTTCTGTCATGGGCACACCCGCCCCCCAACGCCTCCCCGTTATCTCCCTGCAATGTCTCATTTCCTCCAAGGAGACGCCATTTCCTCTTTAGACTTCCCCTAAGAGGTCAGCCTTAAGGATTTCTGAGACTTAGCCCCCTCTCCCTCTCTCTCATTTTATTACATTTATCGCCCACCATTCTGCCAAGAAGCTGAAGGTGGAAATGCAGTTCTCTCCCTGTCCTGTCCTCCCAACAACCCTGTGAGGTAGGTTGGGCTAAGAGGGAGTGGCTGGCCCCAGGTCACTCCCAGTGGGGCTCTTGGCTGAGTGCGGATTCGAACTGTCGTCTCTCCCAGGTCGTAGTCTGATGCTCTAACCACTACACCGCACTGCAGTTTTGATTTTAGTGGCACATTGTAGGGAAAGGGGGGAGGCAGAGAGGAAGCATCCTGAGAAAGGCTTCTAAAAATAAAAAATTCAAGATTTGGGTAGACACTTTTATTTTGAATCCGGACAGCAATGACAACTGATTATTTCACGGCAATAAAAAGGCATATTCCACTTTCTGGAGGTGATGTGTGAATGTCCCCAAAGCCTTGGACCAGCCACCTCACCCGCCGCCAAGTCAGTTAAGTGGGTTTAGAGCAACATTGCGCCCCACCGTGGACAAGCCCTGACGCTCAGAGGGCCGTGTTGGAGGACCCATCGGCCCCTCTGGCCTCCCGGGGGTAGTACTCTGCCAGGATATTCTCCGGGATCCGTTTCAGCAGCTCTTTGGGGAAGATCCGCAGCAGCTGCCAGCCGATGTCGAGCGACTCAAATACGGTCCTGTTTTCGTAGGCGCCTGGGAAAAAACCAACATCGTCGGTGGGTTAAGGACAGGAGCGAGCCAGCGGTAAATCGCCAGCAAGAAAGCTGGAATTAACTCTTGATGAGCAAAAGCACAGGAGAGTCAGGCCTAATGAGCACAGCACCTCATCTCCAGCAGGTCTTGCCCCCATGAGACTAAAGGTTCCTGACTCCCCACAGTCATCTAAGTCCCCTTCTCTCCAGGGTTTCCCCCAGGCAATCAGAGACTGTGCCTGCCTGCAGCTAACCTCTCCTCCGCCCTTTTCATGCCTCTCCTGGTTCTGGGAGACCAGCAGGGATGGGAGCTGGTCTCAGCAGGAGGGGGAGACACCCGTGAGTCTTCCTCAGCCAGACTCCTCTCTGCCTCTTGGTCTCCCTCCTCTCCTGCTTCATCTTCTGCCTCTGAGTCTGGACCGACGCTGCCACCGACTCTCCCCCCTCATGGAGCCCTGTTACCTCTTCATCTTCCGACACTCCCCTCTTCCCAGTCTCCTCCCTCTGACCACTCATCGTCGTCCCATCACCACTCCCCTGGCTCTGAGCCTTCTTCCCTTGGGCAGGGGCGAAACTAGGCTTTATTTCACCCGGGTCAAAGACCCAGTTTGGCACGCAAACCGATGTGCATTTGCGTGCACACACAAAGGATGGGGGCCTCAATGGGACCCCTCGGGGGGCTTCATCCGGGGTTCCCCAGCTGGGGCCTCCTACTGTTCCTCTGCATCCAGCCAGTCCAAGACAGTTAATATTGCACATTCAAAAGAAGGAAAAGAAAAAGGTGATGGTTTAGAGGCAACGCTACACATTTAAGACCTTGCCGTTGCCTCCGAGTGAGGCAGAGAAGGGCTCCAGGTGCATTTACTGTACAGGATGTACGTGGCCTGGTTATGACCTGTCCTCTCAATCATCCCATAAGGTCCAGATAAGCCACATTTCCATCAGAGTAGCCTCACAGGGGCTGCATGCCAGTGGTGGCCGGGACCAGAGAAAAAAGTGGGAGGAGCAACAGATGTTTAGGGAAGTTTTTAATGTTTGAAGTTCTATTCTGTTTTTAATGTTCTGTTCAAAGCCACCCAGAGTGGCTGGGGAATCAATCAATCAATCAATCAATCATGCTACTTTTTGCACAGTAAGGTAGTTTAAACACCTGGGACTCAGCTATACAGCTGCAAATATAACGTTTTAAGTGTGTTTTAAGCGTGTTATACAAATGTGACAGGGATGCAGGTGGTGCTGTGGGTTAAACCACAGAGCCTAGGGCTTGCCGATCAGAAGGTCAGTGGTTTGAATCCCCGCGACGGGGTGAGCTCCCGTTGCTCTGTCCCAGCTCCTGTCAACCTAGCAGTTCGAAAGCACATCAAAGTGTAAGTAGATAAATAGGTACCGCTCTGGCAGGAAGGTAAACGGCGTTTCCGTGCACTGCTCTGGTTCGCCAGAAGTGGCTTAGTCATGCTGGCCACATGAGCTATACGCCGGCTCCCTCAGCCAGTAAAGCGAGATGAGCGCCGCAACCCCAGAGTCGTTTGCGACTGGACCTAACGGTCAGGGGTACCTTTCCCTTTACAAATGTGACACTAGATGGTGATGGTGAGCTTATGGCAAATTCAATATATTTTTCAAAACGCTTTTTAAGAAAAGCATTTTCACAACGTTTTTTATATGTGTCTAGATTCCAACGCACGAGAGAGAGAGAGAAAGAGACAGACAGACAGACAGACAGACAGACAGAGAGTGCTCTTCTTTCTCCATCCAGACAAGCAAGAGGCATTAACAAAGTCCAGAGGCACATTCCAGCCCTGCAGAAACTCTCAAGGAGGATGCAAAGCAGGGGAAGCACAGGCTTCATCCTGGGGAAGGGGTGTGGCCTGGCTGGAGATGCCTGGAGGGCTGCATTTGTCCTGAGTTCCCCTCGCCCTGCTCCAAGGCCACGCTTCTCCTTCCCGCCTCCGTGCCGAGCGAGGAGGACAAACGTCCCTCCCAGGTCAACACTTTCTGACCGCCTCCGTCCCCCGCCTACCTTGTGCAATGAACTGCTTCTCGAACTTCTGCAGAAACTCCAAGAAGAGGAGGTCGTCAGCTGACAGGGCTTCCTCCCCGACCACGGCCTTCATGGCTTGCACGTCCTTGCCGATGGCGTAGCAGGCGTACTGAGCGGGAAACCACAGGGAGGGCATGAGTCAGGGTCCTGCCCCAGACAAGCGCCTTGACCCCGAGGCAGCCAGGAAAACCCCAGAACCACCCTCAAAAAGAAGCTCTGAAGTCTTAGCTATAAAGGTGTGTGGGGTTTTTTTAAAACATGGGCATCGTAGATGCACGAGATCTACCCTCTGCATCAAGGCATCTTGTGCATTTAGCCACAATGTTCTTATTTGTGGGGTTTGCTACAAGATTTTGGGGTGCCTGGACTCCCCCTCTAATGCCTGGGTGCTGGACACTGGATTTAGCATGTTAAAATCAAGCAAGTCTGGATTTCTGTGTTCAGGAGATCACCTGGGGTGGACTGTTAAGGAGAACCACCAGCCATTAGGAATATCACCAGGGAGACGGACCTTTCCTTCAGCTCAGAGTTCGATTAGGTCAGAGTTTCAGAGTTAGTTTAGGATTGGGTTTCTGCAGAAAGGTTCCTGTCTATAAAAGTCAGCAAGCTGGAGGAAAAACTCAGAAGTTTTGGAGCCTGTTTTGAATCCTGGGCTGCAGCGATGGGAAAAGCAAGACTATTTGGGGGTGTCAATGATGTGAGCCCCTCCATCAGGTTGTATATATACATAACTATGGATATGGATATATGTATATCATAAAGACTCCACAGCAGTGCTGAAATATACTCAGAGTCGCAAAGTGATTTCATGCTCTTTATTCAGCTCATAGTGGTGAGGAGGAATGAGTGAATGTCCCCTCAAAGTATCTGCTTTATATACATTATTTACACAATGGGCTGCACATGATTGGCTAATTCCAGAATTCTACTGTAAGCCAATCAGGTTGTGGATTCACTTCTATCTGGAGCTGGATTGGGTGGCTCCTGCCGACCAATCATACTGCTGCATTGTTCTAGGACCTATCAGACTGCTGCATTCTGAATCCTATTGTTCTAGGACCAATCAGACTGCTGCATTTGGGAGCCTATTGTTCTAGGACCAATCAGACTGCTGCAGTTTGGATCCTATTCAACTCAGTACATAACAAGTGCCTTGTGATAAGACTTTTAAGGTCTTAAATATATAATAAAAGTTCATAAATGTACCAAGCAAACACGTACATAAATATATAACCCACATGTCTGAAGCAGCACAAGAAAACAGTCCTGAAACCATTTTGACTCCCAAACTGACCATCTCTGCAAAGTCAAAGGAAAATGGAAAAGCCTCCCCATTGTCTCCTCCTTCACAAATCCTGTCTTAAGGGTATGTCTGTGTATGAATAGGGTGAGCCTGTGACCTGGCTCAGGAACTAAGTATTTATCATTACAAAAGACTGGCCAGGCTCCCCAGGGTATCCAGTCGAGTAAGCATTAACAGGTGACCTGCCAGACAGGAGGTAAACAACACACTCAGATTTCTGTTGTAGACCACCCCTTTCTGTGATGTAGGTATGATGTATCTGGGGGTGGTCTTGAGCTACACCCCTTCTGTGATGTATGTATGCTGTTTCTGGGGGTGGTCTTGGACTCCTGGGTGGGCAATTTAAAATGTCTATATAAGGGCGGGCACACCTGGGTTCTGGGTCCTCCTCCTTTCCTGTGTGTGAGGGAAGCACCCTCTTGCAACAGATCAATAAAGATCAGGCTTACGAGCTGCTTTGCTTCTCAATATTCTATGGTTGGCCTCTGTTATTTTCTCCAACCGATGGAGAACCTACAAAGGACTCCAGAAGGGCTCTTGTGTCCCCCATAAGGGAATAAGGGCAGATTTTTGTTTACAACAGCCTAATTTCCGAAAGAAAACACGGACTCCAGTTAAGCGCCTGGAACCTCGGGTGGCGTGCAACAATATCTGCCGCTCCGTTCTCTCGATGGCTATGCGCTCCCCACCCCCACCCCCCTTTTCCACAGAGGCTCAAACACTCACCAGTTGATTGGAGACGTCTCCGTGGTCCTTCCTGGTCATGCCTTCCCCGATGGCTGACTTCATCAGACGGGAGAGGGACGGGAGGACATTGATGGGAGGGTAGATCTGCGGCAAGAGAAAGCAGACGGGCATCTCTGGTTTTTGGAAATACACTCTGTGTGTGTGTTTAGCCTAAGGGCCCACCCATTTCTTGGCTTAAGGTAGATCCCAGGACACCCTGTGCTTCCTTGAATTCCTCCTTGCCTGTGCGGCGTATCTCTCCAGCTACTGCTGCCCCACACATTCTCCTCCTTAAATCTGGGAGTTATCTATTTGCATTTATGCCCCACCTTTGCTGCCAGGGGTTCAAACTGGTGTATGTGGTCCTCCTCCTGATTAATCCCCACCAGGGCCATCTTACCCATAGGTGTGAGGGGTGCGGGGCACCCGGGCGCCAGGCTCTCAGGGACACCAGGTCGAGAGTCTGGGGCCCGAGAGTTGAGTCCGAGGAAGAGCCCGCCTGTGGGTCCAAGCGCCGCAGTTTGCTCTTCTGCTGCGGGTGGCTCTGTGCTGCAAGTTTGGGGGAGACTGAGCCAGCAAGATGCTGAGGTGGCCAGCTGGCTCCGCCCTCCTGCACGCCTAGGACTGGGCAACCTGGTGGGGGGGCGCCGGGCGGATCTTTGCACCCCGGTGCCACATATGCTTAAGACAGCCCTGATCTCCATCACAACCCTATGAGGTAGGCCAACTTTGCGGCCACATACACCTGGACAACACCATTACTGGCCCCAACAACATCAAATGCCAACAGTGCCCTTCAGCTCTCTATATTGGACAAACTGGCCAAACCCTATGCCAAAGGATAGGTAAAAGTAAAGGGACCCCTGACAATTAGGTCCAGTCGTGGCCGACTCTGGGGTTGCAGCGCTCATCTCGCTTTACTGGCCGAGGGAGCTGGCGTACAGCTTCCGGGTCATGTGGCCAGCATGACTAAGTCGCTTCTGGCGAACCAGAGCAGCACACGGAAACGCCGTTTACCTTCCCGCCGGAGCAGTACCTATTTATCTACTTGCACTTTGACGTGCTTTCGAACTGCTAGGTTGGCAGGAGCAGGGACCGAGCAACGGGAGCTCACCCTGTCGCGGGGATTTGAACCGCCGACCTTCTGATCAGCAAGTCCTAGGCTCTGTGGTTTAACCCACAGCGCCACCCGTGTCCCACGGCAAAGGATAAATGGACATAAATCTCACATCAGGAATCACAAGGCGGAGAAACCAGTAGGAAAACACTTCAATTTCCCAGGACATTCAATACAAGATCTCAAAGCAGCTGTCTTATTACAAAAGAATTTCAGAAATAGACTGGAAAGAGAAGTTGCTGAATTGCAACTTATTACCAAACTTAAAACCATGGAGAGACCTGGTCTGAATAGAGATAATGGATTCTTATCTCATTAAACATGATAAAGTGATTTTTAGCCATCTCACCCCTTGCTTTTCCCTGTAAGACCAATTGTAGTTAACAGTCGTCAACAGGTTTACCACACCTATCAAGCAACCACCCATTCCCACCACCCTTCTAAGTAATACCCCTCCCCACCCTCCCACTATATATAAGGGTCTGGTGACTTCTGTTTCAGTGTATCTGAAGAAGTGCGCATGCACATGAAAGCTCATACCAAGAACAAACTTAGTTGGTCTCTAAGGTGCTTTTTATTTTGTTCCTGTGAGGTAGGTTAGGCTGAGGGGCAGCAACCAGCCCAAAGTCACACCCGGTGACCTTTTCTGGCTGACTGTGGATTTGAACCCAGATCCTAGTCTGACACCATGGGCTTAGCTAGGGTTTTTGTTAGGGGAGGGGGCAAAACCTCACTGTACCACCACTGGCTCGCAGGGAATCTTGCCGACAATCAATGTAACTCTCTTGTTCGGAATTTATGGAAGGAAGCAGTAATTCTGATAAAAGAGGAAAGGCCGATGAAATTGTGGGAATATGTTGAACTGGCTGTGTAACAAGCAGAGTTCGAGACCAAGAGAAGGAGATTTTTAAGAAAGAACGGGAAGTGGAATACATGAATAATTCCTGTAAACATCATAAAATGCTAGGAGGACTAGAATAACCAGAGCAGAGAAAGTTTAAGAAAATGAAACAAGGTGAAAATAAAATTGTAAAGGAGCATTTTGCATATGCAGTTGAACAGGGGAAATATTAACGAAACACAGAAAGTGTGGAAGGGAAGTCGTGGATAGTGAGATGATTTCAGTAACCATGTATTTGTTGTAAAATGGAAAACTAAAAATGATTTTTTAATATATTTTTTTAAGAAACAGAATTTAAGAGGACAGGGGTTTTCTGGATTCAGGGAGGAGACAGCGTGGGAAAGCAGGAGGTGAACAACGCAGGGGCTGAGGGTTCAAAATCCACATAGGGTCCCAAATCCACATTAATCTGAGGTGTGGAAGAGCCCTTAGCTGAAACAGCAGGAGAAAAAGTTCTTTAGGAAGACATTATTATTATTATTATTATTATTATTATTATTATTAACTGAAACTTTATACCGCCCTATACCTGGAGGTCTCAGAGCAGTTCCCAGAAACTCGCAGGGAGTTTCCTAGAGTGGCTGGGGAAAGCCAGCCAGATGGGCGGGGTATAAATAATAAATTATTATTATTATTATTATTATTATTATTATTATTATTATTAGTGACTCCTTAGCAGGGGAAGCAATTCCCTATGTTCAATATGTTCACTTCAAAGGAAAGGACTTACTTTATAGCCACATTTATCCACATACTCAAGAAAAAGACTTGGAAGGCTTGAGAAAAAATTGTAGTCCTGAAAAGCCTTAATATCCTTGTATTGTCTACCCAATCCGACTGCCCATCCTTGAAGATTACCTGAAGGCTTATAGGATTGAGAGGCCAAGTTACATTGCCCACTCACCTATCCAGTCTTCTACCACACTGAGCCCCTCAGCAAGAAGTAAAGGTAAAGGTAAAGGGACCCCTGACCATTAGGTCCAGTCGTGACCGACTTTGGGGTTGCAGCGCTCATCTCGCTTTCTTGGCCGAGGGAGCCGGCGTACAGCTTCCGGGTCATGTGGCCAGGATGACTAAACCGCTTCTGGCGAACCAGAGCAGCGCACGGAAACGCCATTTACCTTCCTGCCAGAGCGGTACCTATTTATCTACTTGCACTTTGAGGTGCTTTCGAACTGCTAGGTTGGCAGGAGCACGGACCGAGCAACGGGAGCTCACCCCGTCATGGGGATTCAAACCGCCGACCTTCTGATCGGCAAGTCCTAGGCTCTGTGGTTTAACCCACAGCGCTACCCGCGTCAGCAAGAAGTAGTCCAGACCAAAGTTTGAAAAGTTCAAGCCCCCACAGCAGCCCAGTTACAGTCTCACCCCTAGACTAGTCAAGAGCACAGAGAACCTTCTCCTTCTCCTTACTTGAATGGACTCTATAACTGAGAAGGATTAGGGGCATATTCTGGGTCTGCACCTTCAAGCCATCTCCCACAAGCCTTTCCCTACCACAAATTTTTGTTACCACCATATGGCATGAGCATCAACAATGTCAACCTCTTTCCAAGGATGTGTCCTTTCTACAGCAGCCAACTCAGTGGAGGAAGCATCCCCAATATGTCCACTTCCTTTTCCTTTGCAAGGATGGAACCACGGGCAGAGATGAGGATCAAAGGGGAAAGGGAAGCCCCAGGTAAACCTACCTGTCTATTGTGGAGCTGCCTGTCCACATAAATCTGCCCTTCGGTGATGAATCCGGTCAAGTCAGGAATGGGGTGAGTGATATCTGTAAGGGGGGGAAGCAGGTAGATTAGCCGCTGGCCCTGCTAACATTGCAAGTGAATTCTCCGTTCCCTGGGCTAATCTGGTTTCTCACTAGGGGTCCCTTCAGGCATGTGTGATGCTGTTTTTTTGCAAGTGCAACTGATGCAACATAAAACATGCAACATGGAACTGATGCAACAGCAGCGCATAGGCATTGGGTTTTGCCCTGAACCATCCACACACCCTTCTGCTTTGTCAGTTCTGCAAGGCTCCTCCAGGGATCACTGCATGATTGCCATCTGGAGGGGCACTGAGAATCACAGAATAGCAGAGTTTGAAGGGAACCCCGAGGGTCATCTAGTCCAACCCCCTGCTGTGCAGGAATCTCAGCTAAAGCATACAGGACAGATGGCCGTCCAACCTCTGCTTAGAAACCTCCAAGGAAGGACTGACCTTATGAGTGTGGGGTGTGTAACACAAGAGCTGTCAAGTACAACATTCCTAGAGCGAACATGTTTACACATGGGGAGGAATGTTTGTCCAGCCAGCAGGTCAACTTCCTGTTTCCTTCTGGGCTGGGAGAGACTTCCTCTGCATGTGACTAGAGGTGGGCGTGGCCTCACCTGTGCAGGTAACAAAATCATAGGACTGGCCGCCATCTCGCTCTCTTTTTGACTACATGAGTCAAATAAGCAACATCTGCTTAGTCGAAGATGCTTTCTTGACTTCCAGCCAAGAGAGGACAAAGGGACTGTCTCCTTATGAGATAGTTTCCAGGTGTATGTTACTTTTCTAAGCTAAGTCTGCCTTCTGGGATCTGATTGTGAACAGAATGTGAGTGAGTAAACTCTTTTTATACTTTTATAGAAGACTGTGTCGTGTCTTATCTTTTATGAGGGAATAAGGGGAAAATACCAGACAGTTATTATAGAGGTTTTAGCGAGCCTGAGCAAATGCATCTGCTGTGAGCTTAAAAAGGGGAATGTTACTCTGCTAAATTGTGAACTTGTTAACACTCGTTGGAAAGGCTATAATCGAACAATAAATCCTCTCCTGCATCCCTGAACATTCCCACAATGAGGGCGTCTGTTCCAGTTTCAAACGGCTCTGACTGTTTTACTTGTGTGTTCTGGCACAACCAAAGCAGAACAAAGAAACGGAACATGGCATTTGTGGTAGAAAAAGGTATGAGATCTTGGTATGGGATTCCTGTATTGCAGGGGGTTGGACTAGATGACCCCTGGGGAACCCAATTCTATGATTTTATGAAACCACCATGAATGCACAATAAAAAAGATACCTGGAGGGTCTCTATGCCATTCCCCCCTTCCCAGTGCCTCCAAAATAAATCCCCATCTTGCATATCCACCTGAATTAGGAAACATCCTCACAACTGCCAAGTCCAAGGAGAGCTCCGTATTCCTCAAGGATACCTGAGCCTTAACTTACCTCTGTTTGCAAATACTTACCTCATGTCTTAAGACTCTTAACATCATCCCCAACATTCAGAAACACCTCCCCCCCCCCGCTATATTTTACAAGGGTGTGTGTGACTTTTAGAAACACTCATCTCTATCTTATCCTCCCACATCTTCCCCATTATTTCAAACGCCCCTCCCTGTCTCGCCTCTTCCCCTGCAGAAATAAATACCTACAGATTTCATCCTAAGGTACGTTTCAGCCCCGATGATGACTGATTTCACCAAAGGAACCGAGAGAACGTGCGGAAGACCGTATGAGGAACTAGAATTTGCTTTTTATCGCTTGCTTCTCTTGATCCCTGCTCAAAAGGAAGCAGATTCCCTTTCCTTTAAAAAGCTAAGGCAGCCGCTGAGCTGCGGCCAGGAAGGTGGTCTAAACTTGAATGGGCTGAGAGAGATGCAGTGTTTGGCAAGGCTGTGGTTTCTCAGCCAGCAGTGCCTTGAACTGGGAAGTTTGTTTGCAGGAGGCTTTCAAGCAATGCTCCACAATCCAACCGGCCCCACTGGACCACTTGAAAAACGCTGAGGGTCTCAGCAAACCACCAAATGATTTTTCACCCTGCAGTGGCAACTGTAATCAACTGTGCTGCACGGTTTTAATCCTGTGTCTGCTGCTTCTTGTGTCCCTTACATCACATTTCCTCCCACGGCAATTTGCATCCCACAGACTTCAGGTTGCAATGCAATAAAATTCCATGCAAGGAATACAGGAAGCAATGCAGAAGGCCATTGAGAATCAGCACCAACTTTTGATGCGGAGATGTCCTGAGCGAAGCTCACAGAAAACTTTCTAAAAGTTTAAACAACAATAGGCTAAAAACGGATTTAAACTTGTACCAGCTTTCTAAGCATCTAACCCCCCCCAAGCTTTTTGTTGTTGTTGTTGTTTAGTTGTTTAGTCGTGTCCGACTCTTCGTGACCCCCTGGACCAGAGCAAACCAGGCACTCCTGTCTTCCACTGCCTCCTGAAGTTTGGTCAAACTCATGCTGGTACCTTCGAGAACACTGTCCCACCATCTCGTCCTCTGTCGTCCCCTTCTCCTTGCTCCCTCCATCTTTCCCAACATCAGGGTCTTTTCCAGGGAGTCTTCTCTTCTCATGAGGTGGCCAAAGTATTGGAGCCTAAGCTTCAGGATCTGTCCTTCTAGTGAGCACTCAGGGCTGATTTCCTTCAGAATGGAGAGGTTTGATCTTCTTGCAGTCCATGGGACTCTCAAGAGTCCCCTCCAGCACCAGAATTCAAAAGCATCAAAAAAGCTTTTAGTGGGTGCCAAAAAGAGTACAGCAAAGGCATCTGCCTGATGTCAATCAGCAGGGAGTTCCAAAGTGCAGGTGCTGCCACACTAAAAGGTTGACTTCTTACCAGCGTGGAGCAGGTGTTACGTGGCACCTGTAACATTTCCAGTTCTGCCGATCAAAGCAGACCAGCGGGCATATATGGGATTGGGCAATCTTGCAGATCAACTGATCTCAAGTTGGAGTGTATGTGGGATGTGAAACACAGAGCAGTCAAATACAACATTCCTAGCATGGACATAAAAAGGGGGTGTCTGGACCAGCCAGTCAGAACTTCCTGTTTCCTCCTGGGCTGGGACAGACTTCCTCTGCATGTGACCAGAGGTGGACATGACCTTACCTGTGCAGGTAACAAAATACCTCAGTGGAGGCAGCCATATCTCTTTCTAACTTAATTCCTTGAAGAAGCAACATCTTCTTAGCCTGAGATGCTCTCTTGGCTTCCAGCCAAGAGAGGACAAAGGGACTATCTCCTTATGGGATAGATTCAAGGTGTATAAATTTTGTAACCCCCATTGTTCTGCCCGGACACTGAGGTCCAGTGCCGAGGGCCTTCTGGCTGTTCACTCGCTGCAAGAAGCCAAGTTACATGGAACCAGGCAGAGGGCCTTCTCGGTAGTGGTGCCCGGCCTGTGGAACACCCTCCCACCAGATGTCAAAGAGAAGAACAACTACCAGACTTTTAGAAGACATCTGAAGGCATCTGTTTAGGGAAGCTTTTAATGTTTAACAGACCACTGTATTTTAATACTTTGTTGGAGGCCGCCCAGGGTGGCTGGGGAATAAATAATAAATTATTATTATTAATATTATAACTTAAGTCTGCCTTCTGGGATCCATTTGTGAACAGAATGTGAGTAAACTATTTCATATACTTTTATACAAGACTGTGTCGTGTCTATCTTTTTATGAGGGAATAAAGGGGAATTACCATGGAAACTTATTTTAGAGGCTTACACAAGCCTGGCAAAGACGTTATCCGCTGTACAAGTTTAAAAAAGGGGATGTTACTCTGCTAAATTGTAGAACTTGTTTTTTTTTAAAAATGATATTTATTACTTTTTCAACATTTTCAACACAACACTACAAACAAAAAAGAAAAGAGAAAAAACAATACAAATACAATACAAAAACGCTACATAGACTAACAAAACAAAGCAAAAACCAACAAAAACAATTTAAAAACACCTCAAACATTTTCAATATCTTATATTTCATTCACTTATTTCCAGCGACCTCCTCACACCTCCCTTTTTGTATTCCACTTCTATTAATTGTTTCAGCAATTCCTTTCCATCTTACTCTGTTTTCTATCCTATAATTATCTTAACACATTCTTGCCTTATTTTTCCTTTAATTTTCTATTAATCTATTTATACTTAATTCCTTATGACATTTCTACTAAAGCCATATAACTTCATTCCAACATTTTTCTAACATTCCTTAATTTTACAATATTTCTATAAATAGTCTTTAAACTTTTTGCAATCTTCTTCCACCGACTCTTCTCCCTGGTCTCGGATCTTGCCAGTCATTTCCGCCAATTCCATATAGTCCATCAACTTCGTCTGCCATTGTCCAACACTTCAGTGTTTTCAAGAAGCAGCCATTCTCTCAACCAGCAAAAAGCAGATGGTTCACAACGAAATTTAAAGGTCTGGCAGGGCAGGTCCACCTCCTTCTTTGGCATCCATCAATATCTTAAGTTTTTCTCGAGGCTTCCTGCCCTGCCAAACAACTCTAAAAACATCCCTCTGCCACCTCCTGAAACCCTCCATCCCATCCAAAGCTTGCAATGTTTGAAACAAAAGCAACATCCCCAGCAACACAGCAGCCCTCATCCCCACCACAGTAACTCGGCCCAACAGTAACAACTTCTGATTTGTCCATATTTCCAAATCCCCGTTCTCTTCAATCCAACATCCTTCACAGTTATCCTTAAACAGATTCACATTTTTGGCGGTCATACTAACCCCCAAATACCTCTCTTTCTCAACCGATGTTAGTCCTGTCGCCTCCTGAAACTCTGTCAAGCTTTCCTTTTCCAGTTCAGATAGGGCTCTGGTCCTCAAATTCATCTGTTCTTCTTTAAGTTCAATCATAACGAATGTCAGCTTATGTTCATCAGTTTGTATGGATGGGACTCTCCTCTCCAGTTGTATTGCTTTAAATTCAGCAGCAAGGGTTTTTTCCCTGACTTCATCTGCAGTTTGCCGTATCAGAGTAGATTCCTGTGTCAGTTTCTGGGTGGTTTCTGAATTGGTATTCACCTTTTGTCCCAAGTTATTTAAACTTTCTACGATTAAGTCAATTTCAATATTTGCAGCATCCATTTTCACATTTATCACGTCTGTTTTCTTGTGAAGTTGTTCCAGCGAATCATTTATTTTCAATAATGCAACCACTAAGGCCTCTTCTGTCGACATCCCGACTGTTTTTCCTTTCCATTTGCCATAACACTTAAGAGATTCAAGGTCAATTCCAAAGTCTCACACTTTTTTATCTTGCAGCTGGAAATTCCCCTAGCCCAGCTCCTGTAAAGTAACCAATTTCAAAAGCTTCCACTAGGGGAAAACAGTTTCTATTTGTATCGGTCAGTATGTCCTCTTTAAAACACAGTTTCAATAATCCAAAGTTAGTTTCAATTTTCAGTTACTTTCCTCCTTTTTTTTTTTTTTGAAAACAACCAGAGACAGTAGAAACAATGTATTCTCTTGTTTAGCTACCTGTCAATGAACGTTCTAAACGCTGTCAATGGACGTTCCAAAAAACATCAATCCTGCTAGCAGCCCGTTTCCAGGGTCAGAGCGGCGGTATTTTAACTCTCTTAACTCTCTCCTACAGGCATATTCAGTCCACCACTTCCCCCCCTCTTCTCCTGTCTCCAAAAAGGGGAGGGGGGTTTAGTTCTTTACCTATGGAAATTTAGTTTTTTACAAAAGGCTTTCCAAGACTTTAGCTTGCAGCCTCCTTGCTTCAGTTTATCTACAAAAGGGGAAGGCGGACTTCCTGTATTGAACCTCCCCGTTTCGATGCCAGATTAAACGTTTAAAAATCCAATTCTTCCCAATTCAGCTCTACTCACGGGTAATTACTTTAGAGTCAAATTGTCCACAGGAAAAAGTCAGTGCTCTCCGACAACAGCTAAATTGTAGAACTTGTTAACACAAGTTGGGAAGGATATAATTAAGCAATATATCCTCTCCTACCTCCTTGAACATTCCCACAGTGTGTGTGTGCTTTTTTTGGGGGGGGGGCACAGACTCCCAGTAAAATTTGCCTTCCTCCCTTCCCCCTTGTCAGCCACTCCTCACTCCCAGCTGCTGTTGCTGCCGGACATTTTCCCCAAACCACTTTCCCCATAGAAGTCAGCGGCCCAGGCTTTCCCTGAGCCTTTTCCCAGCGCCCCCTCCCCGCTCACCATCGTTGGGCATGGTCAGGATGGGGATCTGAGTGATGGAGCCGTTCCTGCCCTCCACGCGCCCGGCTCTCTCGTAGATGGTCGCCAGGTCAGTATACATGTATCCTGGGAAGCCTCTGCGCCCGGGGACTTCCTCCCTGGCAGCCGAGACCTGGTGGGGAAAAAGGGGTGAATTATGGGGCACAGAGAGGGGGTCCATTCCCTGCCATGTTAGGCGCCCCGGCCCACACCCTCTCTGAGCCGCGGGATGCCCCTCTGACCTCGCGCAGCGCCTCAGCGTAGGAGCTCATGTCCGTCAAGATCACGAGGACGTGCTTCTCGCATTGGTAGGCGAGGAACTCGGCCGTGGTCAGGGCCAGGCGTGGGGTGATGATGCGCTCAATCCTGTGGGAAGGAGGGAGGTGTCAGCACGGGGGTCTGGAGTGCTGAGCCTTGCAAGCCGAGAATCCAGTCTTGCCCAAGTCTTCTCCTTACTACATACCCCCCAACAGTTCTCTGATGAAAATAGGACATCGCAACATTTCTCCAATGAAAATAAGGGTGTCCTATTCCATACCCTGAAGGGACGCGGGTGGTGCTGTGGGTTAAACCACAGAGCCTAGGACTTGCTGATCAGAAGGTTGGTGGTTCGAAGCCCCTCGGCAGGATGAGCTCCCGTTGCTTGGTCCCTGCTCCTACCCACCTAGCAGTTCGAAAGCACGTAGATCAATAGGTAACACTCTGGCGGGAAGGTAAATGGCATTTCCGTGCGCTCCTCTGGTTCACCAGAAGTGGCTTAGTCATGCTGGCCGCATGACCCGGAAGCTGTACGCCAGCTCCCTCGGCCAGTAAAGCGAGATGAGCACCGCAACCCCAGAGTCAGTCATGACTGGACCTAATGATCAAGGGTCCCTTTACCTTTATTCCATACCCTCCTACATTTATCCGATGAAGGAATACATGAAAAAATATGGTTCCGGAACTGGAATATTAATAGATAATGTGTAAAATGTGCAGGGGTAAGCAAGGAAATAATAAAAGAATCAACTGAATAATTATTAAACTACAGCAACACAACAAGATGGAAGAAGTAAAAGAAAATAATATTGAGGTCACACATGGGTGAAGGGGAGTGGGGGGTATAGGGGAATTTATAAAAATTTCTAATATAATATTTCTAATTGCATTGCATTTATATATAGCAAAGGGAAGCCTATAGCAATTAGGCATATTTTAATCTAGTCAGCTATGTAATAGGCTTATGTTACAAAATGAACATGGATTTTGAATTTGATGTTTGTAATTCTTTTTTGGTTTTGGAATAAAGTTTTGTTTTTTTTTTTAAAAAAGGGAATAAAAGAAAAAGAAAATATGGCTATCCCAACATTTATCCAATGAAAATAAAGATGTTCTATTCCATACCCTCCAACATTTCTCCAATGAAAATAAAGATGTTCTATTCCATACCCTCCTACATTTATCCAATGAAAATAAAGATGTTCTATTCCATACCCTCCTACATTTATCCAATGAAAATAAAGATGTTCTATTCCATACCCTCCTACATTTATCCAATGAAAATAGGGCCACCCTAAGGGAAAGCGGGACATTTTGGGATCAGATCAGAAACCAGGACAGCTTCTGTAAATCTGACTGTTCCTGGAAAATAGGGACACTAGAAGGGTCTTTATTGCAGGGCTCTGTAGCCATTATCTGCACACACCATTACAATAAGGTGTGGGTTTTTGCGTGCAAAAATTACTCCTTGCCTGACATATCCCGTGTCACAAAAGCCCACGAGGCCCCTGTGCGCTGTTGCATGGATGGGCGGAGAAGTGTTATCAGCTGATGCACAGGTGCTGCTTGCAGGTGGGAGAAGCACACCTGCGCTCTGGGAAGAGGCTCCTTCATTCCCACAAGCTGCTGGTCGGGTCGTCTTCCATTGAACTCACAGAAACCCCCAGGCTGGACCGTGATTTAATCAGGGGTGCTGCCAGGCTGTTCTGATTCGTGAATTTATTTCATTAAGTTTATACAAGGCTTGATCGTAAGAAAACCCCAAAGCAGTTTACAAAAAACTCACGTGGGGTCATTGGCTAGGTTCAGAAAGAGGCAGACATTCTCCATGGAGCCGTTCTCCTCAAAGTCCGACTTGAAGAAGCGGGCAGTCTCCATGTTTACCTGCCAGCAAAGGAACAGAGGCTGAGTTGTAGTTTGCAACACAAACCAGATTGGTGAAGAAACAAAATAATAAAATAAATTCCTTCCAGTAGCACCTTAGAGACCGACTAAGTTTGTATTTGTTATGAGCTTTCGTGTGCATGAAGAAGTGTGCATGCACATGAAAGCTCATATCAATAACAAACTGAGTTGGTCTCTAAGGTGCTATTGGAAGGAATTTTTATTTTTATTTTATTTTGTTTCAACTACGGCAGACCAACATGGCTACCTACCTGTAACCAGAGTGGTGAAGGTTTTAGTCAAAGACAGCTAGAGCCAGTTCAGGCATTTAAAGACCTATGTCAAAAACCTACAAACCAACAAATTTCTAAGGGTTTCCGACTGCCCAACCGGCCAACATTCCGGAACAGCGCTGCAAATATAAATTGACATCCAAGATCAGTCAGAATAGCAGAGGACTGTGACCAAGACATCATCTGTCTTTGGATGGCAACAGCCCTTATGTATATAATTTTGTTTCCAGGTTTTAGCAAAACTGCAAATCCTTTTAGCCGGTCAGAAAATGTATGCTGGGTTGGCACAAATAAGTATGGTACCTCTGTGTTTAGCCAGAAAACAGGCTAGCTTTGTTTTCTTCCTTTAATATTCTCAAACAGCATTTTCAAATGGAAAGTTAAATGGAGAGTTGCTCTGGTCAGTCGTTGTGAGAACAGGGTGCTGGACTAGATGGGCCAGGGGCCTGATTCAGCTGGCAAATCTTAGGTCCTTAACAGCTGTATATAGCTTTCTTCAGGCGTGAAGTGTTCTTCTTGTGGGATGTGAAACACATGAACAGTCAAGTACAACATTCCTAGAGGGAACATGTTTACACATGGGCAGGAATGTTTGTCCAGCCAGCAGGTCAACTTCCTGTTTCCTTCTGGGCTGGGACAGACTTCCTCTGTATGTGACTAGAGGTGGGCGTGGCCTCACCTGTGCAGGTAACGACAAAAGCACAGGGCAGGGCAGCCATCTCTCTCTCTGTGACTACATGCATCGAAGAAGCAACATCTGCTTAGCCAAAGATGCTCTCTTGGCCTCCAGCCAAGAGAAGACAAAGGGAATATCTCCTTATGAGATAGTTTCCAGGTGTATGTTACTTTTCTAAGCTAAGTCTGCCTTCTGGGATCTGATTGTGAACAGAATGTGAGTAAACTCTTTTTATACTTTTGTAGAAGACTGTGTTGTGTCTTATCTTTAAGAGGGAAGAAGGGGGAAATACCAGAACAGTTATTATAGAGGCTTTAGCGAGCCTGAGCAAATGCATCTGCTGTAAGTTTAAAAGGGGGAATGTTACTCTGCAAAATTGTGAACTTGTTAACACAAGTTGGAAAGGCTATAATCAAACAATATATCCTCTCCTCCATCCCTGAACATTCCCACACTTCTGAGTCTTATAAAATCACATCCACAAGAGCAGTTAAGGCTAAATACCAATAATAATAATAATAATAATAATAATAATAATAATAATAATTCCTTTTTGCCGCAGGTGGAGGGCAGAGCGTAGCTATCACAATTAGCAACCATCCATAGTCCTCTCTTCCTCCATGAATTTGCCTCATCCTCTTTCAGAGCCATCTAAGTTGCTGGTCATCCCTGCCTCCGGTAGCAGCGAGTTCCATAGTTTAAACTATGTGTTGCGGGAGGAAGGACTTTCTTTTATCCCACCTGCCAATAAAGATGACCTGGGGACCAGTGTCAAAGGTGGGCTGCCAAAAGGAAGTGCTTGCAAGGACGCGGCTGTCCACTAGAGGGGAGCAAGATGCTGCCAATTAGCTCACGTGGCTGCCTGGGAGATGCTCAGAGCCTGAGGATGCGGCAGGGAAGCTTGTCTTTTCCCACAGGGAGGCCTCTTGTGCCACCAGTCCTGCTGCCTCGGCTGAGCATCCCTCCAGGAAATATTTCCTAACAAACTCTCCTTAGGGCCCCAGAGCCAACATGGGCCTCTGGGTTATGGTTACCAGATTTTTTTCAATGTATCCGGGAACACGTTTTTTGTTTTGAAGCTGAGTAGCAACAGGGAGTCAGTAGTGGGGCTGGTGAGGCGAAAGACCCTGGGCCCAAGCACACGTGCATACAGTCATACAGGAAAAAAGGCAGGGCATTAATAAATATAACAATGAAAACGAAGATATGATTCTTTGATTCTGCAATAGAACCAACGAATTAGAAGGCAGGGACAAATGCAAATAAGGAAGGCTCTTACATTACTGGCTAGAGCATGATATTTGATGTTGTCTCCCCTTATGGCTTTGATCTATAGGCTACCACTAAAATGAGGCTGCATTTTAAACTGTATTCTAACTTATATTTTAATCGACTGTTTTGTTTTTTTTGTTTTGTTTTGTTTTTAATGTTTTTACTGTATTTATATTCTGTGTTAGCTGCCCTTAGCCCGGTCTTGGCTGGGGAAGGCGGGGTATAAATAAATTATTATTATTATTATTATTCCAATAATGCCAAGGTTGCAGGTTTGATCCCCAGACGGGACAACTTCATATTCCTGCATTGCAGGCGGTTGGACTAGATGATCCTTAGGGTCTCTTCCAACTCTGCAATTCTATGAGCAGGAAAGATACCAATGGCTCCTTGCGCGTAAATGAAAGGGGACAAAAGGGGAACAAAACTCACCCCCATGGCAGCAAAGACGATGGCAAAGTTGTCCTCGTGGTAATCCATGACATCTTTGGATTTCTTCACCAGCCCTGCTTGCCTGCAGATCTGGGCCGCGATCTGAGAGGGGAGGCGAATGGAAGACAAGGCTACCATCTCAAGGACAGAACAGAGGAGATGGCGCACCCTCCAACATTCCTCAGATGAAAATAAGGACGTCACACACACACACACACACACACACACACACACACCCCTGACCTTCCTCAACTCCTCTCCCATTTCTTGCACACACCCCTCAATCAGCTGGTGAGTTTTTAACCCTCTGTCCCAGTTTCTGGGGTGTTTTGGACATAACTTTATGACCACTGCTCCATAGATAATTATTTAATATTGAATTGTCATTATAGTTCATGCGTATAGGTAAATGTAAAGGGACCCCTGACCATTAGGTCCAGTTGTGGCCAACTCTGGGGTTGCGGCACTCAACTCACTTTATTGGCTGAGGGAGCCGGCGGTCATGTGGCCAGCATGATTAAGCCACTTCTGGTGAACCAGAGCAACGCACAGAAACGCCGTTTACCTTCCCGCCAGAGTGGTACCTATTTATCTACTTGCACTCTGATGTGCTTTCGAACTGCTAGGTGGGCAGGAGCAGGGACCGAGCAACGGGAGCTCACCCCGTCACGGGGATTCGAACCGCCAACCTTCTGATTGGCAAGTCCTAGGCTCTGTGGTTTAACTCACAGCGCCACCTGTGTTCCAGTTCATGCATATAGTTTGTAATAATTTGAGTTATTGTAAGTTGCCATGTATATGCAAGTCATTGTTTCAATAATTCATTTGCAGTTTATGAAGCGTTTCTGTATCCTTCTGCTGCACTGAAGAAGAATTCAACGAAACAGTGGCTATATCCGGAATCACTGTTCACTGTTCACCACTTCGGCACCATTGGACGTCATAAAACAAAGCTTTACGGCTGGTTTTCACCAGATAAGAATCTGACCTATTGCTTCTTTCAGAGACTTGCATAGTCTACAAAGACTTTTTAGAGACATATAAGACTTATGTCTATTTGGTTCTATTTTTTCAAGAGAATCCATAGAGAGTGCACATTTTGTGACTTTCAGAGATTTATAAGATCTCTGTTTATTTGGTTTTTCATATTGTTCAATGTTCTGTATAGATTATATAAAGAGTTCATATTGATATCGCATTGTTGGACTTGGTCATTGTGTTGCCTTGGATATTACTGTGTTTTGGACAAAGATATAAGCATTCCTGCCGCGGGAGAATGAGGAGAGAGATAACATACGGTATTTTTTTGTGCAATCTTGAGCTCCTTGGAGGAAAAAGCAGGCTGTGTGCCAAAAACTGTGATTCTTACATTGCAGCGGGGCTGGAGCCTTTGCAGTCCTTCCCACAACTCTGCAACTCTACGAAATAAATAAATGAAGGGCCTTTGCTGGCCTCTCAACCCACCTCCCTCCGTTACTCTCCTGTCAGGCGGCGGAGCGTCCAACACGCCAGGTCCTGAGTTTATCATATTCACTCTCGCCTGTCACTCCCGATTAGTCAGAGCAGTTTCCACCTGACTTCCTCCCTGGGTGTGTATCTGTGGCAAGGAAACTGGTCTGCTTATTCATTTATCTATTGAATATATACCCCACCTTTTCCTCCATGGGGCTCAGGATGGCATCATGGTTTCCCCTCTTCCTCATTCAGCCCTCACAACAACGCTGTGAGGTAGGCTGGGCTGGGACAGACAGAGACCCAGTGAGCTGCATGGCCAAGGATTTGAACCCTGGTCTCTCTCACGGGCTACACACCTTGCCCCAGGTGCATTCACACGGAGATGAGCCTCAATGTTTCAACTAGGGCCAGGGCCTTTTCAGCACTGGCCCCAACTTGGTGGAACGCTCTGTCACAAGAGACCAGGGCCCTGCGGGACTTGACGTCTTTCCGCAGGGCCTGCAAGACAGAGCTGTTCCGCCTGGCCTTTGGTTTGGACTCGGTCTGACCCTTATGTTGCCCTCCCCTTATGGTCTTGATCTATGGGCTACTTTTAAAATGAGGCTGCATTTTAAATTGCATTTTAAACTGTATTTTAAATTGGTTCCCCCCCCCTATTATGTTTTTACTGTAATTTTATTGGTGTTAGCCGCCCTGAGCCAGGCTCTGGCCGGGGAGAGCAGGGTATAAATAAAATTTATTATCATTATTATTATTAAGTCCGTCAAAGGGCACTGTGGGGCAAGTCAGGCTGGCATGTCAGCAGAGGTCCAGATTTCCAGCCAGGAAAGGGACAGGAGTGTCTGTGTGAACCAGGTTCAAAGTCCTTAAATTGATTTACAAAAAGCCCAGAGCAACATCAGTTAAGGGTGCCTCAGGGTCCTCCTGAGCCCTTGTGTCCCAGATGAGATCACCTGCAGGCTGGTTTCCAAACAAGGAAAAGCTGAACCTTGAGTGCCATGTGCCCAGTCCTGTGGAACTCTCTGCCACTGGAAATTCAGCAGGCAACTTCCGTGCCAACTTTTAATTGCCTGCTGAGATCTTGGTCCCAGAGAGCGTTACTTCTCTAGTGTGTAGCTCTTCGATTTTAAAAACGAACGCGAGAATCCCAGACAGAACAAATTCCGGATGGAGCAAAACGGGGGGGGGGGGGTTAGGCTCCGGACCTCAGATGCATACGCTTACCTCATTGTGGGGGAGACCTGCAGCAGAGAAGATGGGGATCTTCTGACCCCTGGCAATGCTGTTCATGACATCGATGGGGGAGATCCCAGTCTGGATCATCTCTTCTGGGTAGATGCGCCCGTGCGGGTTGATGGGCTGGCCTGGGGAAAACGAGGCAGGAGGAGGGAGGGGGTCATAGAATCGTAGAGTTGGAAGGGACTCCTGAGGGTCATCTAGTCCAACCCCCGCAGTGTAGGAATCGCAGCTCAAATGCAGCAATCACAGCTGGCCAGTCAGGGATGGGCTAGTCACTAAGCAGAGAGCAATGGTCATATCGAAGCAGAGACTATAAGGCTTTGCTGTCTTGCTGATGTTGTTAGACTAGCGGTTGCCAAACTCGTGCCCTCCAGATGTTTTGAACTATGGCTGGGGCTGATGGGAGTCTCACCAGTTCAAAGCCTGGTGAAAGATGCAGCAGGACCCACAAAACAGTCGCCATTCCTGTCTTGTTAAAAGTGGCAAACACAGATTTAAAGCTCTGTGTCCGAGAACGCCATTCTTTTTTCTGTCCTGGCGCTTTCTTTGCAAAAACCTGCTCTTTATTACTCAATCTGAGCAAATGGAAGAATTGGCGTTTGTTCTGATCAAATCCTAAAGAGTGGGTTTTCGTGGGGAAAGATTCAGGCCCCCCAAAAACCCCACAGCAAAACCCCAAAAGCTCAGACACGGAGTTTTTAAGTGCAGAATTTGCTGGAAAGAGCAATGCCGAAGGTAAATGTGGAGAAGCCCTTAGTCTCAGCCTAATCTACCTCACAGGGGTGTTGCGGGGATTAAATAAGGGGAGGGAGAGAACCATGGAGACCATCTTGAGGTATAAATGCAAAACATAAATAAAGGCTCCCTATACCAGGGACGCGGGTGGTGCTGTGGTCTAAACCACAGAGCCTAGGACTTGCTGATCAGAAGGTCAGTGGTCAAATCCCCGCGACGGGGTGAGCTCCAGTTGCTCGGTCCCTGCTCCTGCCAACCTAGCAGTTCGAAAGTACGTCAAAGTGCAAGTAGATCAATAGGTACTGCTCCGGTAGGAAGGTAAACGGCATTTCTGTGCGCTGCTCTGGTTCACCAGAAGCAACTTAGTCCTGCTGGCCACATGACCCGGAAGCTGTACGCCAGCTCCCTTGGTCAGTAAAGCGAGATGAGCGCTGCAACCCCAGAGTTGGTCACAAAGTGGACCTAATGGTCAGGGGTCCCTTTACCTTTTACCTATACCAGGGGTACTGAAACCCTCTTTCGTTGCCTGAACTGGGTCCCTCCCTAAGACCCTACTGATTTTGGCAGTGCTGGCGAAAAAGGAGAGGGGGGGAATAGAGGTGGGGAGACCCCAGGAGCCAGATATGAAGGAAGAAGATAAATAAATGTGGGGGAACAGAGGAAAAACCACGGGGTTTTCTCTGCCTGGAAAAATGGAGTTCCTTACTTGTGATGGTGACACTCTGCTTTTAGATATGGGAGACCTGTTTAAGAGCAGAGCGAGGTCAGGAATTTCACCCATTCCCTTTGACAGCGTCTTTTTCGGAAGGGATGGGTCCAGCTGAATCTCTCCCCACCTGCACAGATCAGACTAAGGTCTCACCATTAATGTCCAGGAAATCTTCTGCCATAACGGTTGGTCCTTTGTCGATGGGTTTGGCAGAACCGTTGAAGACTCGGCCTGCGGAGAGACACGGGTGTCAGTGTTGGAAAAACGCCCCCGGGAAAGACTGCCAACTTCCCAGGTCTTCGGAGCGTCTCTCTGGTGGTCCTCCATGGCTGTAAATCTTCCTCAGTCCAGAGAGACCTTTCTCTCCTGAAAAGACCATGCCAGTCTTCTGGCATATCATAGCAGAAGAAAGACTCAATCGTAGTTCTAAAACTACTTTATTCACAGTCTTATATACAGAGACTCCATCAGTACGTCTGTGCTCCCTGAACACCAGTACAGAACTGCGACACACACAGAAGTGAAACTAAACTTCCAATAGTACTCCAAAGGAAGAGATAATACAGACTTCCTTTCTCTTTTTTCAATTTTTTTTAATTAAATAAATTTTATTAGTATTTTCCACACAACAACAACACGAAAAATATCGAAAAATAACAATACACAACACACAGAAACCAACATTTGAAAAACTAAAAAAGCAACAACAACTAAAAAAAATCCATATCTTACAAGTTAGTAATATATACACTATAAAAACAACAACAAAACATTGACTTCCACCAATCCCACAGCACCTCCTTTATCTCTCATTGTGTCTTCCTGTTTTCCTGTTTACCTTATCATCTCTATCCTAACATCTAGATATAAATCCCTCTTTCTTATCCTTTCATTTCACAAGGTTATTCCAGACTCAGCCAGTTTTTTTGTCCTTGAACCTTGACATTTGAGGTATTCATTTAGGCACTCCCATTCTTTTTTTACTTCCCTTTTTGGTTTTTGTCTTATTATGTCTGTCAATTTGACTTCCTTTCTCACACTCTCTCAGACACTCACATGATGTACACAAATCATAGTACCACTCACTGGTCCAGCTGGAGTAGCTTGGATAGATAAAAATCCTAACATCACTCCCCCATTTTCAGGTAACTGTAAGCTAGTGCAGCATCAAGTGACATATACACAGAGTATACCCCTGTTGTACCAGTTCTACCTTTGGAACAACCTGCATATATAGCTGTGGCTAGCAGCTCAAACCAGGTTTCAGACGCTGAGGTCTTGAGTGAGGTACAAGGTTTGTCCACAGGAGAAACAAAGCCACACCTGAAGGTTGCAAGAGTCAACACTGTTTCCTCAGACCAAGGTAGAGGAAAAGCTCTAGTCCCATGGAAGACAGGTAACCAGAGGTTTGAACTGGTCAATCCAGTTGCAGGTACACCTGGAGCAGCTTGGATAGATAAAAACCCTAACAGTCAGAAGGAGGGCCTGGTGTGAGACACAACCGCAGGCATGTGCGGGAATCATCTTTGGACACCTATCACCCTAAGAGCACGTGGAGAGGCTGCTGGATCCGGCCAATGGCCCATCTAGTCCAGCCTCCTGTTCTCACAGGGGCCAACCGGGTACCTGCGAGAAGCCTGTAAGCAAAAGAGCATCTCTCTCCTTCTGTGGTTTCCAACAGCAATTACTGCCTCCAGCCGTGGGCAGCAGAGCAGAGCCATTCCATAGCCTTATCCAATGGGCTTTGGGGAATTGCCTCTTTTTAAGGAAAGGGCTGGTGATGTGATGTTTTTGCTGCAATGATTGTCAGCTGTTGGTTAGAGGGTGGTGCTGACAAGGTTGCAGGTTTGATCTACATTCCTGCATTGCAGTGGGTTGGACTACATCATCCTCAGGGTCCCAATTCTATGCTTTAATAGATATTTCATACGATCTTTCAATAGATCTTTCATATAGATCATATAGATCTTTCATATATGAGAATAACCAACATGATTTTCTCACTGCGCCAGGAGAAATGTCGAATGCAGAGACATCCCTTGTGCATCACCTTCATTCATATATATATATATCTGTGTGTGTGTGTGTGTGTGTGATGAAGAATGGTCTATGCTACAATTCAACCCTAAACTGAAGACCCATATTGTTAGAGCCGCACTTCTGAAGCCCACCCCATATAGCTGTGTTAACCGATCTTTTAATTTTTCTTATAAATTTTTACACACCCATTATCTATGCTTAATTAAGTATATGTTTAAATCTATGTTTGGTTCTTGCTCCTATTTATTTAATAATTATTCATTTAGATTCATACTGTTATGCTATTTATTTAGATGTTTTGCTTATTCTGGTCTATGAGCGTAATAAAGTACTTGACTATATATATAGTCTATATATATATATAGTTTTAATTCTATTAATCTTAAATTGTTTTTAATGTCCCCCCCCTATGTTTCTGGCTATTTCTATTTTATCTGCAGGCCGCCTTCAGTAAAGGGGAAAAGGGGGGGATATAAATATAAATAGCTAATAGGTTTTTTTTTAATTTGGGTATACCTGTAAATGGTTTATTATTGTTATTTTTGTTATTACTGGTTTCTATTGATTGATTGATTGATTGATTGATTTGTTGCCTGTATAGGATATTCTGTTTTTTAATGTTTGATGTTTTGTTGTGTTTTTATATATGTTGTAAGCCACCCAGAGTGGCAGGGGCAACCCAGCGTGATGGATGGGATAAACAACAACAACAACAACAACAACAACAACAAATAGTGTGTGAGCTGATAGTCCTGTACAGGACTGTGCAGACAGCAGCCAAGTTCTACCCCACCAGCAGAGGGTGCCAACTGCGTTGCAGAAGTGCCATGGTGGGGGTGGCACATCCTGGGCAGGATTGGTGGTGTGTGTGTGTGTGTGTGTGTGTGTGTGTGTGTGTGTGTGTGTGTGTGGCTTGTGCTTTTGCTGCACCTAATCCTCAGGTGCTGGAGGAGACTCTGGAGAGTCCCATGGACTGCAAGAAGATCAAACCTCTCCATTCTGAAGGAAATCAGCCCTGAGTGCTCACTAGAAGGACAGATCCTGAAGCTGAGGCTCCAAGACTTTGGCCACCTCAGGAGAAGAGAAGACTCCCTGGACAAGACCCTGATGTTGGGAGAGATGGAGGGCACAAGGAGAAGGGGACCACAGAGGACGAGATGGCAGGACAGTGTTCTTGAAGGTATCATCATGAGTTTGACCAAACTGCGGGAGGCAGTGGAAGACAGGAGGGCCTGGCTCACAAAGAGTTGGACATGACTCAACAACAACAATCCTCAGGAAGGGAGCGGGCAAAGGAGGTAGGTCTAAGAGGTATGTGTGTGGCAGGAGTGCCAACTTGGCCCTGTGACTGTGGGTGCCCGGGGCCATGGTGCCATGCAGCGTGCCTGGCCCTGGCACCAAAATTTGTGCCCGGCCCCTTCATGGGGAATTTTGTGGGTGCTGGGGCACCCAGGGCCCCAGGGAGTTGGCACCTATGGTATGCGTCACTCCAAGCGGCTAAGCTGCAGATCTTGCAAGCGCAGGACACCAGCCTTGTTTTCCGGGCTGCAGGTGCTTCGATTGAGCAAAGGTTTCCCTCTGCTCTTTCTCTCCTCCCTTATCCCTCTCTCTCTCTCTCTCCTTTTCTTTTTTGTGCTTCAGTGATGTGTGTCTAAGACAAATAGAATGCGTCGTGATGAATACCAAGCTTACTGGCCTTTCATGGTCCTCTGGCTCCTTCCTCCCATTTCCATCTTGGCATTGATCTTCATTTGCTGTGACAAGGACAGTGCTTTTCTACCGTCCCTCTTAAAGGACCGGAAGAAAGTTGTTGCGTGTCGGGGGGGGGGACTCGTTGGCGAGGGGGAGGCAGGGAGGGCAAATGCAGCTATATTGATTCCTCCCCTGCGGTGGCCGATAGCCAATCTATAAAGAGGAGGTGGTCTGGCGGATGTTCAAGACGGATCTTTGGGCGAAAAGGTTAATTTGGCCACCTAAGGAAATGAGTCGGTGGGGGGCAGAGGAAGATGATGGCTGGTGGTTAACAGATTGAGGTTGAATCCTGACAAGTACTGTTTTTGGGGGGACAGGGGACGGGCAGGTGTGGGGGACTCCCTGGTCCTGAATGGGGTAACTGTGCCCCTGAAGGACCAGGTGCACAGCCTGGGAGTCATTCTGGACTCACAGCTGTCTATGGAGGTGCAGGTCAGTTCTGTGTCCAGGGCGGCTGTCTACCAGCTCCTTCTGGTACGCAGGATGAGACCCTCCCTGCCCGCAGACTGTCTCGCCAGAGTGGTGCATGCTCTGGTTATCTTCCACTTGGACTATTGCAATGTGCTCTATGTGGGGCTACCTTTGAAGGTGACCCGGAAACTACAACTAATCCAGAACACGGCAGCTAGACTGGTGACTGGGAGTGGCTGCCAAGACCATATAACACCGGTCCTGAAAGACCTACATTGGCTCCCAGTACGTTTCCAAGCAAATTCAAAGTGTTGGTGCTGACCTTGAAAGCCCTAAATGGCCTTGGTCCAGTATACCTGAAGGAGCATCTCCACCCCCATCGTTCTGCCCGGACACTGAGATCCAGTGCCGAGGGCCTTCTGGTGGTTCTCTCCCTGCGAGAAGTGAAACTACAGGGAACCAGGCAGAGGGCCTTCTTGGTAGTGGCACCTGTCCTGTGGAACACTCTCCCATCAGATGTCAAGGAAATAAACAACTATCTGACTTTTAGAAGACATCTGAAGGCAGCCCTGTTTAGGGAAGGTTTTAATGTTTGAGGTTCTGTTGTGCTTTTAATTCTGTTGTGAGCTGCCCAGAGTGGCTGGAGAGGCCCAGCCAGATGGGCAGGGTATAAATAATGAATTATTATCATCATTATTATTATAGGTGCAGGAGATGCGGCCGTACGCTGAAGCTCACCTTGACTCGGGTGCTCAGGCCAGCCCCTGCTCTGCCCAACTCAAGCGCGGCCTTTGCAGAATCAAGCCAAAGACCCACCTGGTCCAGGTGGGCCTGGCCCCCCAAGATCCCGCCCCCTCCTACCAAAATGTAGGAGGACAACCATGGTTGGAGGGAGGTGGCAGCCTGGGAGGAGCACAGCCATGGCCCATTTTTGGCCCAGTAGCCTCTGGTCTCCTCCTGTTTTTAGCCATGGGTGATCCCTCCTCCATGGTACAGTGGTAAGAGCATTGGCTTTGCATGCAGAAGGTGTCAGGTTCGAATGCTGGTGTCTCCATGCTGGGTTGAACACAGCAGCCCTTACCCTGCAGGCTTACAATCTGTTTTTAAAAATAGAATGGCATGCCATGACACGACACACAAGGAAAGGGGCACAGGGATGGAAGAGGAAAACCAAAAGCCAGGCTCCAGTTTCTAAGCTGTTGTTCCGATAATGGGCAGCTGGCACAGTCCAGAGGCAAGGAGGTGCTCGATGGAGCTGGGCCCCCAGCAAAGGTGATGAAATGAGAAGGGAAAATGATGGGATGGCTGTGCCTGAGGCCTGATAGAGCTAGCTTTTTCACAGCCCATTCATTCATTCATTATATTTGCCACTTTTCACTGACATGAGTGAGAATACAGTATGGCTTACATACAATAAATTGCAATATTACTATTACTATTATTATTATTAATAATAATAATAATAATAATTTTATTTATACCCCACCCTCCCCAACCAGAGCTGGGCTCAGGGCGGCTAACACCAATAAAATCACGGTAAAAACATAATAGGGGCGAAAGACGGGGGGGGGGGGGAGAGAAAAGAAAAGAAAACCCCCCAATTTAAAATACAGATTAGAATGCAATTTAAAATGCAGCCTCATTTTAATAGTAGTCCATAGATTAAGAACATAAGGGGAGGGAAACAGAAGGGTCAGACCAAGTCCAAACCAAAGGCCAGATACAACAGAACATCACAAGTGCAACATGAATCATGTAAAACAATTACGAACCATCAGTAAAACTAACCCCTTATATAAAACACTTTGCAAAATGGCTTAAAAAATAGGCTGAACAGCACAACCGCAAGAAAAGTCCTATTATGAACTTCACAAAGCGTTACAGCAATCGTAATTCGCAAAACAGCACTGACAACGTTAGCAAGCTAACAACCCGCAGCAACCCGGCCCTGTTGAATTCACACTCCCTGTCTCTCCCTGCCGCCATGGCTCATAATCTTCCACTCAGTGCATCAAAAGACAGATCCATAGCACAGCAGAGCTCAGGATGGAGGGACTCAGCTTCCCAGTTCTCCCACTGCTGGAATCATCAGCTACACCCCAAGGAAGGAGACAGACCAGCCTAATCCCAGGCTCAGTGCCTAGGCCAGCATTTGCCAACCTGGTGCCCTCCTAATGTTTGGGACGACAACTCTAGGGTTGCCATACGTCTGGAATTTCCCAGACATTACCGGGATTCGGCTGTTGAAAACAGTGTCTGGGTGGAAATTGCTGAAATGTTCAGGAAAATCTGGGCGTAGGCCAACCCATGCTGGGAGTGAAGATTTTGGTGAATTTACTTAAAAATAGACCCAAAAATTCTTTTTATTTTTTTTTGAGATTTTGCAAAAGTTCTGGGCGAAACTTTAAAAAGCTCCACAGCTTTGGCAACCCCAAACAACTTTTGGGTCTGGATTTTCACTTTTTGGAATATGGCAACCCTAGACAACTCCCTAGCCATCAATGCTTATCTGAAATTCCTGCATTGCAGGGGGTTGGACTAGATGACCCTCGGATCCCTTCCAGCTCTACAGTTCTATGATTCTAACTCCCTTCAGCGCCCCCTCCATCAAGCATTGCTGGAGTGAACCTCCAGATGACTCCTGGGGGCCAGAGAGGGGCAGCTGTCTCCCAAATTAATAAAAATCAATAAAAACACATTGCAGGCTTGATTATTGTAACTTGCTCTACGCAGGGCTGCCCTTGAAGCTGATCCAGAAACTCCAATGAGTGCAGAATGCCGCGGCGAGTCTCCTTACGGGGTCCTTGCCGCGGGATCACATTCACCCGGTGCTATACCAACTGCACTGGCTCCCGGTGGAGTACAGGGTCAGGTTTAAGGTGCTGGTTTTGACCTCTAAAGCCCTATGTGGCCAAGACCCACGTACCTACAGGACTGCCTCTCCTGGTATGCCCCGCGGAGTACCTTAAGGTCCACAAATGACAACACCTTGGAGGTCCCAAGTCGCAAGGTGCTTAAATTGGGCTCCACTAGGGCCAGGGCCTTTTCGGTACTGGCCCCGACACTCTGTCCCAAGAGACTAGGCCCTGCGGGACTTGACATCTTTCCGCAGGGCCTGCAAGACAGAGCTGGTCCACCTGGCCTTTGATTTGGACTCAGTCTGACCCTTATGTTGCCCTCCCCTTATGGTCTTGATCTATGCGCTACTTTTAAAATGAGACTGCATTTTAAATTGCATGTTAACCTGTATTTTAAATTGGTTTCCCCCTCCCTATTATGTTTTTACTGTAATTTTACTGGTGTTAGCTGCCCTGAGCCTGGCGAGGGCGGGGTATAAATAAAATTTATTATTATTATTATTAAACTGAGGTATTATTAAACTAACAAAAATCCTGGCTATGCCCATGGCTCCTGTGGCTCAGAGCCAGTTCCTGTCTCCCACTCCAGCACCCGAAAGCCTCTCCCTGCCTCAGCTCCTTCCATGGCAGCCAGGGCCATCTCCCGCTGCCCTTTGGCCTTTCCCTTCTTTTTCCTTTGTTCCTGCAGCCTCTGGCGGCCTTTTCGCTCCCCCGACGGGATTAGCTCACACTTCACTTTGCAGCTGTAGCAACGCATTACCCGAGACGGATTCCTCCTCCTCCCCAGTTCCCCCGTTTTCTACGTACCAAGCATGTCCTCGGAAACAGGTGTGCGGAGAATGTCCCCCGTGAACTCGCAGGACGTCTTCCTCGCATCGATCCCAGATGTTCCTTCGAACACCTGCAAGGCAAGGGCCCCAGAGGGCAAGGACCCAATTACGGGCAATTAGGGAGGATTAACGGCAAATGAGGCCAGGCAGGTCCAGATGGGAAGGGAGCAGGGAGAGGGGGCTGCGGTTTGCGCTGGGCGATCTGCGTTTGGAGGAATTTCCGCCAGCAAGATGAAAAAGAAGCGTCTCTCTCATTGCTTTTTTCGCTCCTCCCCAGAGACTTTGGCTCTCCGGGTCTCAGTCTCCCATTTAAGCCTAAGAACATAAAAACAGCTTGCTGGATCAGGCCAGTGGCTGATCTAGTCCAGCAGCCCGTTTTCACAGTGCCCAAACTCTAGGGTTGCTATATATTGAAGAGCAAAAGAGGACACATTTGCCGACTTTTACTTATAACTATGGGACGCAGGTGGCGCTGTGGGTTAAACCACTGAGCCTTGGGCTTGCTGATCAGAAGGTCGGCGGTTCGAATCCCCGCCACGGGGTGAGCTCCCTTTGCTCGGTCCCTGCTCCTGCCAACGTAGCAATTCGAAAGCACGTCAAAGTGCAAGTAGATAAATACGTACCGCTCCGGCGGGAAGGTAAATGGCGTTTCCGTGTGCTGCTCTGGTTCACCAGAAGTGGCTTAGTTATGCTGGCCACATGACCCGGAAGCTGTGTGCCGGCTCCCTCGGCCAGTAAAGCGAGATGAGCGCCACAACCCCAGAGTCGGCCACGACTGGACCTAATGGTCAGGGATCCCTTTACCTTTACCTTTATTTGTAACTATGGATCGCTGTGAGGACTCTCCTCACGAAAAGGAGGGTGTGTCCTAGAAAAGGAGGACATATGGCAACCCTACCAAACTTCCCATAGAACCTAGGAATCTCATTATTGGCACAAAAATGGAAGCAAGAAGAATTACCAACAAAATAAGAATTGCGGATGAAATTGATGGACTAAGCAGAACTAGGTAAATTAACAGGAAGAGATCGAAACCTGCGGGATTAGAGATTCTTAGAAGACTGGAGTAAATATATGAACTATTTGAAAACAATTTGGTATGAACAGATTACGCTAGTAGGACTGCAAGAAGTTCTGTAAGGAGGATTATTTGAAATATTGCAAGAAAGATTATGAGGAGAATTATTAGTTAATGATAATTAAGAGTAATAGAGAAATTAAGAAACGCAGAATAAGTGATAAGAGTGATAAATCATCAGAGGTCTTAAACATTGTATAAGATAAGAAGGTATGTTATATGATTGTTGGAAATGGTATGTTAAAAAAACCAATAAAAATGTGTGGTGTGTGTGTGTGTGTGTGTATAATTATAACCTAGGAATCTCAATACAACTGGAACTGAAGGAGAGCTTGCCGGATCAGGCCAATGGGTCCCCAAAACTCCAGTGTCCTGTTCTCAGTGTCCGGGCAGAACCATGGGGGTGGAGACGCCACTTCAGGTATGTTTTATTTATAAAATGTATATATGGCCCTTCATCCGAAGATTATGGGATTTGCAGTATAAAACATGAAAATACACAACAGAATGACAAACAAGGAAGCAAGTCAATGGGAATTGCCCAAGCAGGACCAGAGCACAGCAGCAGCAACTCTCCTCAAGCTGCCAGTGTGGTGTAGTGGTTAAGAGCGGTAGTCTCGTAATCTGGTGAACTGGGTTTGAGTCTCCGCTCCTCCACATGCAGCTGCTGGGTGACCTTGGGCTAGTCACACTTCTCTGAAGTCTCTCTGCCCCACTCCCCTCACAGAGTGTTTGTTGTGGGGGAGGAAGGGAAAGGAGAATGTTAGCCGCTTTGAGACTCCTGAAGGGGAGTGATAAAGCGGGATATCAAATCCAAACTCTTCTTCTTCTTCTTCTTCTTCTTCTCAATTGTGGTTTGCAGCAACTGGCATTCAGGAGCATTGGAGGGAGGACAAAGGACAGAGGACTCCCTGGTCCTGAATGGGGTCACTGTGTCCCTGAAGGACCAGGTGCACAGGCTGGGAGTCATTTTGGACTCAGCTGTCCATGGAGGCGTAGGTCAATTCTGTGCCCTGGGCAGCTGTCTCCCAGCTCCATCTGGTACTCAGGATGAGACCCTCTCTGCCCGTGGACTGTCTTGCCAGAGTGGTGCATGCTCTGCTTGGACTACTGCAATGCGCTCTATGTGGGGCTACCTTTGAAGGTGACCCGGAAACTATAACTAATCCAGAATGCAGCAGCTAGACTGGTGATGGGGAGCGGCCACCGAGACCTACATTGGCTCCCAGTACGTTTCCAAGCACAATTCAAAGTATTGGTGTTGACCTTTAAAGCCCTAAACAGTCTTGGTCCAGTATACCTAAAGGAACGTCTCCACCTCCATCGTTCTGCCCAGACACTGAGGTCCAGCTCCGAGGGCCTTCTGGTGGTTCCCTCCCTGTGAGAAGCCAAGGTACAGGGAACCAGGCATAGGGCCTTCTCGGTGGTGGCACCCGCCCTGTGGAACGCCCTCCCACCAGATGTCAAAGAGAACAACTACTACCAAACTTTTAGAAGACATCTGAAGGCAGCCCTCTTTAGGGAAGTTTTTAATGTTTGATGCATTACTGTATTTTAATATTTTGTTGGAAGCTGCCCAGAGTGGCTGGGGAAGCCCAGCGAGATGGGCGGGGTATAAATAATAAATTATTATTATTATTATAATTATTATTATTGGGGCTCCTCAGCCACAACGGCTGGGCTCTGCTCTCAGAGGCAGCAGTGCTTCTGAATCCCAGTTGTTGGAAACGGCAGGAGGGCTCTTGTGTCACAGTGAGAACAGGGGGCTGGACTGGACAGGCCACTGGCCTGATCCAGGAAACTCTTATGTTCTTATGCTAGCAGCCAATCATAGAACTGTAGAGTTGGAAGAAACCCCCAATGGACGTCTAGACCAACCCGCTGCAATACAGGAATCACACCTGAAATTTCCCTGACCAAAATGGCCACCCAACCTGTTTAAAAACTTCCAGTCAAGAAGAGTCCCCAGCCTCCCGTCCCAAGGGAGGCTGTTCCACTGTCATTCACATCAGAAAGTTCTTCATAATCTTGTCAGAATCTCCTTCCTTGTAACTTGAAGCCATGGGTTCGAGTCCTACCCTCCACAGCAGGAGAAAACAAGCCTGCTCCCTCTTCCATGTGGCAGCCCTTGAGATATTTCATATCTCATTGTGAGAAGCAAAGCTACAGGGAACCAGGCAGAGGGCTTTCTCAGTAGTGGCGCCCACCCTGTGGAACACCCTCCCACCAGATATCAGAGAGATAAACAACTACCTAACATTTAGAAGACATCTGAAGGCAGCCCTGTTTAGGGAAGCTTTTAATGTTTAATAGCTTATTGTATTTTAGTGTTCTGTTGGAAGCTGCCCAGAGTGGCTGGGGAAACCCAGCCAGATGGGCGGGGTATAAATAAATAAATAAATAAATAAATAAATTATTATTATTATTATTATTATTATTATTATTATTTCCTCTCAAGCCTCCTCTTTCCCAGGCTAAACACGCCCAGCTCCTTCAACCATTCCTCATCAGGCTTGGTTTCCAGACCCTTAATCATCCTGGTTGCCCCCCACCCTTTTTGCCTCCACAGCCCCCACCCAGTTGGTTGAGTGAAGAGGGAAACTGAGGTGCGCAGACCCCATTGGGTGGCCCAACGCGCCCTCCTCTCTCTCCCACACATGATGCGCTACGTTTGGAGCAACTGGCCTCAGTTGCTTGGTGCCGCCTGGATCCTTCCCGCCTTCCTTGGGGGAGAGGGGACCCGAGGCACCAGCATCCCTTCTGACTTGGTATTTTTGGAAAACCACTGCAATGGAAGGAGGACCCCAGCGCTGCTCTCATGGCCAATGCAGGCCTCGGTTAGCCAGAGGGGAAAACACCTTCTTCTAATTCATAGCTGCCCACTTTTCCCTTTTCTTGCGAGGAATCCTATTCGGAATAAGGGTTGTTGTTGTTTAGTCGTTTAGTTGTGTCCAACTCTTCATGACCCCATGGACCAGAGCATGCCAGGCCCTCCTGTCTTCCACTGCCTCCTGCAGTTTGGTCAAACTCATGCTGGTAGCTTCGAGAACACTGTCCCACCATCTTGTCCTCTGTCGTCCCCTTCTCCTTGTGCCCTCCATCTTTCCCAACATCAGGGTCTTTTCCAGGGAGTCTTCTCTTCTCCTGAGGTGGCCAAAGTCTTGGAGCCTCAGCTTCAGGATCTGTCCTTCCAGTGAGCACTCAGGGCTGATTTCCTTCAGAATGGAGAGGTTGGATCTTCTTGCAATCCATGGGACTCTCAAGACTCTCCTCCAGCACCATAATGCAAAAGCATCCATTCTTCGGCGATCAGCCTTCTTCATGGTCCAGCTCTCACTTCCATACATCACTACTGGGAAAACCATAGCTTTAACTATACGGACCTTTGTTGGCAACGTGGTGTCTCTGCTTTTTAAGATGCTGTCTAAGTTTGTCATTGCTTTTCTCCCAAGAAGCAGGCGTCTTTTAAGGGAATTTCCCTTAAAAAGGGGGAAACGTTGACAGCTATGTTCTAATTGGATCTAGTGTGCCTCCCCCTCCCCTATCCATTCCGAAGGGACCCCCGAAAGGCTCCCTTTGATCGGAATAATATTTGACACCGTTTGAAGGCAGTGACCTCCGGACCGCTGCTTTAATTAGATCCGTGTGGCCCCTTGCGAAAGAATGTTCACACGTTGGCCAGCTGTTGCGGCAGGGTGGGGTGGGGGGCTGGGAAGAGTGGAATAAGCCCCCCACCCCAGCTCCGTGTATATCAGGCTTTCCCTAAGCGGCTTCTGCCAAAGGCCAGGCAGGGGGTGCCGGCGAGGCTGACTCCCTAATAGGATTAGAAGGGCCCTGCAGAGGTCTCTGTGGCATTAGAGGGCTGAAGTCTGGCCGCTCGCCAGCAGAGGTCCCCCGCAGGTCAACCTCGCGGGTCCCTCGCCTCCACAGGGCTACTAGGCTCAAGGCGTTGCTCATCAGAGCAGGGCAGGCGGGAAAGGGCATTCTGCGTGATCTCAGAGGGCGAGGAAAGGTCAGGGGGCTTGGAGAGGCAAGCATCCCTGGGGAGGCACCTGCTTCTCCGCACGGAGGGGCAAACTGGGCAGCCCCCTCCCAGCAGAGAGAAGAAGACCCTCTGCCTTGCTGGGCCGAAGTCCCAGCCAGCCACCCACCCCCAGATCCAAGGCACGGGGGCTGGACTTAGAGAGGGTCCCCTCCTTTCACGATCTGGATAGAGCTGCTGTGAGGTCACGGAATGCGGACAAACATTCTGGGTGCTGGTGGGGGAAAGGTCCGTCCTTGTACATCAATGTTGTGAAAGGCCAATGTGGCTGGAAGAAAACCTGCAGGGATGAGATTCCCAACTTCTCTTTCTTTCTTTCTTTCTTTCTTTCTTTCTTTCTTTCTTTCTTTCTTTCTTTCTTTCTTCTCCGGGCACCACTGCCCTTAACAACAGCCAGATGGCGAAGGGAATTTAGCAAGGAGAGCTGTTGTCTCCAAGTGAGGTCTAGCTGGCTTCATCTGCCAAGTCTCCACAGGTCAGGCTTCTGTTAGAGGCATGGCAGCACTGCTGGCAAAATAGTTGGCAACCCTCTCAGGAATAGGAGGTGATGCGCTTGTGAGGGACGGGCGCAGGTTGGAAGATTGGGGTAAGAAAGGGAAAGATGGGTGGAGCTGAGGCAGCCAACTGAGAGGTACAAATGACTAGGAGAAAAGCAACCTGTAGTAGTAGTAGTAGTAATAATAATAATAATAATAATAATAATAATTTATTATCTATACCTCGCCCATCTGCTGAGTTTCCCCAGCCACTCTGGGCGGCTCCCAATCGAGTGTTAAAAACTGTCCAGTTTTAAACTAAATAAAGTTAAAACCAAGATGTTGACAAAGAACTTGGCTGAAAATTTAAGAAGCCAGTTAGAGTTGCAAACAGGAATCAAGGTGGTGAAAAAGGTGAAATATCTGGGTATTTGGGTCTCCACGAAAAACATAAACTTAGTAGAAGATAATTATATTAGGACCTGGAGAGAGATTAAAAAAGAATTAGATACCTGGAGTAGGATAAAACTTTCCTGGTCAGGAAGAATGGCCGCAATTGAGATGAGTATTCTTCCAAGACTGCTGTTTTTATTTCAGAACATCCCGGTGATTAGAGGTATGACAATGTTTAAAGATTGGCAGAAAACCCTTTCCAGATTTATTTGGCAGGGCAAAAGAGCAAGAATTAAATTTAAACTACTTACAGATCGAAGAGATAGAGGAGGGTTTGCCGTCCTGAACTTGAAACTATACTATGAGGCCTCGTGCTTGTGCTGGATCAAAGAATGGATCGTTTTGAAAAACACAGATTTGTTAGATTTAGAGGGATTTAACACCAGATTCGGTTGGCACGCATATCTGTGGCACAATAAAGAGAGGGTACACAAAGGCTTCTCTAACCATATCATCAGAGGAGCGTTGCTTGAGGTATGGGACAGAAATAAAAGACTTATAGAAAAAGACACCCCCTGGTGGCTATCACCAATTGATATTCTAACAATCAAAAAATTAAATATGGAAAGTCAAAGATGGACCTATGAAGACCTCCTGGTAAGATCAGATAAAGGATGGAAAATCAGAACATATGAAGATTTAAAGGATAAATTAACGGGTTGGCTACAATTTCACCAAATTAATGCCGTATGGAACGAACATAAAAAAACAGGGATGAATGAGAAAAAGTCCAGATACCAGGTGGAAATACTAGAAGGTAATTCCAAACTTTTATCCAAAATGTATAATCAATTACTAGATTGGGATACCAAGGATGAAGAGATAAAGGAAGTTATGGTCAAATGGGCCATAGATCTTGGATACAATCTAGATTACGATAGGTGGGTGAAACTTTGGAACAAGGATATGAAGTTCACAGCATGTGTTGGACTCCGAGAAAATATGGAAAAAATGATGTACCGATGGTACATCACCCCTGTGAAATTGGAAAAAATGTATAAGACCGGAGACAAAACATGCTGGAAATGCAAAACAAAAGAGGGTGATTTCCACCACATGTGGTGGACTTGTGAAGAAGTGAAAAGGTTTTGGGGACTTATTTATGATGAATTAAATTTTTTTTTGAAATATACTTTTCCCCAAAAACCCGAAGCCTTCCTCCTGGGAATGGTCGGAGAGGAGATCAAGAAAGAAGACCAAATAATGTTCCAATATGCAACGGTAGCCGCCAGGATATTGCTAGCGCAAAATTGGAAAACCCCTAATATCCCAACTGTTAGAGAATGGCAAATTAAATTATTCGAGTATATAGAATTAGCAAAGATGACACAAAAAATCAGGCATCAAAAAAGTGTAAAATTTATTAACGATTGGAACAAATTTATAACATACATAGAAGCAAATTTAGGAAATATTAAAATCACAGTAGGTGTAACGTAAAGCATGCGATGTATAGATAGAGGTTGTAAAATGATACCGCAGAAAGGTATTGTGGCTACATAGCTCAAAACCGAGATGGAGGGAAGTCAATCAATGTTAAGTTATGAATTTGATGTTGGTTTGTTTTCCGTTTGTTTTCTTTTTTTTTTATGTGTTGCTTTGTCTTTTTACCTTTTTCGTTGTTCGTTTGTATGTTTTTGTTTCTTCACTTTGTATGTTTTTGTCTTAAAAAAGAACTTAATAAAAAGAATTTAAAAAAAGGAAAAAAAACCAAAACAATACAGCACTAAATATTAAAAACTTCCCTAAACAGGGCTGCCTTCAGATGTCTTTTAAAGATAGGATAGCTGCTTATTTCCTTGACATCTGATGGGAGGGTGTTCCACAGGGCGGGTGCCACTACCGAGAAGGCGCTCTGCCTGGTTCCCTGTAACCTCACCTCTCGCAATGAGGGAACCGCCAGAAGACGAGAAACTTATTTTTTTAAAAAAAGTGGTTGCTGTTTTTTGAAATCTCCCCAGTGCCCCAGTTCAAAGGTCGCCCCACACAACCTGGACCATGTTCCGCTGTCTTGTGTGCGAGTCTCTCTGGAGAGACTTGGCTTCCCTTACAAAGGGCCCGCCCACTTTCCCCTCTGGCCCAGCCCACCATGGCTATGTGGCCCCCGGAAGGCTACCCTGAAAGGGATGTGGCCCGAAATCTTCCCCACCCACCAACATCCTTTCCGGATTCCTGCTTTCTGTATCTGGGCTAGGGCTTTCAATTTGACTCCCGGAGATCTCAGCCTTCAGTTTGCTCCTCCGAGTCTCAAGTCAGTATCCCTCTAGCGCATTATGTACTTATGGCCCTTGTACTTCCAGGTCTTCTTCGCCTGCCCAGGTGTCTCAGCCTTGACTTTTGGCTTGCAGTTCAAGAACAACATGAAGCATCAGCTTCTCTCTGCTGCACAGACATCATAACGAGAGAACGAACCGCATCCTGAAAAGGCAAAGGGCGAAGGCAGCTGCCTTGTCTGCTTTTACTCGGGAGTTAGGAAGGGGAAGAATACTGTCCCAAAGGAAAACAGAAAACTGCCACCATTTGGATGGATAGCATTCAAAACTTCGGCAAACCTCGCTTTTTGAAAAGATATCCCACAGACTAAAAAGTATATGTTATTTCTTATACGAATATTGCATGTGGCTCATTTAAATCTTATTGTCAATAATGGAGCTCACAGGGGAAATACTTTTATTTTCATTCATCTTTTATTATTTGTAAAGGGGATCTTTCTTTGAGCTGATACTTCTACTATCTCTTTGGAGCTGTGCTGGATCTTTGTGTTTTTGTCCTCCCCCCAAAATAGTTTAAATCTGCCACAATTTGCATGCTCCTACAAGAAGTGTTCGCTACCATGATTTTCTTTGGAGCCTTCAAACATTCTGTAAATGATTACATTATTTTCTGCATTGTTTTTGACGTATCCCTGCCACTGGAATGTGTTGAAATGACATAATTAATTATGTTGGCTCGGCCATAGCAGATAGGGAGAAAACAGCATAGGTTTTGGCAGAAGGAAAGTTGTAAATAAAAATATAAGAGCATTGCTTGATCAGGCCAAAGGGACCCGTCGGGTCCTGCACCCTGTTCTCACAGTGGCCAAGCAGATGCCTGTGAGAAACCCACAAGCAGGATTCGAACACAAGACCAACTCTCACCTCCTGTGGTTTCCAGAAACTGGTCTTCAGAAGCATTTTGCCTCTGATTGTGGAGGCAGAGCGGAGCCAACATGGCTGGGAGCCATCAAGAGCCCTTTCCTCCTCCATGACTTTGTCCAATCCTCTTTTAAAGCCAACAAAGTCAGTAGCCATCCAAAACCAGTGGAGTTTAATATAAATGGTAATGGGAACCACTGTGGTTCAGTGGTTAGACTACTGGGAGAGACCAGGGTTCAAATCCCTGCACAGCCATGATGCTCACTGGACGAGCTTGGGCCAATCCTGAGGATCCATGTGGATCTGTGCTTTGTAACCACGTTTTTGCGCCATTACGGCTCCACACAACAGTGTGTGTGTGATTTTTTTGGTGCAGGCTGTAGCCATGGACATGCAATGTGATCTGATGGTGAATTTGGGGTGACCCAATGTAAAAATCCTGAGGATCCATGGGCTTTTACCTCCCAGGCAGCCTCCTTTATCGCTAGCGTCCCTTATCTCCCTCCCGATCGCTTACCGATCAACTGCTTCCTTTCAACACTCCCTTCCCTCTTCTTTGCCTTAGTGTCTTTTCCTTAGCTGGAGCAATTTTTCGCTCCTCCTTTTCTTCTAATTTCTCTCCTCATTCCTTTAGTCTTCCTGTCTCCTCTCCTTGCAAGTTCGCTGTCTTTACCTCCCCCCTCCCCCAGCAGCCTCCTTTTCCAGCAGCCTTATTTCCCTCCCGATCACTTGCCGATCAGCTGCTTTGTTTCAACACCTACTTCCCTCTTTCAAAATAAATAAACAAAGCATGATCTGCTTTTCTCCCCTGGGTAATTCGGCTCCAGGGACCACACATTTGCTCCATAAGACGCACAGACATTTCCCCTTACTTTTTAGGAAGAAAAAAGTGTGTCTTATGGAGCGAAAAATACGGCAAATGAGGATGTGGGAGAATTCAACTCTCCTTCCTTGGATGTTTTTAAGCTGAGGTTGGGTGGCCCTCTATCATGGATGTTGTAGCTGAGATTCCTGCATTGCAGGGGGTTGGACTAGATGTCCCTCGGGGTCCCTTCCAATTCTCCAGTTCTATGGTCCTCTGATTCTGTGTACAGCACCTTGCGCTTCTTAGAGAAAAGGTGGGGTATAAATGCAAAGCGATGGCTGTGCTCTGTCGAAATGTCCCAAAGGTGAGCAATGAACGCAGGGGACAGGCTTATACCCTCCAATCTTTCTCTGATGAAAACAGGGGTGCCCCATTCTGCCATGATAATGTTCCTATTTATACCCCACACACCTGACTGGGTCACCCCAGCCACTCTGGGCAGCTTCCAACATATATAGGTAAAGGTAAAGGGACCTCTGACCATTAGGTCCAGTCGCGGACGACTCTGGGGTTGCGGGGCTCATCTTGCTTTATTGGCCGAGGGAGCCAGCGTACAGCTTCTGGGTCATGTGGCCAGCAGGACTAAGCCGCTTCTGGCGAACCAGAGCAGCGCACAGAAACACTGTTTACCTTCCTGCCAGAGTGGTACCTATTTATCTACTTGCACTTTGACATGCTTTCGAACTGCTAGGTTGGCAGGAGCAGGGACCGAGCAACGGGAGCTCACCCCGTCATGGGGATTTGAACCGCTGAGCTTCTGATCGGCAAGTCCTAGGCTCTGTGGTTTAACCCACAGTGCCACCTTTGTCCCTCGGACATATATAGAAACACAATAAAACATTAAACATTTTAAAAACCTTCCCTCTACAGGATTGCCTTCAGACGGCTCAGGGGTCCGATAACTCCATCCCCTCCAATGAAAATAAGGACGTCCTAAGGAAAAGTGGGACATTCCAGGATCAAATCAGAAACTGGGACGGCTTCTCTGAATCAGGGACGTCCCTCGCAAATAGGTACACTTAGAGGCTCTGGTTCAAACTGAGTCCCACTGAGACACGGGGTCAACAGAGTCGTTCTCACACACCTGGATAATGGCTTTGGAACCGGACACTTCCAGCACTTGCCCGCTTCGCTGTGTGCCGTTCGGGAGAGTGAAGTTGACAATCTCCGCATACTGGGCAAACTGCAAGGAGAGAGAAGCAAGGCAAAGGTTAGAGCAGGGGTCTGGTGGGATTGTAATGCAATCAAAAATTTTTGGGAAATGATATATAATGAATTGAAGAAAATGTTCCACTTAACATTTGTTAAAAAACCAGAAGCATTTTTGTTAGGGGTTGTAGAAAAAGACCTGCCAAAAAAGCTGAAAAACATCTTCATGTATGCGAGAGTCCTAATAGCACAAGGATGGAAGACGGAAGAAATTCCAACCAAAGAATCATGGCAAGAGAAACTGATGGATTATACAGAATTGGCAAAATTGACACATAAGCTACGGGACAAGGATAACTGCGACTTCAAAGATGAATGGGAACCCTTTACAAAATATTTGAAGACGCAACAAAGTGAATTGGACTCCTTGGCAGGTTTTGAATAAACACTCACAAACTCTTTACTGACAATAATCAGTTAGATATTTTTTATACAGTTTTGTAACATGCAGAGAATAGCATTTACAGAGAAACCAAAGATTGGAACTGAGGGAAGTCGGGGGGTGGGGGTGGGGTTTGTTTGGGAGGGTGGGGGGAGGGAGGAAAATGGGGGGACACCAAAGATGACATGTTTTTGGAAAATGTGTTTTGTTTAAATTTTTAATTAATTTTTTTTTTTAAAAAGGTTAGAGCAGGGGTCAGCAAACTTACTGCGCCTTGGGCCGGTGTCTCCAGCACCGATCGCGCGGTGGACCGGAGGGCGGGGGAGCGCATGCCCATACACGTGCGCAAACGCTATTTCTGGTGCATTTCCGGGTCAGAGGAGCACCGGAAATCGCTTGTGCGCATGTGCACGGGCCTCCTCCAACCCGGATGTGCACCGCGAATAACGCTTGCGCATGCGCAAATAACGCTTGCACATGCGCACAAGCTATTTCTGGTACTCCTCCGACCCGGAAGTGGGCAGCCGCGCAGTGCAGCGCCGGTAAGAGCGGGCGGCGGCAGCTGGCGGCGGGGTTTGCCGTAGGCCAGATAAACGAGTCCCATGGGCCTTACCCAGCCAGCGGGCCTTAGTTTGGGGACCCCTGGGTTAGAGGAATGGCAGGAGCAACTTGGCTGCCAGGAAGAGCCAAAGATGGTAGCAGGGGGTCATCCTAGTGCAGGCATAGGCAAACCCGGCCCTCCAGATGTTTCGGGACTACAACTCCCATGATCCCTAGCTAGCAGGACCAGGGATGATGGGAGTTGTAGTCCCAAAACATCTGGAGGGCTGCGTTTGCCTATGCCTCTCCCAGTGAAATAATTCTTCCATAGGAGGAGCCTGCAGGATCAGGCCAATGGCCCACCTAGTCCAGCCTCCTGTTCTCACAGTGGCCAGACAGATGCCTGTAGGAAACCTGCAAGCAGGATTCGAACGCAAGAGCAGGACTCTCCCCTCCTGCAGTTTCCAGCTACTGGGATTCAGAAGCATTGCTTCTTCCAACCGTGGAAGCAGAGCAGAGCCATCCTGACTATTAGCCCATCGATAGTCCTCTCCTCTTCCATGAATTTGTCTGATTCTCTTTTAAAGCCATCCAAATTACTGGTCATCACTGCCTCATGTGGGAGGAGGTTCCATAGGTTAACTATGCATAGACTGACTGCCAAGCTGGATGAAGGAAACAAGGGCGAAGATGTGAAGCAGCGGCTCCTCTAGGGATTTTAAGGCACAAACAAGCTCAGGAGCTCTTTTCATAGAGTGGGAAGGGACTACAAGGATCATCTAGTCCAACCCTGTGCAAGGCAGGGCTCTTTTGCCAAACGTGAGACTCGAACGCATGACCCTGAGTTTACGAGTCCCATGCTCTTCCAACCGAGCTGTCCCATGCTCCAGATCAATGTTTTAATGGAGACTGACTTTAATCACGTTACGGATATTGTTGTTGCTGTTGTTGCAAGTCTTTCAGAATGACAGGAGGGCTGCATACTTTGAACAAACACGTTGCAATATTTTAAAGAAATGCACTGACGCCCTCAAGGAGTAGTCAGAGCTCCTCACCCCATGGCTCTCACAAGCCAGCCATGAAGGTGGAAACCATCCCGTTGGCCCAGGCTATCTGAAGGACCACATTCGCGTCATTCCCCCCCAACCTGCCTGGGCTCTAAGCTCTTCAGGGGAGGCCTTGCTCTCGGTCCCGCCCCCCTCACAGGCACACCTGGTGAGGAAGCCGGACAGGGCCTTATTGGTGGTGGCTCCCAGACATTGGAATTCCTTCCCTAGAGAAGCCAGCCAGACTCCCGCCTTGCTGTCCTTCCTCCAGCAGGTGAAGACCATTTTATTCCCACAGGCCTTTGGGAACTGACTGTTTGTTTGTTTTTTAAAAAGAAAAGGGCTTTTTAATAGTGCTGTGCTGTCTTTTAACAGATCCATTTTTATATTGTTTTCATTCTGTATAGTTTAATTACTCTTTCACTGTTATCTTTCGTAAGTTTTTCGATACCGTGCTGTTTCAGTTTGCGTAAGGTGCCTTGAGTCCCTGTCATGAGAAAAGGCAGGGTATAAATATATAAACCTAGACAGCATCTTAAAAAGCAGAGACATCACCTTGCCGACAAAGGTCCGTATAGTTAAAGCTATGGTTTTCCAGTAGTGATGTATGGAAGTGAGAGCTGGACCATAAAGAAGGCTGATTGCTGAAGAATGGATGCTTTTGAATTATGGTGCTGGAGGAGACTCTGGAGAGTCCCATGGACTGCAAGAAGATCAAACCTATCCATTCTGAAGGAAATCAGCCCTGAGTGCTCACTGGAAGGACAGATCGGGAAGCTGAGGCTCCAAGACTTTGGCCACCTCATGAGAAGAGAAGACTTCCTGGAAAAGACCCTGATGTTGGGAAAGATGGAGGGCACAAGGAGAAGGGGATGACAAAGGACGAGATGGCTGGACAGTGTTCTCGAAGCTACCAGCATGAGTTTGACCCAACTGTGGGAGGCAGTGGAAGACAGAAGTGCCTGGCATGCTCTGGTCCAGGGGGTCACGAAGAGTTGGACACAACTAAACGACTAAACAACAACAACAAAATACATATAATATTGATGATAGTTATTGACACTTTCCCCCGAAAACCAATTACTCACTGGTATAGTGCGCTGGTACTTGGATGCTTTTTTTGGCTTTAGCCACCCACAGACTGCGCCTTAACTCTTGGCATCTACTCACACCCCCAGGTTTAGCCTCGTCCTGCCCTCCTCCATCCTCCCAAATGTACCTCTTTTCTGCTGAGCCTGTACTTTGGACTTTAAGCCTTGCCAACCACCACAACGGAGGGGGAAAACCTTTGTGATCCGGCTCTTTAATTGATCTTATTAATCCCCCTTCCTGCACCTATCAGGACGAAAGGGCCGCATAGAAACTGTGTATTGTGCTGGGCACGGCCCCACAAAGCTTCAATTCATCCCAGAGCACATTCCCTGCTTGAATTTGGAATGCGGGTTTTTTAATTGGCCGTATCATAGCTCACTTGGAGACCTGTCAACTGGGCAGGGAGTGCCAGAAATTAGGTCCTTTCTACATTCCTACTGTTCCTCACTCAGGGACTAAACAGATTTGTTGGGAAGTAAGCCCCTTTGATTTTAATGGAACTTATTTCCAAGTAAGCCTGCTCACCTGCCACCCACTACGACCCTTGGCGGCTGCCAGTGGATAATAATAATAATAATAATAATAATAATAATAATAATAATTTATTAATTATACCCTGCCCCGTCTGGCTGAGTTTTCCAAGCCACTCTGGGCGGCTCCCAATCGCGTGTTAAAAACAATACAGCATTAAATATTAAAAACCTCCCTAAACAGGGCTGCCTTCAGATGTCTTTTAAAGATAGGATAGCTGCTTATTTCCTTCACATCTGAAGGGAGGGCGTTAGGGCGGGCGCCACTACCGAGAAGGCCCTCTGTCTGGTTCCCTGTAACCTCACTTCTTGCAATGAGGGAACCGCCAGAAGGCCCTCGGCGCTGGATCTCAGTGTCCAGGCTGAACGGATAGAAGTTATGATGGCTCAGTGGAACTTCCATAGCCAGGGGCAATCTATCTTTGGACCCCAGGCACTGCGGACAAAGGAAAGGAGCAATTCATGCCCGGCTTTGCAGAGGCAGCTGGCTTGCTGTGGAAGGGAAATGCTTGACCATTTGGAACCCTCTGCTGGGCTCTCTTGACCAAAGAGCTTTTTAACCGATAATGTAACTACAGTTGACAATAATTGTTCTGCCTGGCTTTTGGCCTGGAATCAACTTGATCCCCTCCCCCTCTTTCCTTTCTCCTTCTGTGATGGAACTCCTATTTGGGGACTTCCCTGGCTTTTTTCTGGCCCATGTAGGACCAGTCTGGATAGTTGGCCTTGGTGAAGATTTAACGTTTTCATCCCCAAAAAGTTTTTGATTTGAGTTTCTACTGAAATGAGGCTGCATTTTAATGTATTTTAATCTTGTTTTTTAAGTTGCATTTCAATCAATTGTTTTTATATTTGGTGTTGGCTGCCCTGAGCCCGGTCTTGGCTATGGAGGGCGGGATATAAATAAAACAACTTCTTCTTCTTCTTCTTCTTCTTCTTCTTCTTCTTCTTCTTCATGACCACCTGGACATGAATGCCCCTTTCTTGGGCAAGGCGGTGGAGAGAGTGGCAGACAGAGCAGTGGCAGGAGTTTCTGGAGGATAGGGGCCATCTGGGTATATTTCGAAGTGGGTTCAGGCAGGGTTTGGGGACTGAGCCAGCCGTGGTCACCCTGATGGTTGACCTCCATCATGAAGAAAGGTGGAGAAGGTGTCAGAGGAGGGCAGTCAAGATGATCAAGAGACCGGAAGTTGAGGGAGTTGGGTACCAATGTGTTCTTTCTGGAAGTGGGTGAAGAGGCGCACCTCTTCCATGAGGCTTATGGATAAGGGGACCAGAGACTCAAATAATTTGTTCCTTGTTAGTTAATCCTGAGCAATGACAAACCTAGACAGCATCTTAAAAAGCAGAGACATCACCTTGCCAACAAAGGTCTATATAGTTAAAGCTCTGGTTTTCCCAGTAGCGATGTATGGAATTGAGAGCTGGACCATAAAGAAGGCTGATCACCGAAGAATGGATGCTTTTGAATTCTGGTGCTGGAGGAGACTCTTGAGAGTCCCATGGACTGCGAGAAGATCCAACCTCTCCATTCTGAAGGAAATCAGCCCTGAGTGCTCACTGGAAGGACAGATCCGGCAGCTGAAGCTCCAATACTTTGGCCACCTCATGAGAAGAGAAGACTCCCTGGAAAAGACCCTGATGCTGGGAAAGATGGAGGGCACAAGGAAAAGGGGACGACAGAGGATGAGATGGTGGGACAGTGTTCTCGAAGCAACCAGCATGAGTTTGACCAAACTGTGGGAGGCAGTGGAAGACAGAAGTGCCTGGCATGCTCTGGTCCAGGGGTCACGAAGAGTCGGACACGACTAAATGACTAAACAACAACAGTTAAGCCTGGGTTGGGGTGGGAGGGGAGCTATGTCTGAATTAGAAAACAAAAAGATTGACATGCAAGCGAGGTAACAGGACAAACAAGAACCCAGATCTTCCAGTGGAAGAAATTTTGAGAGAAGTCTAGCATTGGATAGAGAAATCCCAAATTTGAATTAAAGTCAGAAAAACAAGCAACTGGGAGGACCTCTGTTATTTTTATCAGACTGCTGTGATTGCTATTCTTGTTAGATGTGATTTTTTGCAGTTGCATTTTTTGTACTTGTAAGCGTTTAGAATTGCTTTCAATGTTGTATTTTCGATTGCTCGGGTGAAGAGTGGGTAATTAATAAACTAAAAACTAAAAACAATGCACTGCTTATTATGGAATATATTTATATAACAGTTTGAATTCTCCTGTGTTTTATGGATGTCATGTGATTATATGGATATTATGCTATTTATTAATGTATTTCTGGTCCACGCTTCATTCCAAGTGATCCCAGGGTGAGGCACAGCAACTCAGCTTAAATTTAGTTTAATGCAGCTGCTTTAAGTTAAATTGAATACACCTGCTTGTATGGTACGTTTCTCTTATTATGTTACTATGTCGTAAACTGCCCTGCGGCATTTCGGTGAAGGGATGTGAATTAATTAATTAAGTAATTATAAAGTAATAAATCAGGACTCTGCATGTGCTCACTTACTTGTTTACACAGTGTCATTGTTAAACTATGGAAACTGCTCCCATGAGAGATAAAGATGGGTTAATTATATTGATTTTGATTTCTCTCAGTTTCTTCCCCAGTTCTACGTTCGGCTCTTCACATAGCTCACTCGGTAGAGCAGAAGTCTCTTAATCTCAGGGTTGGGAGTTTGAGCCCCACCTTGGGCCAGGGGGTTGGACTAGATGACCCTCAGTGTCCCTTCTGACTCTACCAAGCTGTGATTTTTTGGTTTCCACATTCGTCCGCGAATTTTTGTTTTAACAAATCCTCATGAAAATTCAGCAGCACTTCGGTGCAAATTTCTCCTAACGTACACGTCTTTGCATAAAATCACCCCAATATGCACATTTCTGCAGCGCAATTGACCCTAAAATAATGCACCTCTGCATGTTATTTCTGGAAATATGTGTTGATATGCACACTTTACCATTGCAGAGACATTATGGTACATGTTGCTTGGCTGAAGAAATGAACTGCAAAAAACTGGAGAGGTGAGAATTTTGAAGGATGGCTCTGCTTCGATTCACACATTGCTTAAATAGCTTTAAACAGCAAGCTAATGAAAACATCCTCTGTGAATAAATATACAATAACATTAAGCAGTCTATGGATAAATCATAATAAAGCTTAAGAATAAGATGGCAAAAATAGTGCATCTCCAGTGGACTCCAGCAACCACCCCATATAATTAAAGGTTTCCATTTGCCTGCTGTTTATGACAAATTATTTATTTATTAGCCATTTAATGACATTTATGTGCCACTTGATTGTAGGAAACCTCAAAGCGGTTTGCAAAGAAGAATTTAAAATTTCTTATGTCTTGTAACCATTTGCGAATCATATGCAAGCTTTTCAAACTGCTTTGAGCATGGAAAAGCAACATACAAATTGATGGTGGTGATGATGATAAATATGCAACACCCCCCCCCATTTTTTACCCCCCCCCCAATAATTAAGCTTTATCAAATAGTCCATTGGCCCAATAAAATGCAACTTTTCCTTCCCTTGATGAGGCATGGCTCTCTTTGGTCACTAGAGGTCACTCTTTCAAACCAATGTGTTTTTTTTGCCTTCTTAAAATACAGGTAAAGCCCAGATTGTGTCCAACAGACCTGACTGAGATCATTACAGAAACCAGGCTTCCTTTTTTGGTGGGGAGGGGGGACAAGGGGGCCAGATTCCCACTTTATCCCAGTGGAAAATTCTTCTGCTCTTAGAGTTGCCCCTGTAGCTATACACCCCAGAGCTTAGCACTTGTAGGGTTTTAACCGATGGGTGTGTGTGTGTGTTTTCTGCAACATGCCATGGATGCATTTGTGTGTGTGTGTGTGGGGTAATACTGCACCATCCACACGCAATTCCGCTTTGTTAGTTGTGTTGCGAGGCTTTCCTGGTGTTATGACATTATTGCCCTCCGGAGGGGAAACCTGTGATCCATAGCTGGACAAAAATTAAATCAGAACATTTGCGGTTTAAAAGAATGCAGGATTTCAGTAGTAACTTAGGGGCCACGCAGGGCAGGATTTAGGTTTGATGAGGATGGGGCCCTTTCTATGTCCAGCTGTCCTTTCTCAACAACAAATTGTCGCTGGTTTTTGTTGTTGAATATATGCTATATGGGACGCAGGTGGCGCTGTGGGGACACGGGTGGCGCTGTGGGTTAAACCACAGAGCCTAGGACTTGCCGATCAGAAGGTCGGCAGTTCAAATCCCCACGACGGGGTGAGCTCCCATTGCTCGGCCGCTGCTCCTGCCAACCTAGCAGTTTGAAAGCACGTCAAAGTGCAAGTAGATAAATAGGTACCACTCCGAGGGAGCCGGCGTTCGTCCACAGACAGCTTTCCGGGTCATGTGGCCAGCATGACTAAACTGCTTCTGGCGCAACAGGATACCGTGACGGAAACCAGAGCGCACGGAAATGCCATTTACCTTCCTGCCACAGTGGTAACTATTTATCTACTTGCACTGGCATGTTTTCAAACTGCTAGGTTGGCAGGAGCTGGGACCAAGCAATGGGAGCTCACCATGTAGCGGGGATTCGAATCACCGACCTTCCGATTGGCAAGCCCAAAAGGCTCAGTGGTTTAGACCACAGCGCCACCTGCATCCCTAACATATCCATATATTTATGGCATTTCAAATGGCATTTGAAAGACAATGGTCTCGTACCTTAACATTGTCCAGGACAACCAGTGGTCCATTCACGCCACTCACGGTCCAGTAGGCTGTGGAGAGAAAGTGGAGGAAGAGAGAATTATGGGGACGTGCAGAGAGGAAGGAAAACATGCATAGATTGGGGGGCGAATAAAAAAAGTAGCTGTGTCAGGCAGCGGTGGAGCAAGCCAATCGGGCACCTGGGGTGGCGCACCTGCTCTGAGCCAGCTGTGGGTGGGGCCAGTGTGGGAATATTCAGGAATGCAGGAGAGGATATATTGTCTGATTATAGCCTTTCCAACTTGTGTTAACAAGTTCCACAATTTAGCAGAGTAACATTCCCCCTTTTAAACTTGCAGCAGATGCATTTGCTCAGGCTCGCTAAAGCCTCTATAATAACTGTATTCTGGTATTTTCCCCTTATTCCCTCATAAAAGATATGACACGACACAGTTTTCTATAAAAGTTTTAAAAGGTTTACTCACACATCATTCTGTTCACAATAAGATCCCAGAAGGCAGACTTAGTTTAGAAAAGTAACATACACTTGGAAACTATCACATAAGAAGACAGTGCCTTTGTCCTCTCTTGGCTGGAAGCAAGAGAGCATCTTTGTCTAAGCAGATGTTGCTTCTTTGATGCATGTAGTCAAAAGGAGAGAGATGGCTGCCCTGCCCTGTGCTTTTGTCGTTACCTGCACAGGTGAGGCCACGCCCACCTCTAGTCACATGCAGAGGAAGTCTGTACCAGCCCAGAAGGAAACAGGAAGTTTACCTGCTAGCTAAACAAACATTCCTCCCCATGTGTAAACATGTTCCTTCTAGGAATGTTGTACTTGACTGCTCTTGTGTTTCACATCCCACAGCCAGCTGGGGCAGAACGCACCGTGGGGCCTCTGAGGAATCTGCCTGCCTCCTCCCACTCAGCCACCCTACAGCTGGGGGGGAGGTGGTGGGTGAACTGTTTGGGGCAGTGCGGAGCCTGCAGGCGCCCAAGCCACAGTGTCACTCCCAGGAGAGATGTGTGGCTCGGGTGTGCTGCTGGCCCCACGGTGAGTGCCACCCAGCATTTTCTCATCCCCCTCAGTGGTGACACCTGTGGCGACCTGCCCCCACCACACCCCCTTCCTCCGCCCCTGGTGTCAGACACCATAAATTTCAGGAGGACTAGAATAAGGAGGCAATGACAAACCTAGACAGCATCTTAAAAAGCAGAGACATCACCTTGCCAAGAAAGGTTCGTATAGTTAAAGCTATGGTTTTCCCAGTAGTGATGTATGGAAGTGAGAGCTGGACCATCAAGAAGGCTGATCGCCAAAGAATGGATGCTTTTGAATTCTGATGCTGGAGGAGACTCTTGAGAGTCCCATGGACTGCAAGAAGATCAAACGTCTCCATTCTGAAGGAAATCAGCCCTGAGTGCTCACTGGAAGGACAGATCGGGAAGCTGAGGCTCCAAGACTTTGGCCAGCTCATGAGAAGAGAAGACTTCCTGGAAAAGACCCTGATGTTGGGAACGATGGAGGGCACAAGGAGAAGGGGACGACAGAGGACGAGATGGTGGGACAGTGTTCTCGAAGCTACAAACATGAGTCTGACCAAACTGCGGGAGGCAGTGGAAGACAGGAGTGCCTGGTGTGCTCTGGTCCATGGGGTCACGAAGAGTCAGACATGACTAAAAGACTAAATAACAACTAAACAACAGAATAAGGAGGCATTATATGAGAATAAAAAGAAGTAAGCATTGAGCACTATGGAAGTCCAGCTCCAAGGGCCTTCTGGCGGTTCCCTCCCTGAGAGAAGTGAGGTTACAGGGAACCAGGCAGAGGGCCTTCTTGGTAGTGGCGCCCGCCCTGTGGAACATCCTCCCATCAGATATCAAGGAAATAAACAACTATCTGACTTTTAGAAGACATGTTTTAATGTACTTTTAATCTTTTTGTTGGAAGCCGCTCAGAGTGGCTGTTATTATAGCCCTGTTTAGGGAAGCTTTTAATGTTTGAAGTTTTATTCTGTTTAATATTCTGTTGGGAGCTGCCCAGATGGGTGGGGTATAAATATTATTATTATTATTATTATTATTATTATTATTATTATAGCAGCACTGTATAGGTAAGTTCAGAGGACAGAGGAGCTTTGCATTTTGCATGAATGTACATGGCACTTTCTGGGAAATGAGTTGAAGAAAAATGATTAAGATGACTTTTACGAAAAGAAACAGAAGCTTTTCTTTTGGGTATAATCCTTGGAGAAGTACTCAGCGAGCAGAAAAAAATAATTCACGGCTGCTCAAAGGATTTACGCCCAAAGATGGAAGGAAGGAACAAAGGAAGATTGGCAACTAAAATCCATGGAGTACGAAGAAATGGCGAGACTCACCGAAAGAATAAGAAATCAAGCAGAGAGGCTTTTAAAAATTGAATGGGGGAAATGTATTGATTATTTGAAGTTACATGGTAAACAAATCCAAATATTAGCGCTTCTGATATAAACACCTGCAGTATGAGATACTTAAGGGGAAGATACGGGGGAATTGGCTAATAGATTTGAATTCGATACGCAGGAATAAAAAAATAGGAAACGAATAACTACAGAAAGGAGGGGAGGGAAGACGAGGGGAAGGTAAATTAGATTTGTAAAGGTTTTGCTTTTATTGTTTAACATTTTTGTAAAAAGTGAAAATGAACAATTAAAATTTAAAAAGCAATTTATATCTATAGATAACAACAAAAATGCTTTGCTTATGCAAAGTTTGTGTTTCCTTGGAATGAGGGAAAGTGCAGACTGCGGTTTCTGTAAGATATATGATACACACACACACACACACACACACACACACACACACATTTTTAAATTAATTTTTCTATTTTACAATTTAAAATACTCATTTTTACATCCTTAAAATATCAATGACTTCCCTTCTTCTCTTTCCATGGGTCATTTTGCATATCACAAACCTCTGCATATTTTACAAAAACCAAACCATTCATTGTTCCTTTATTGCATGCATCAAAACTTATTGACGCTGTTGAATTGATCTTAATGCTGCCAGCGTTTTCAAGTGTACTCAATTCCCCCCATATATTCAATAAACGTTTTGCGATCTTCTCTAAACACATGTGCTTCTTGTTCTCTTGTTCTATATGTTAAGTCTGCAAGCTGCACATATGTGCAGCTGTATGATATATGATTTATTCACACACACACACACACACACACACACACACCCTGGGGGGTTCACAGCACTGACACCCCAAAAGGGTTTTGCTTCTCCCGCCGCAATGGCCTTGGATGTGAGCAGAAATCAGGCATGTCTCTCCCTCACAGCCTCCAGCCTGCTTCTTCCTCCAGCCTCAAGATCAGGGGTCCCCAACCTGCGGCCCGTGGGCCAGAAGTGGCCCATGGAGGCTGTTTAACCGGCCCCCGAGCCGCCCCTGAACAGAGCCACCTGCTTGGCGAGTCCCTGCGCGCTGCACTAAACCGGCGCAGCATGGGGACTCTCTTCCGTGGCTCCGGAAATCACTTCTGCACATGCCCAGACGCCAGAAATCACTTCTGCGCATGCCCAGGTGGCAGAAATCACTTCTGCACATGCCCAGACGCCAGAAATCACTTCTGCACATGTCCAGACGCCAGAAATCACTTCTGCACATGCCCAGATACCAGAAATCACTTCTGCACATGCCCAGACGCCAGAAATCACTTCTGCACATGTCCAGACGCCAGAAATCACTTCTGCACATGCCCAGATGCCAGAAATCACTTCTGCACATGCCCAGACGCCAGAAATCACTTCTGCACATGCCCAGACGCCAGAAATCACTTCTGCACATGTCCAGATGCCAGAAATCACTTCTGTGCATGCCCAGATGCCAGAAATCGCATCTGCACATGCCCAGACGCCAGAAATCACTTCTGCACATGCCCAGACGCCAGAAATCACTTCTGCACATGCCCAGATGCCAGAAATCACTTCTGCACATGCCCAGATACCAGAAATCACTTCTGCACATGCCCAGATGCCAGAAATCGCTTTTGCGCATGCCCAGACACTGGTAATCGCTTTTGTGCATGCTCAGATGATAGAAATTGCTTTTGCGCATGCCCAGACGCCGGAAATCGCTTCTGCTCATGCCCAGACACCAGAAATCACATTTGCGCATGCCCAGACACTGGTAATCGCTTTTGTGCATGCCCAGATCATAGAATTCGCTTTTGCACATGCCCAGACGCTGGAAATCGCTTCTGCGCATGCCCAGACACCAGAAATCACATTTGCGCATGCGTGATTTTTGGCGTCTGGGCATGCGCAGAAGCTATTTCCGGCGTCGCGCTGCGCTGGTCCGGCCCACGTTGGATCTCCGCAGGCGTGATCCGGCACATGCTCGGCAAGTCTTGCTGACTCCTGTTCTAGATGACACACAGGCACAACCGCTGCCAGCAAACCCGTTTTGACCGAGCTTTGCCCGCCTTCCAGTTCCCGGAAGGAAACCCCCACAAAAAAAGACAAGATCTCTTGCTTATTTATTGACGCCGTTTGCTTCCTATCCGGTGACTTTCCAAGCTCAACCACGATGGGGCTCTTGCAACCGAAGGCTGCGCCTCTCGATTTGCCGCAGCAGAAGGCGCACGGTGACATTTTGAAGCGTGCGCAGCTAATCTCTCACCCAGTCACTCCACTGTCACTGCAAATGATGTCACCAGAATCCTCAGTGCAGAGAGGAATTTGTGTGTGTTGGGGGGTGGGACATTAAAGAGTGCTAATCCCACGTTAATTACACATTAGGCAATTTGGCCAATAGCAGGGGTTGCGGGGGGCATCTGTGGCAGTGGAATGTGGACGCAGGATGGGGCACATGTGGATGTGGCCCTTTAAGGAGAGGGCCGGTGCTGAGGATGTTTATTTACAGTCATACCTTGGGTTGAAGTAGCTTCTGGATAAGTATTTTCGGGTTGCGTGCTGCGGTGACCCGGAAGTAAGTAACGGAGCGCATTGCTTCCGGGTTTTGCCGCTCGTGCATGTGCAGACGGTCAAAATCACATTCACCGCAGCAGTGGTGAATCGCGACCCATGCACGTGCAGATACGCGGACGCGGGTTGCGTTCGCTTCTGGATGCAAACGGAGCTCTGGAATGGATCCCGTTCGCATCCAGAGGTACCACTGTATTACCCTTATTTTGTCTATTAAATTTGTTAGTCGCTTTGGTTCGATGTTTCACTGTGTTTTTAATTCATCGGGGCAACCCAGTCAGGTTGGCGGCATATAAATAATAACTTAATATTATTATTATTATTATTACCCAAGGCAACCCAATGTGACTTACAAACAAGCAACCCAAGCCAAACAAAACAAAACAAACTGGTTATAGATTGATAGCAAGATAGATAGATTGATAGATAGATTCTATTAATGCTTAATTGGTTTCTAATGTTGACTTCCCTGCTGCCTCTCTGCTTTTAGTTGTTTCTGTTTTAGCAGTAAGCCCTCCCTGCCTTGAGGGGACGGGGGAAATGGGATATCTATCTATCTATCTATCTATCTATCTATCTATCTATCTATCTAATCTATCATCTCTCTATATCTATCTATATCTCTCTCTATCATCTATCTATCTACACACACACACACACACACACACACACGCTATACTGCCCTATACCTGAAGGTCTCAGGGTGGTTCACATAAAATATAAAATACAGTGGTACTTCAGGTTACAGATGCTTCAGGTTACAGACGCTTCAGGTTACAGACTCCGCTAACCCAGAAATAGTACCTCAGGTTAAGAACTTTGCTTCTGGATGAGAACAGAAATCGTGCGGCGGCGGCAGCAGGAGGCCCCATTAGCTAAAGTGGTGCTTCAGGTTAAGAACAGTTTCAGGTTAAGAACGGACCTCCAGAACGAATTAAGTTCTTAACCCGAGGTACCACTGTACACAAAATCAAACAACACCCCCCCCCCAATAGCACCCCCCCCAACAAAAAAGAGCCAGCATTTGAAAAAGGGTATAGGATGTAGATAAAGTCAAGCAAGGTAAAGGCCTGGTTAAAAAGGAACGTTTTTGCCTGGTGCCTAAAGGTGTATAGTGAAGGCGCCCAGCGAACTTTCCTGGGGAGAGCATTCCAGAAATAGAAATAGAGATAATAATCCAGAGAGGCCATGCTCTCTGTTTATTTATGGGAGGGAGAGAAGCAAAGCCCTTCCTCCAAAAGCGCCAGGGAACATGTGCCACCCCAAAAGTGCATGTGGGATCCTCCCGGTCCCTCCGTCCTCCTGGCCTCTGGCCTCCTCTCCGCGGGGCAGTCTAGGCTCCAGCGCGCAGATGTGTGAGCTCAAGGAACCTGGCCTGGCCGAGCCCCACTGAGCAGGTTACGACCTTTACAGAAATGGTGGCTGTACGTGTCAGGCCTAATGGGGCTGAGGCTGCGAGACGCGGGCGGACGGAAGGGGAGGGGGAAGCTGCCCGAGAAAATGCGCCTCCCCGGAAAGTCCTCGGAGGCCAGAGGAATTTCTGGGACACAGGGCTATTATCGTTATCATTATCGTTATCATCATTAACCCCTGAGATGAAAGACGGGATGGATCCACCCAACTCTTTCCCCCCATTTCTATCTGGCACAAGAACAGCCCTCCATTTGGAGAGCACCTCTTGGAGACCTTGGCAATCTCTTTGGGTTTTAGCAGCCCTGAGCAATTTAGGAGCGTCTGCAAAATTTGCCACTTCCCTGCTCACACCCAACTCAGTGGAACGGTCTCCCTTGGGGTGGGGTGGGGGGTGGATTCTCCTTCCTTGAAGGTTTTAAAGACGAGGTTGGATGGCCACCTGATGCCTGAGTTGAGATTCCTGCATTCTTCTTCTTCTTTGGCGATCCCTCATAGCCGAGTAAGATTGTCTTCCATAAACACGGTTTTAACAATGAGTCCGTATGTGACTGTGGAGGGCAATTCTGGACCCACACGTCCTTCCACAGTGGGGACATTGGTTTCCAGGCGGGAGTTGATCATGGTGTGGATTTGCCAAGTGTGCCTTCCTCTTAGCACGTTTCTCCCTTGTGTCCTGAGTTTGAGCGTCTTCAAAGACCTTCTTGGTGGTGGCACCTGCCCTGTGGAACACTCTCCCATCAGATGTCAAGGAGATGGGGTTGCCATACGTCTGGGAAAACCCAGACATGTCCTCTTTTGTGGGGGGGCCCAACTTGCCATTCTGGGCAGATTTTTACATTTTAAAGGAAATGTCAAGGTTTTGGGGGGGCGGGTTGGGCTTGGGATGCTCTGCACGCTGCAGCTACTGCCAGCCTAAGCTGGGGGAAAGGCACACCTCTTTCCCTGTCTCAGGCAGGCAGCAGCCCAGACTGCCCTCTTTTTTGCTCTTCAAGGTAGGGCAACCCTAAAAATAACTATACAACTTTTAGAAGACATCTGAAGGCAGCCCTGTACAGGCAAGTTTTTAATATAATGATGTTTTATTGTGTTCTTGTATCTGCTCGAAGCCGTCCAGAATGGCTGGGGAAACCCAGGCTGATGGGTGGGGTACAAATAATAAAATTGTTGTTGTTGTTGTTGTTATGCTGTTTTAGACACTGGCTGAACGTTTTCCTGTTCCAGGAAGCCTATCCAGACAGGATGATTTAATTAAAGCTTCTTTTAAACGCTTTACTGATATTTTTAACAATGCAAATTTTGTTTTTTGTTTTTTAAAAAATTGGTTTGTGCATTTCAGTCATGTTTTATATATAATTGAATATTTGTATATAATTGAATCTCCTTGTTGTCTTTCCACCAGCAGGAGAAGACAATTTCCTTTGGGAACTGACAGCGATTTAAAGGAAAAGGTTGATCTACAGATGAAGGGCAGTATACAAATTTAATTAATTACATTAATGCTATTCATATTAATAATAATAATAATAGTGCTGTGCTGTTTTTATTATCTGTATTTTAATAGATTTGGTTTTTTAAAATCTTGCTTTACCTATTAGAATTTAATTATTTTTTTAATTACTACCTTCTATAAGTTTTTAAGGACGCGGGTGGCGCTGTGGGTAAAACCTCAGCGCCTAGGACTTGCCAATCGCATGGTCGGCGGTTCGAATCCCCGTGGCGGGGTGCGCTCCCGTCGTTTGGTCCCAGCGCCTGCCAACCTAGCAGTTTGAAAGCACCCCCGGGTGCAAGTAGATAAATAGGGACCGCTTACCAGCGGGAAGGTAAACGGCGTTCCGTGTGCTGCGCTGGCTCGCCAGATGCAGCTTGTCATGCTGGCCACATGACCCGGAAGTGTCTGCGGACTGTGCTGGCTCCCGGCCTATAGAGTGAGATGAGCGCACAACCCTAGAGTCTGGCAAGACTGGCCCCTACGGGCAGGGTTACCTTTACTTTTACCTTTATAAGTTTTTAAACTTCTTGCATTTTATTTTATTTAGCTGTTTTTAACTTGCGTAAGCCGCCTTGAGTCTGGGGAAAAGGCAGGCTATAAATAAATATAATAATGATATGAATGACAGGCAGCTTGGAGGATATTATTTTCCCTTCCTCTCTTTGAAGCAAGCGGTGTATAAGTGTTGGCCAAATAAACCCAAAGCAGATAAGCCGTAGCAATGGGACTTCACGGCCCAATTCAAATCCCCGCCCAGCAAATGTGCAGAGGGAGAACCACTCTCTCTGTGGGAGACGAAGTCGCGAGATGGAACTGCCCACCGGGCTGGATTTTGCAGAAGGAAGATTTTCCATTTTTCATTTTAAAGCAGGAAAATGAGGCGGGGAGAATGCCCACCCCCCCACAGCCCCACCGGAAAGCACCAATTCAGATCATTAAGGGCTTGAGCCGCTGCAAAAAAGAAAAAGAGGATTTGAGGCTTCCTGGGGGCTGCAGAGTGGGTGGGCCGTGGGCTTCCTTGGCAGAGGTGAAGGGAGTCAGGGGGAGAGGGGAAAAGGTGTCTCCAAAGCTGTTGGGCCCAATTGTGGATGCCATAGAAAAAAATTAAAAAAGGAAAATGTGTGTGTGTGCGCAGGGTGTTTTTTCTCCCCCCCCCCCCGGAGGCTGCCCTCTGCCCGCCCTCCTCCTCCCTCAAATTCACAGCTCCCATCTTTGACAATCTGAATTAACCCTGACCATTGTGTCCGATTAACTCCCATGGGGCGGGAGGGAGAGGCGAGGGGGGCAGAGCAGGGAGCAAAGGAAATTGACCGTGCTGACAAAGGGGGCAACCAGCCCAATGACACCAAGTCGCTAATTGCTTCCACTCCGCCGGCCCCCCCTCTCCTTCCCCGGCATCTGTTGGGTCGGTCCCCCCCTTCTCAAACAAGCCTAAGGGGTCCTCTGCAAAGTTCAGCTTCCCTCTAGGCCAGAGAACATCTCCTTGTGCTTTCAGCAGTGGCACCCAGACTCTTTGTCCCCTTTTTTTTCTGGAGAGGGCCACATAATTCAGGCCGCTTGGCGATTTTAACATGCTGTTACATGATTCGTTGCCTGGTTTTTGAACCAACTGTATATCATCTCCCTGCTTATTTAACTTATATGCAGAATTCATCATGCGAAAGGCTGGGCTGGATGAATCCCAAGCCGGAATTAAGATTGCCAGGAGAAATATCAACAACCTCAGATATGCAGATGACACAACCTTGATGGCAGAAAGTGAGGAGGAATTAAAGAACCTTTTAATGAGGGTGAAAGAGGAGAGCGCAAAATATTGTCTGAAGCTCAACATCAAAAAAACGAAGATCATGGTCACTGGTCCCATCACCTCCTGGCAAATAGAAGGGGAAGAAATGGAGGCAGTGAGAGATTTTACTTTCTTGGGCTCCATGATCACTGCAGGTGGTGACAGCAGCCACGAAATTAAAAGATGCCTGCTTCTTGGGAGAAAAGCAATGACAAACCTAGACAGCATCTTAAAAAAGATGCAAGAAGATCAAACGTATCCATTCTGAAGGAAATCAGCCCTGAGTGCTCACTGGAAGGACAGATCCTGAAGCTGAGGCTCCAAGACTTTGGCCACCTCATGAGAAGAGAAGACTCCCTGGAAAAGACCCTGATGTTGGGAAAGATGGAGGGCACAAGGAGAAGGGGACAGCAGAAGACGAGATGGTGGGACAGTGTTCTCGAAGCTACCAGCATGAGTTTGACCAAACTGCAGGAGGCAGTGGAAGACAGGAGGGCCTGGCGTGCTCTGGTCCATGGGGTCATGAAGAGTTGGACATGACTAAACGACTAAACGACTAAACGACTAAACGACTAAACGACTAAACGACTAAACAACAACAACGACATCAGTCAACTTTAAATAATTCTGCTTATCCCCAAAACTTCCGTGCAGGTGATCTTTGGGTGCTCTCGAACCTATCACTCCTCGTGAAACAAAGGAGTGCTAAAATGGCTTCAGTTAATCAACTGAAATTTTGAGCTGATTAAGGAGCTGGAAATAAAGGTTGACTTTGGTGGCCTGGATTGCAAACCAGGTCACAAAACCGTACTGAATTTCTGAATTCTGGATCTCTCGCCTTCTTTTTTTTTTGCAGTGAAGTATTTACGGGCAGTAAAAGCGCAAGACATTTTGTGGTAGATCAATGCACTTTCTGAATCAGTGGAGAAGTTCAGTTCTTAAAGGAGAACCAACCAAATTTGCTCTTCCAGAAACCAAATTTGCTCTTCCAGAAACCTGAAATTCAGCCATCCTGCAAAATTCGCGCTTTCTTGAATTTTGCAATGCAATTCCCTGTCTGACTAATAATAATAATATTAATAATAATAAATTTTATTTATATCCCGCCCTCCCCAGCTGAAGCTGGGCTCAGGGCGGCTAACAACAATAAAACAGTACAAAAGTACAGCACAAACAACACTCTAAAATCATTCATTTTCAAATTAATGTCTATAATGTCTATAATGCACCGTAGACAAAAATGCAGCTATTAGTGTGCATATAACTGCTTATATTGGTAAAGGAGGGGAAACAGCCTTGCAAAAATGTCTACACTGTGCAAGACTGTGTACAAAAATGTTTGTGCGTGAGAAAATTCATAGTGTTGATCTGCGTCAGGGATGATTGAATTCATAAACTGATGTGAAAGTGTGGAGAGCCGAATTGATGATTGTGAAAAAAATTAAGGCAACCAGAATGGACAGGTTTGTCCTTCTGTACTTTGGGCATCCCACAAAAATGGCTGTTCTGCGCTTCTTTCCCGACTGCTCTCCTTTAGTCGCTACCATATTGGAACACCCTTGTCTACCGAGAGCAAAACAAGCACCGTCGTCTCTCCTGCCCAAAGTTGGAGGGGATGTTTTCTGTCAACGCTGCTTCTTGAGAATGATACAAATGCACTTAAGCACCATGGATTTCAAGGGGGCTTAAGGACACTTCATCTGCTCGGAACCCGAGATGCTTATGCTGAACGGCCTTGCAGCCTTCGCCATGAATTAGCTGGTATTCAGCCTGCGGAGGTTTCATTTACTCAGAGGCAGGAGGACAGGAGTGTCTCTAGGAGGGTCTTGGCCACCTCTTTGCGTGGTTCTTATTTAGGCTTGCCATGTGTCTGGAATTTCCCAGACATTGCAGGGATTTGGCCGTTGGAAACAGTGTCCGGAAATCACTTAAATGTTTGGAGAAATCCGGACGTATGGAAACCCACGTCAGAAAGGTCGGTTTTGGTGAATTTCCTTAAAATTTGCTCAAAAACATTTTCTTTCTCTTTTTCGGGGGGGGGGGGGATGGGGAGATTTTGCAAGCAAAACTCAACAACTTTGGCCCAAAAAGAAAAGTTCAACATCTTTTGTGTCTGGACTTTCACTTTTTGAAATATGGCAACCCTACGACTTATTTCTTGGAGCAAGGCTGTTCAGGGGCCTCTCTGTTTCGAAGAGGCAAGATGCTATAAATTTGTGAAATTACGCATGGCATAGAAGGAGAATGGCAAGAGAAAAGTGTTTCTATTCCTGTCCTAATGCTAGAACTTGTGGACATTCAATGAAGCTGAAGGTTGGAAGATTTAGGACAGATAAAGGAAAGGATTTATTATTCACACAGAGTTGCATTCAACTATGGAACTCCCTGCCACTGAGTGCAGTGACCTAGATGGCTTGAAAAGAGGATTAGACAAATTTATAGCATCAGGTTGGCCACTGCAAGAACAGGATGCTGGGCTAAGTATGGGCCATTGACTGGATCCAGCCTTCTGGTGTTCTTAAAGGGCCCTGCAGCCCAGGAACAGTTTTACTACCTGATCCTGGCACTATTCTGTCCTGATGAAACTTAGAAACTTAAGGGCCTGTATTCAGTTATGGCTGCAAGAATACTGATAGCCAGAAGTTGGAAATGTGAAACAACACCTACAATCATAGATTGGCAATCACTCATGCTAGAGTACTTTCAATTAGCAAAGCTGACCGGAAAAGTCAGAGGAGCCCCAAATCAAAAAATATTCAGAGAATGGAGACTATTCAAAGAATATATAAGATTATATTGTAAAAATGACATTATCCTAGCAGAACTGAATGATACTTGTATATAATAAACAAATGGAATAAATATACTAGATAAATATACAGGAAAAGTTATAAAACAAACCGTGCGATAAAATTAAGACAATAGAAAAAGTACAACGAGAATGATTGGAAGTTTCTTTCAGAAGACTTCATTAGAAAAGACAGGATGTTATAACCAATATTCATTTCTTATTGTTAACTTTTCTTTGCATTTTATTTTTATTTTATTTATCTTTTTTCTTAATAGATTTTTTGTGCTTAATTTTGATGTAACTATTTGTAATATATATGTAAGATGATATTTTAAATCAATAGAGACAAATTTAAAAAAGGAAAAAAAGAAAAAAGAAACTTAAGGGCTTGCTGAGGCAACCCAACCAGATGGATGGGCTGTTATTATTATTATTATTATTATTATTATTATTATTATTATTAGCCCATGCATTTAAGTTTAGTCGTAACTGACATATGGAAGAAGTTACTTATTGATTATTGCGTGCTCTCTCTCTCTCTCTCTCTCTCTCTGTGTGTGTGTGTACATACACACAATTACTTTGGGAAAGCATTATAAAACTGTGTTGAACAAATAAATAAACGAGTTGCATCAAGAGCTACTCTCCATCCAGCCCAGAATTGAGGCCTGCGTGAGGATCCACAGGAGTTTAACTCTTCTTCCAGCTGTATCCCTGAATACACCCTTGGGTTTCCTCCTATATGTATGAATTGCATCTCTTCCAGTGGGCTTGGGGGCAGAATCCTGCCCCCTCTGGCACTGGGGTGCATGTTGCTGCCTTCAATGAGAAGACCTATTGGGGAGAAACCCAAAAGGGTCCTTGCTGCCTGGTGACTATTTGATCGCCCGCATGGTATTTTCACGTTGTTTCTGCATCTTTATCCTTGAGGTCTGACGCTTTGGGGATTTCCTGTTGCTTTGAGTGATGGTCTGAAAAGTTGTCTCCATTGCAAGCCAACAATTAAATCAAGCCTCTTATGTTAATCTCTTAAGGACCCTCCTTCCTTCCCCAGGCACCCCAACTTCAGATGCTAGGTAGGTGGTGAGTGGCCTTTCCTATTGTCAGTCACCTAATAAGTCATAGAATCAAAGAACTGTGGAGTTGGAAGGGACCCCCAAGGGATATCAAGTCCAACCCCCTTCAATGCAGGAATCTCAGCTGAAGCATCCATGATAGTCAGCCATCCAACCTGCATTCTCCTTGCTCTTCCCATGCTTCCCATGCATCTAAAGCCCTTAGTGGCTTTCATTACTCATTTTCCCTGTCAGCTGCTTTAATATTGTATTTTACTGTCTTTTAGCAAACGGGCGCTTCAAGCTTGTTGTTGTTCTTGTTGTTTAGTCATTTAGTCGTGTCCAACTCTTCGTGACCCCATGGACCAGAGCACACCAGGGACTTCTGTCTTCCACTGCCTCCCACAGTTTGGTCAAACTCATGCTGGTAGCTTCGAGAACACTGTCCCACCATCACGTCCTCTGTCGTCCCTTCTCCTTGTGCCCTCCATCTTTCCCAACATCAGGGTCTTTTCCAGGGAGTCTTCTCTTCTCATGAGGTGGCCAAAGTCTTGGAGCCTCAGCTTCAGGATCTGTCCTTCCAGTGAACACTCAGGGCTGACTTCCTTCAGAATGGATCGGTTTGATCGTCTTGCAGTCCATGGGACTCTCAAGAGTCTCCTCCAGCACCAGAATTCAAAAGCATCAATTCTTTGGCGATCAGCCTTCTTTATGGTCCAGCTCTCACTTCCATACATCACTACAGTAGTACCTCGGGTTACATATGCTTCAGGTTACATACGCTTCAGGTTACAGAATCCGCTAACCCAGAAATAGTACCTTGGGTTAAGAACTTTGCTTCAGGATGAGAACAGAAATCATGCGGTGGCAGCAGGAGGCCCCATTAGCTAAAGTGGTGCTTCAGGTTAAGAACAGTTTCAGGTTAAGACCTCCAGAACGAATTAAGTTGTTAACCCGAGGTATCACTGTACTGGGAAAACCATAAAAGGTAAAGGACCCCTGACCATTAGGTCCAGTCGTGACAAACTCTGGGGTTGCGGCGCTCATCTTGCTTTACTGGCTGAGGGAGCCGGCGTACAGCTTCCGGGTCATATGGCCAGCATGACTAAGCCGCTTCTGGTGAACCAGAGCAGCGCACAGAAGCGCCGTTTACCTCGCCGCTGGAGTGGTACCTATTTATCTACTTGCACTTTGACTTGCTTTCAAACTGCTAGGTTGGCAGGAGCAGGGACTGAACAATGGGAGCTCACCCTGTCGCGGGGATTCGAACCACTGACCTTCTGATCAGCAAGTCCTAGGCTCTGTGGTTTAACCTACAGTGCTGCCCGCGTCCCGGGAAAACCATAGCTTTAACTATAAAATATTATTATTAAATAAAATATTATTATTAAATAAAATATTAGTATTATTAAAAGAGTTGGTCCATATGCAGCTCAGAACCGCCTACTCTGACTGGCAGCTCTCTGAGTTGCCACCGCGCGGGATTGAACCCAGGAACTTCTGCGCTTGCAAAGCGGGTGCTCCATCACCGCCACCGACATCTCCATCCTTCCCGGCTCGCCGTCCAAAACTTTCCCGATGGTCCCTAGTGGCTCCGCTTTTCTTCCGCCTCCCTCCCTGGCGCAACCTGCTCATTGTGCGATGTGTCACTTCGCGCAGCGCTGTCAAACACATCGGCCCGTCCCAGCCGAGCGGAGCTTGTGAAAGGCCCAGCGGGGGGGCTGCACATTATGCCACTAATTAGGACCCCGCAGCAGAGGGTTCCCATACACACCTGCACGGTCATGTGACTCTACGGGGTATCCCCCCCCTTTTTTTTTGGAGGAGGGGGGTGGGGAGGTTGCAAAGAATGACCGCTCTACCCGAGCGTGAACCGAAATGTGCTGGACTGCCAAAAAAGAGAGAGAGAGGAAGATCCCAGCTTTCCCCCCAAAAATTAATGCAATAAACAATTTGCTGCGCTCATCCAGGGATGCCAAACTTTCCTCCGGACATTGAGCTGCGGGAGGTGGATGCGGGTGATGGATTGGGGCCCCTTCCCCCAGCACTTAGCTCCGAGGAAACGTTGGGAGAGTTAGGTATAAAAAAGGAATTTTTCATGCAAACGCCTACTTCTGTGCACCGCCCTGAGACCTCCGGATATAGGGCGGCGTATAAATTCAATAAATAAATAATAGTTCATCTGCGGAACTCGCTGCTGTAGCCTGCTTCTCCTTTGTTACTGTTATCGCTTTCCTTTAGACCATTTCCACGAACCAAGAATTTGTACACTGACCGCTAATAAGGAACCGTTACGTTGTAGATATCACTGCAAATTGATCGTGCTATTTTTGTGATGTTCAAATGACATAGAAGAATTGGTCTGTTTATTTGTCTCATTTAAATAACTCCTAGGATCCTATATATAAAAGCCACTAAAAAGCTTTTTTTTTTTTTTAAATCTTTTCAGTGCCAGGTATAAACGTATATCTTACCCCAGGCATTGGACAGGTTGGGATAATTTTTAATGGCATATTTTTTGCTGCTGCTTTTTTTTTTTTTGGTTCTGTTCTATAGGCAATTCCATGGTGCTCTCTAGATATAATAGCTCAACAACTTTGCATAGCTCAACAGCTTTGCCAAAAAAAAAGCTAAACAACTTTTGCATCTGGGTTTTCACCTTTTGAAATACGGCAACCCTAGGTTATGACCCGTAACAGTGGTTCCCAATTAGTTAATTACTGAGGAAGCCCCTATTTTTCAAAAGCCAAGCCACAGACCCCCTACTTTTGAAAAGTTTGATAACTCTATGGTAGTTATCTCTGCAAAGCATTTTTTTGGAAGAAAATGTGGGGTAGCCCCTAATAAGCAAATGGTTTTAGGTATACTAAAAAAACAGAACAGACCATAATTTTTTATATATATTACTGTGCAAAAATACAGAAAATCAGTTGGTGGGGAAGGCAAGGAATGGGGCCGCAGACCCCCTGGGTGCGTTCCTGGGACTCCTAATTGGGAATCACTGAATTATAATACCCTATATGGCTTAAAGGTAAAGGTAAAGGTAAAGGGACCCCTGACCATTAGGTCCAGTCATGGCCGACTCTGGGTTGCAGCACTCATCTCGCTTTATTGGCCAAGGGAGCCGGCGTACAGCTTCCGGGTCATGTGGCCAGCATGACTAAGCCGCTTCTGGCGAACCAGAGCAGCGCACGGAAATGCCGTTTACCTTCCTGCCGGAGTGGTACCTATTTATCTACTTGCACTTTGACGTGCTTTCGAACTGCTAGGTCGGCAGGAGCAGGGACTGAGCAATGGGAGCTCACCCCGTCACGGGGATTCAAACTGCCGACCTTCTGATCCGCAAGTCCTAGGCTCTGTGGTTTAACCCACAGCGCCACCCGTGTCCGTCCAGGCTATTTGAAATACAGTATTCCTCGTACGAACCTGCCTAGGTTTTGAGATCTTTAAGAGTGGCCCTTTCCCTAAGTGGTGACGCAGAAGGGGGTCTTCTCAGTGGTGGCTCCTCCCAGACAACTTTGGCACTCTCTCCTGAGAGAACTTCGACGGGCTCCTTCCTTGCTGTTCATTTGCTGGACTTTCTTTTTCCGACAGGCTTTGGGGGGGCTGACTGGTTTCAAATAAAGGACTTGTAATAATGCTTCATTGTTTTTACTATCTGTATTGTAATAGATTATTTTGTGGGGAGTTGCACTGTTTTAATTCCATTATTGTTTAATTACTATGTAACTATTATCTTTTATATGACTTTAGCTTTCTGTGTTGTATGCCTCAAATCCCAGTTCTGGGGGAAAGGTGGGATATTATTATTATTATTATTATTATTATTATTATTATTATTATAATCTGGACATGGAATTAAGATTTTTTTCTCTTTTTTGAGCAAGTCATAATTATTACTGTTATCTGTAAAATCTCATGGAGAACATACAGCGAATGCTGTATGCTAGTTATTTTAATGTTTTGTTTTTCTGATTTTAAGTTCTGCTTTTTGCTCTTACACTTCTCTTAAATTGCTTGTTCTATCTATTTATTTCATAAAATTTATCTACCGCCTGATTGCGAAACGAAAAACCTCAAGGCAGCTTATAGAAAGAAAAGAAGAGCAAAACGATCCGTAAAACCAGCTGAAAGCAACAATTTAAAATATTCAAAAAGGAAAAACTCGCATCATCTCTCTAAACTTCTGGGTGGGCATGTCTAAACAAAAATGCTTTCAGCAGGTACTGAAAAGACTGCCAAGAAGATGCCTGTTTGATTTCAATAGGCAGGGAGTTCCAAAGTGCAGGTGCTCCCACATTAGAAGTTGATGTTCTTAAAAATGTGGAACAGGTATCATGTGGCCCTGGGCCAGTTCTGCTGATCAATGCAGTTAAGTGGGCGTCTGTGGGGGAGAAGTTGTGAAACCAGCTCTCTAAACTTTGCTGGAATTCTGAATACCATCCCTCTCATCCTCCACTAGGAGTGCGTGACTGGGGGGTGCCCGGGTTGTGCGTGTGCATAGCCCTAGCGCCAAAATGTGTGAGTGCCCGGCCCCTTCATGGGGAATTTTGGGGGTGCTCAGGCACCCAGGGAGGTGGCACCTACGTCCTCCATGCACATCGAGGGTGCCAATGTTGCCCTCCGCTTTTGGTGGTTCTGGGGAGATGGGACGACTAAACGCGAAGGTGTTTGTTTTTTGGCAAGGTCTGGCTGTGTCTCTTCTGCCAGCCCAGATTTGACCTCCTGGGCCTTTGCGCTCTCCCGGGTGCCCCTTGCCGCTCTTCCTCCTCCTCCTTTACGCTGGTGTGAATGCCTGCCCTTGAAGGGAAGGGGGCTTCAATTGGAAAGACACATTCTGACACAGTCGTAACCCCCTGACCCTGCCGTGGCTGCACCCATTAAGAACAGTGTGTGCCTTCACGCCTGGCAGAAGACGGGTCTCCGGGGTTAGGGGGAATGGAGAGGGAGGGGGGAATGTTCTTCAGCTCACCCATGCACGATCCGCGCCTGCGCCCAGGGAGAAGAAGCCTATGCACACTTCCTTCCCTACACACCTATAAACTCTGCCCTTTTGCCGGGAACACAATCTCCTATAACTCCCAGCGTTCCTGGTTCATCCCACCCCCTCTCTGTGGGTTAGCCTTTGCTCCTGCTAGAGTTGTCGCCCATCTGCTGTGCATGCTTCAGATCATAGAAATTAAGGGTGTTTAGATTAGGGCAGGGGCGCGGGTGGCGCTGTGGGTTAAACCACAGAGCCTAGGACTTGCCGATCAGAAGGTCGGCGGTTCGAATCCCCGCGACGGGGTGAGCTCCCGTTGCTTGGTCCCTCCTCCTGCCCATCTAGCAGTTCAAAAGCATGTCAAAGTGCAACTAGATAAATAGGTACCGCTCCGGCGGGAAGGTAAACGGCGTTTCCGTGCGCTGCTCTGGTTCGCCAGAAGCGGCTTAGTCATGCTGGCCACATGACCCGGAAGCTGTACACTGGCTCCCTTGGCCAATAAAGCAAGATGAGTGCCACAATCCCAGAGTCGGCCACAACTGGACCTAATGGTCAGGGGTCCCTTTACCTTTACCTTAGATTAGGGCAGGGGTCAGCAACCTATGGCCCATGGGCCAGAAGTGGCCTGCGGAGGTCGTTGGACCGGCCCACGAGCCCCCCCGAACAGAGCTGCTTGCTCGCGCACTGCGCTAAACCGGCGCAGCATGTGGACTCACATGGTGCCAAAGATCGCGTCTGCACAGATGCAGATGCCAAAAATCATGGGTGCGCATGCACAGACACCCAAAACTACAGGCGCGCACGCTCATGATCTCTGCGCGACCTATCCGGCCCAGACAAGGTAAACCTAGCCAACTCCTGGATTAGGGTTTCCATATTTCAAAAAGCGAAAATCCAAACACAAAAGTTGTTGAGTATGACATGGGTTGCCATACAGTCGTACCTTGGAAGTCAAATGGAATCTGTTCAGAAGTCCGTTCGACTTCCAAAGCGTTCAGAAACCAAAACGCAGCTTCTGATTGGCTGCAGGAAGCACCTGCAGCCAATCGGAAGGCCGCAGAAGCCCCGTCAGATGTTCAGCTTCCAAAAAAATTTCAAAAACCGGAACAGTCACTTCCAAGTTTCGATCATTCAGGAGCCAAAACATATGATTACCAAGGTATTCGACAACCAATGTATGACTGTACTTCCAGATGTTCCCGGACATCAGTGATTTCTGCCTGGACACTGTTTCCGACTGCTGCAATCCAGCTATCTTCAGGAAATTCCAGATGTATGACAGTCTTAGTAGATGTTAAATCTCAGAACACGGACTGGGCGCAGCGGAGGGGTACACAAACCCAAATGCAAAGCCCAACTTGACACATCACTCATTTCAGCTGCCCTGGTCTGCTTGTTTGTTTATTATTCATTTCATAAAATTTATACGCTGCTTTATGGTTAAAAAAAAAAACCCCAACACGGAATTGTCGAATTGTATCATGGAATCAACCCCTCAAAGCAGTTTACATTTTAAGAAATAAGTAAATTATCAACAAGGAAAAAGTCTATGGGGTTGCACTGTTTGGAAAAATATCGCAGACAACTTTGGGATTTTCATTTAGATCAACAAAAAAACCATGCTCTGAGAATGACAAATGAGGAAGTGGGTGGAGATTCACTCGGGACAACGCCATTATCCAAGAGGCTGGGTTCTATAGCCTCTCTCTGTAAGTACTGAAATAAAAAAGGACAGTAGGAAACTTTTCCTTGTCTTTATAATTTCCTGGGCAACCAGACAGGAGCCACTGGGAGCACCCTGAAAGGGCCACGGGGAGTTGTCACCTCTGCTTGTCACTATGTACCAGGGGCAGCTCAAGGCATTTCAACACCCTGCTGCACAAACTTAATAATAATAATTTATTATTTATACCCCGCCCATCTGGCTGGGTTTCCCCAGCCACTCTGGGCGGCTTCCAACAAAACACTAAAATACAATAACATTAAAAGCTTCCCTAAACAGGGCTGCCTTCAGATGTCTTCTAAAAGTTTGGTAGTTATTTTTCTCTTTGATATCTGGTGGGAGGGCGTTCCACAGGGTGGATGCCACCACCGAGAAGGCCCTCTGCCTGGTTCACTGTAACCTCGCTTCTCGCAGGGAGGGAACCGCCAGAAGGCCCTCAGAGCTGGACCTCAGTGTCTGGGCTGAACAATGGGGGTGGAGACGCTCCTTCAGGTTTACTGGAACGAGGCTGTTTAGGGCTTGAAAGGTCAGCACCAACACTTTGAATTGTGCTCAGAAACGTACTGGGAGCCAGTGTAGGTCTTTCAAGACCAGTGTTATATGGTCTCGGCGGCCACTCCCAGTCACCAGTCTAGCTGCCGCATTCTGGATTACTTTGTAAGGAAAGATCCTTTCTGGATCCCGCGCCACCCCCCTTCCCAGCAGCAGGGCTTTGCATCGGTTCCTTGCTGCAGGAGAAGCCAATGCAAAGTCGTGATGGAGGGGTTGGAATCTCCCCTCTCTCCCCAGTGGCAAAGCTGGAAGGCAAAATGGGATGCCAGCCCTTGCGCAGGCCGGCTCTGCTACGTACAGCACCTAGCACCTGTGTGGAAATCAAACAGTGCCTGAAATAACAGCAACAGCAATATTCTGTTTCTCGCTCTGCCTCTCACGCCCCAGCCAGCTCGCCTTCAAGACCTGGGGGGAAATACCAGCCCTCCTTGTGACTGGAGACTCCGCCTGTTTGCTGTGGTTAATAATAAAACCCTCTGAGCCAGCCAGAGCCCATCCGACCAAGTTGGGCTGGGGCAGCTCAGAGCTGTTTCTGACCTGCTGCGCTGAGATGCAGACAGGCTGGAACCGCAACCGGGAGATTTCAGGCCAAAGCTGTCACCTCAGCCAAGGTCATTGGGGAATTGCCTTACCGAAGGTGCGTGTGTTTGTGTGTGCTTGCAGACCATAGGTGCCACCTCGCCCAGAAGGGCTTCAACTTTGCTCATTGACTTTGTGGGAGCCCAACCCCACAAATATATTATAAGTCCAGTGTTGCAGACTTAGGTCCCTGTTCTCACATGTATGGAGCTGGTTTCTTCAAACAGGAGAGAGTGGCTGAGGCAGCCCAGCCAGATGGGTGGATGATTATTATTATTATTATTATTACTATTATTATTAATTTCATGTTTCGTATTCACACAGAGAGAGGCATGAGGAGGCAGGTGAATTGAGAAGAAATACTCCTAAGCTACCCAGCCAGGGACACTTGATCCACAAAGAGTAAAACTCAGAACAATATCTGTGTTCTAACTGGATGAGGCACATGGGAGCCAGTGTGGCCTAGTGGTTAGAGTGTTGGACTAGGACCAAGGAGACCAGGGTTTGAATCCCCTCTTGGCTATGAAGCTCACAGGGTGACCTTGGGCCAGTCACTGCCTCTCAGTCTGACCTACCTCACGGGGCTGTTGGGATTAAATGGGGAGGGGAAGAACCACCTATGCCAACTTGCACTTCTTGGAGGAAAGGTGGGATATAAGTGTAAAATAAAAATTAGAGTAACCAGTGCTTTTTTTCTGGGGGAGCGCAGGGGTACGCATATCCCTAAACATTTTGTGACTCTTTGTACTTTTGTCCATTTACTGTATTTATTTCCCCTAATTTAAACTATAAAATGGTGGTTTTCTTGAGTCAAAATGAGAGTACCCCTAAACATTTTTTTTAAAGAAAAAAAGCACTGAGAGTAATGATACAATAACCACTGCCTTTTATGGGCATAGCTAGGATTTATTAGCTAGAGCCTTTCTTAGGGTTGCCATATTTCTAGAAGTGAAAATCCAGGCACAAAGGTTATTGAGCTTTTTTTGGTCACAGTTGTCAAGCTTTTTCTTTTTTGCAAACGTATGGCAGCCCTACCCTGGTTAGTTATGCAATTTTATTTATTTCCTTGATGGGGGGGGGGAGAGATTCAGGGGCTACACCCATGCCACCCTCATCACCAACACCTATTACTGGCTGGAGTTTTTCAGCAATACCCAGAAGCGCAACACAAACACACACCAATATGTTGCACACTGCAGCGTGCTTGTGCAATTGGGGATCAGGCCCTCGGAGGCAGACTCTGAAAGAACTGCTCTACTTTAAGGTATTGCCCAGGCAGAAGTTCGCCAAGGCTAATCTGAAGACCCCAGTCCCAATCCTCCCTCTCCCCCTCACGGTGCAAAACCTTTCCTAGGGTTTGGAATTGAGGGCGCCATTTCTTGTTCACCTCATTCTCCAGGCAACATATGAACACATGGGATGCCAGGTCTCCAGGCACCCAGGCTTGAGACTTGAGCATAGCTGTCAACGTTCCCCGTTTTTTAAGGGAAATTCCCTTATTCCGAATAGGATTCCTCGCAAGAAAAGGGAAAAGTTGACAGCTAGGTTTAAGAGAGAGAGATCTCCTGCGCTAGCTTCTCACACTCTTCCTCTTCAGTTTCATAATATGTTTTCCATTATCCTCAGCATCCCGGTCTTCTCCCCTCCCAGGCACTCTCCCCCAGGAGAAGGAGGAAGCCACGGAAAGTGGGATAAAATGGGCAGTTTTGGAGACAGCAAGGAGGAGAACTGGACCCTGCGAACGGGAGGCTTCTGGATCTCCTCCGCTTGAGATTTTAAGCAGACCCACAGCCTACCTTTGAAGCGCATCTAAGGCATATCCCTTCCTGCAGATAATTGTGGGAACTGTAGTTTTTAAAGGGTGCTGGGAGATTCGACTGACATGGCTTTTTTTTTTTTTTTTTGGGAGAAGTCTTAGCAATCGCAGCATCCTTTTCGAAGTGCGCACGGGCAAGAGATTTCCCTTTCTTTTTCCCGACGCCTCCCGAAAATACTCACTCAGTCTCGGGTGGGTGATGTAGTTCCTGGTCACTGCTTGGACGTGTTCTCGTGCCCCGGCCAGGACTCCTCCGGGGTGCCCGTTGACCCTCACTTCCACCTTGGTGGCCATGTCCTTGGGGAGTCCAGGCAGACGCGAGCCGAAAAGCAAGGGCTGGTCTCTGAAGTTTTTGTACCTGATCTGCCTGACAGAGGCCAGCTGCAGTGATCTGCCTCCTCCTCCGTGTTGTCCCTGAACACAGAATTATTTGTTGCCTGTAAACTGTCCGGCAGCTGCAGGTTTGAGATGCATGTTGCAAAGGTCTCGCTGAAAAATCTGGGGCGTGTAAGCCTTTTTTTTTTCTTTCCCCAAGCAGGAATATTCTCACTGCCATGTCGGGTTGGGGAATACACCAGCTTTCTTCAGGAAGGAGATTGTGAAGGTTCAGAAAAGGGCAAGCGAAATGATGGAGGGAAAGGTTGCAGCCCTTTTTAACTGAGTAAGAGGCGACAGGATAGGAATCTACCACTCTTTTAAATCTACCTCTCTTTTAAATCGGAACCAGTGAAGGCAGTGAAGGTCCTGTGTGAGTGTCTGGAGGTGGTTGGAGGACGGAGGGTGGCTAACAGAGTGAGGTTGAATCCTGACAAGACAGAAGGACTGTTTTTGGGGGACAGGAGGTGGGTGGGTGTGGGGGACTCCCTGGTCCTGAATGGGGTAACTGTGCCCTTGAAGGACCAGGTGTGCAGCCTGGGCGTCATTCTGGACTCACAGCTGTCCATGGAGGCGCAGGTCAATTCTGTGTCCAGGGCAGCTGTCTCCCAGCTCCACCTGGTATGCAGGCTGAGACCCTCCCTGCCAGCAGACTGTCTCACCAGAGTGGTGCATGCTCTGGTTATCTCCCGCTTGGACTACTGCAATGTGGGGCTACCTTTGAAGGTGACCCGGAAACTGCAATTAATCCAGAATGCGGCAGCTAGGCTGGTGACTGGGAGCGGCTGCCAAGACCACATTACACTGGTCCTGAAAGACCTACATTGGCTCCCAGTACATTTCCGGGCAGAATTCAAAGTAGTGGTGCTGACCTATAAAGCCCTAAACGGCCTCAGCCCAGTATACCTGAAGGAGTGTTTCCACCCCCATCGTTCTGTCCGGACACTGAGGTCCAGCGCTGAGGGTCTTCTGGTGGTTCCCTCACTGTGAGAAGAAAAGTTACAGGGAACCAGGCAGAGGGCCTTCTCGGTGGTGGCACCCACCCTGTGGAACGCCCTCCCATCAGATGTCAAGGAAATAAACAACTATTGGGCTTTTAGAAGACATCTGAAGGCAGCCCTGTTTATAATGGAGAGAGATATATAAAAATTTAGATTACTATAAAAGATGCAGTAGAAAAGGTTTAATAATGGGACCCACAGAGGAAGAAGATGGAAGTTCAGAGATTTGTGGGAATCTTGTACCTGTGGAAGGTGTTGTGGTATGATTGTAACCTTTAATGTGTAGAATCAAATAAATAAATTGGTAAAAAAGAAAGAAAGAGGTTTCTCTTTTCTTTTGTCACATGGCTGGTTCTGGGCAACCAGGTTGGGCAGGAGCTATCTAGCCAGTGTCTGAATGGGACACCCGCCAGAAGCCCCCACCTATGACCACCTTGAGCTCTGTGAAGGAACAAAAGGTGGGAGATAATTTGATGGGAACTTGGGGTGTGTGTGGATCCTTCCAGCAAAGGTCAGTTGCTTCAAGCGATGTTGCTCTCTCCAGAGGGAAACACTAATCTTTCCTTGACAATGTACTAAGCTTGGGCTGTTGAAAGTATAAACAGCACATGTTGTGAACGCAAAATATTGTCGTTGGTGGCAATGGGTGCCAGAGGGGGAAGGAGCAGCACAGAGGAAACAGGGAAGAAGTGTCCCTATTTTCCAGAGACATCCCTGATTTAGAGAATCTGTCCCAGTTTCTGATCTGAACCCAGAATGTCCCACTTTTCCTTAGGATGTCCCTATTTTCACTGAAGAAATGTTGGAGGGTATGGAGTTATCTGACCCCTGAGCCATCTGAAGGCAATCCTATACAGTGGTACCTCGGGTTACAGATGCTTCAGGTTACATACGCTTCAGGTTACAGACTCTGCTAACCCAGAAATAGTACATTGGGTTAAGAACTTTGCTTCAGGATGAGAACAGAAATCACGCAGCGGTGGCGCAGTGGCAGCGGGAGGCCCCATTAGCTAAAGTGGTGCTTCAGGTTAAGAACAGTTTCAGGTTAAGAACGGACCTCCAGAACAAATTAAGTTCTTAACCCGAGGTACCACTGTATAGGGAAGTTAATGTTTTACAGTATTATGTTTTTATATATGTTGGAAACTGCCCAGAGTGCCTGGGGCAACCCAGTTAGTTGTGTGGGATATAAACAGGAAAATTATCATTATGGAATGGGATGTCCCTATTTTCATCGGAGAAATGTTGGAGGGTATGTGTTTGCAGACATCTTTGTAACACAGAGTTGGTCTGCCAATGGGCCTGGTGCCTGAGGTCTGCTCCCCACAGAGCCCCTCCGTGGGGATCCTGCCATCATATATATAGTTTCTTTGAATCTTTTAGAATAAAACACAGCACCAGAGCTGCAGGAGGCATTAGCACTACTGTAGTCCTCCTTGCAGAGGGGCTGATCCTCTCCTCCCCTGCTACGGAGGAGATCTTAATGTATCTTAAGGGTTGCACTAGGCCGGCAGAAGGAAGGCGTCTTTGCCCAGGAATATTATCTTGTACAGGGCTTTGCTTTTAGCACTTTTTCCAGCAAGGCGCCCCATTCTGCTATAGACAACGCCAGAGGAGGAACGGGCTGCCCACTCAGCCATGAGGTAACTTCAACCTCCAGCCGGACCACCAAACCGTTGTGCTAAGTGGCTTGGCAGTACCCGTGTTCCCTCTCTAACTCGATCCCAGGAGGGGAAACGCTACGAACTCTCTCTGCTTTCTGCTTTCTGTTAAACCACCAGCTGATTGCAAATGCATCCTTTCTTCTGTTTGCAAAAGAAAACACCAAACAGGGATATTTTGGCAGCATACCTTGAAAGACTTGGGGGCTTTGTACATCCACTGCTGTCGGTTAAAAATTCATGGAATTCCCAGGCAAGGAATGACAACATCCCTCTCTTTCTCTGCTCCTGAAAAGGCCAGGGAATTTCCTTAAATTATTACTATGACAAAAGTTATATTTATTTCACTGAGACAGAGACTGGCAGCCTGGTCTTGCAAAACAGAGGAGCCAAAGACAGGATTGTATCTTGCATCGGGCTTCGAACACTGCAAGCTTTGGAATTGCCCAGAATTCTTCATCTTCACATCAAGCAAGCAAACTTCTCATTCGGATCTGATTCACATGGTGTATAATTCCTACAAGGACAGCTCCTCTGTGGAAGCAAGTCGTGCGATGGTTGCCATGCATGATTGTGACAGATGCAGAGTTTCAACGGCCTGCACATGGTTCGTTGCTCATGCTTTATGGGTCCTGCTGATGGCTGTTTGTCTCTGCGCAGAGATGGGAGAGGCCGGGAAATCTCATTGCATGCTCCCTTTTTGGTGGTCCAGCTGACCATGAGGGTCTTCAGAAAAATGCGGGTAGCAGAGAAACATACCCGCCAATATTTCTCCAATGAAAATAGGGATGTCCTATTCCGTAATAATGGGATGCGGGCGGCGCTGTGGGTTAAACCACTGAGCCTTGGGCTTGCTGATCAGAAGGTCAGCGGTTCGAATCCCCGTGACGGGGTGAGCTCCCGTTACTCGGTCCCTGCTCCTGCCCACCTAGCAGTTCGAAAGCACATCAAAGTGCAAGTAGATAAATAGGTACCGCTCCAGCGGGAAGGTAAACAGCGTTTCCGTGCGCTGCTCTGGTTACCCAGAAGTGACTTAGTCATGCTGGCCTCATGACCCAGAAGCTGTACGCTGGCTCCCTCAGCCAGTAAAGCGAGATGAGCACCGCAACCCCAGAATCGGTCATGACTGGATCTAATGGTCAGGGGTCCTTTACCTTTTATTCCGTAATACAGTGGTACCTCTAGAGGCGAACGGGATCTGTTCTGGAGCCCCATTCACATCTAGAAGCAAACGTAACCAGCGACGGCACATCTGCGCACTCGTGCGTCACTTTTCGCCACTTCTGCGCATGCACGTGACGTCATTTTGAGCATCTGCACATGGGCAAGCGGCGAAACCCAGAAGTAACGTGCTCCATTACTTCCGGGTTGCCGCAGAGCGCAACTCGAATGTGCTCATCGCGAAGCACATTCAACCCGAGGTATGACTGTTATAATAATAATTGTCACCCATTAAACATTAAAAAAACCCCAAAACCTTCCCTATGCAGGGATGCCTTCAGATGTCTTCCAAAGGTTGTATTCTTGGCTCAGGGGGTCACATAACTCCATCCCCTCTGACATTTCTCCAATGAAATTAGAGACGTCCTAAGGAAAAGCAGGACATTCTGGGATCAAATCAGAAACTGGGGTGGTTTCTGTAAATCCAGGACTGTCCCTCTCCCTTGTTCATTTGCTCTGTTGCTGCTGTTCAGAACAATGGTGAGAGGCTTATGTTGTGGGTGAACAGTTCATGCCCCTCTGGGTGAGAGTCAGTGTGGGGGGGCAGTGAAAGGTGTTAAGCTGCTCATAAGCTGCCCAGAGTCTGTTGACCCATTGGGACCCTCATTGAGAGAGAGAGAGAGAGAGAGAGAGACAGACAGACAGACAGACAGACAGACAGGAAGTGCCCCATGTGAGAGATGCAGGGGAGGGGACTATTGCTAAAGCCTTTTTGGTTGTTTGAGTCAGATAAATGTCCTGTCTTCTCTACAACCAGGAATCTGGAAAAACTAGAGATTCCTCTTCTTCTTCTTCATTCAATTTGTATAACACTCTATACCCGTACAACCCAGGGCAGTTCACAACACAAAACCACAATATAAAACACAAAATACATAACAAAAATGAAGACAACCCAATAATCTTCCCTTTCACGACATGTTTTATAAGGGCATCAGATGTTTTAAAAATGGTCCCCAACTGGTTTTTTGTTTGTTTGGTTGGTTGGTTGGTTTTAAATAATGTTGTATTGAGAAGAATCACAAACTCCTTAATG